GAGCTCATATGCAAAATGAATGGAAATGATATATATATATATTTATTCTTAATGCATCAATATTTTGGTATAGAAATTATATGATAACTATCAGTCCAGTTTCAATTTCATATTGCTACGATAATTAGCATAAGTATAATTGATGTAAATAATAATTGAAATGAATCTTCATGTGGCGTTTCGTTAGTTACTTGTGTTGCCACGCACTTTTCACATTTAAGAGTACTGGGATTCCACCTATATGTTGAATGACTCTTGATGTAACATCTACTCTCTGAAAGTTAATGTGGGAGTCCTACAACACACTCATTTTTAGATTTCTAAATACATACAGTAACCTAACTTTCATCAAAACTCAAGACAGGAGAACAATTAGGACTGTTCCTGCATTCTATTTTAGTGCATTTTGTATTATTAGTATCATTATTTGTATTACTAGTTTATTCGTAAGTAAAATGACATACTTTGGATTTCTTGGAACAAGCCTTTAAACTGTTATTAGCATCCTCGCATTAAGTCATTTTCGAACATTTCTATCCCTCGAAAACGCATATTCCATCGATTCCATCAGAATCACAAGAGGTTTCAGTAGTATATTCAGAACAATTAAGTTTATTAAGACAACTGAAACCATTAGAAATGCAGCCAGATTATAATTTAGAGCAGGCTTCAGTTGTTGTCTCGATGTAATCTGTGCAATCTTTGGCTCGACACTATTTGGTACCTGAGGATTGCTTTAAGGGGATGGCAAATACACAAGGACCATCAGTACCTTCATAGCATTCTTATTCAGAATATGAAGAGCAGAGCTTTTTATCAACACAATAGATTGTATTCGTAGTGCAATTTAACTTTGGGTTGAATGTGGAACAATATTGATAAGTCATGTAGGGGACTAGAGGAATATCAACGCATTACTATAGTCTACAAACAGGAGGGGATTAAGATTCATTCCAAAAGCAAGGGCCATCTATTCCTGATGAATTGCAACCATATTTAGTCTTATATGATTGACAATTACCTATTTCAATGCAATTTTAACCGTCAGAAGTACAGGTATCCGAGTATTATTAACAGTTCTCTTTGGTGCTACCTAAAATATCAGAACACATTTGGAAGATCTAGCATTTTGGTTCTTAATTAAGTTATTCAATGACCCATCCACATTCACCATCTGTGCCCTTTTTACAACTTGTGGAATTTGTATATTCAGAGCATTTTTAATATGAGATACAATTAATCCCATTGCTAGTACACTATTCAGAATATTGTTGACATTCTGATAGAGTAGTCTTTTTTACATCAGAACACTACGAAAAAGTGACACAGGTTTGGGTGAGATTCATCCAAAGACATGATTTTCCTTAGTAATCTTGAGTACACTTAGTTTTGGTTAAGAGATCCTCACAAGAATATTCTTTATAAGTACAACCTTTTCCTGAAGTTACACAATGTGGGGATATTTCATAGCAAAAAAGATCCTCATTGTATGAAGAAGGTGCATCCTTACAGTCTTTGTCTCTACAAACAAAGGGTTCATGAACACATTCTTTAGAATATCCAGAGGAGAGAGGATCGAGACATGCATGGTCAAGTTCCCAAACGCATTTTTTAGAATATCCCAAGGAGATAGCACTGAGACATGTTAGTTTATTTTAGTATTAGTTGCAATGACTAATCTCAATACATCCATTTCCTGTGGTTGTACAATTTTGGTTCAAAGCTTAGCATTCTTCATGTTGTTTCAATAGAACACTTGCATCTGAACAAATCCAATCTCTGCATGATTTTGTTTAGAAATCCCAACTACATTTCATATTGGAATTCATTAAACATTAAGAATACTTTGTGATTTGCATACACACCTTAATGGTATTTAAGCATCCTTATATAAATTAGCAGTCAGGTCTTTCTTTACATAGTTATGAAGATGATATCATTTCACAAGTCCTATTATCAATACATCCATATCCTGTAGTCTTACATCCAGGTTTAAATTGATTACATTTTTCATCTGTATTATAATTATTTGGTGCATCAAAGCATTATAATTATTTGCATTACTTCATAGTCTCATCAACTCCCTTACATGGTTTATCAATAGCATCAAACAACATACAGGTTTTGACAGTTCCATAAAATTATGAACAATTTCGTTTGGTCAGACATTGAAATCCATCACTAACACATCCTTCCAAAAAGGAATTGCACTCTATAGTATTTGTACCCCTTGTGATATGACTACATTCCCTATCTATACAACTAGTGTTGTTAGATGCAGATGCAAAATTCCAACAAGGCTTTGTACCTTTTTCTCCTTTGAATTTGCTGCATTAGGCCTGAGTTCCATAATAACTAGAGCATGGTTTTGTATCTTCTATGCACCCACTTCCTTTGTTCACACAACCTGGCAAGAATGTATTACAATCAGAATCATTAACTGCATCGAGATTGTCAGAACACTATCTATCTCTGCATACATGAATATCAACAAGACTATCTGAATAACATAATCTTCCATTTCCCTTAAATTTAGAACATGTTTAAAGATTTCCAACATAACTTGAGCAGGGTTCCAAAGAAGAAATACAACCTTTGCCATTGGTTACACAACCATCCAAATACGAATTACACTCAATGTCTGTAGTAGATTGCTAATCATGGAAACATTCTCTAACTGAGCATCTTGTAGTTAAATTCTATCCTCGACATTTCTTTTAATTGCCTACAAATCTCAAACAACTGGATTAAGTGCCTCTAAAAGTGTTACATGGTTATGTTGAATCTGTGCATCCTCTACCACTAGTCACACATCCTTTTAAAAATTGATCACATTGAAGATCATTCAAGGCTGTCTAATTATCCGAGCATATTCTGGCTCTACATTACATACTATTATTGTTTGGATCCTAGAAACAAGTCTCACCACTTAGAGTAGTCACATTGAGACATTATTCACTGCTAAATCCAAAGTATTGTGAGCAATAATTCTAAATAGTGATGCATTTGATCCCATCATATGTACAATTTGGAGTCTACTTGTTATTTACAGTTTTGACAATATATTTTTCACATATGTCTAAACTATAAGTATGTTATAGATTTGAACATTCCTTTAATATACAATTGTTGTCCAATCCAGAAGTATTTCTGATATTATACCAACATTAATTATTGCTTGCATCAGTCAATCCCTAACAAACCTAATTAGATCCTAAATAATTATTGCAACTCGCCCTTTCTGAAATACATCTCGTACCATTGAATCTACAAGTAGCTAAATGTTTTTAACAATTTTCTGGTGAAGGATCTTAGATCTCGTTCTCGCATGATGCATTAACACAAATTGAACTCTAACCCTGATACCAACAATACTAATTGGTTTTTGTTGTGACAACTGTACATGCTTCCTTAGAAAATCCAATATATTGTATGCAAGTATCTTTTGCATCTTAACATCTGAATCCATTATATCTACAAGTACTCAAATGCTCCTGACATATCTCTGCTGAATAGAATTGTAGATTGTCTGAACAACTGCGATCTGCACAAGTCGAACTTTATTCCGTGTACCAACATTTTTCCTTCTTTTTATTCGTGACTTCCTTACAACCACTTGCATTAAAACTAACATAATCACTGCATTTATCTTTTTCATCAACGCACTTTTTATCACCATTAAATCTGCATGTCTCTAAATGACTTCTACAGTTCTCATCCGAAGGAGTTGTAATATTATCCGAGCATTCTCTAATTTTACATTTTTTATTTTCAGAACTCCACCAACAACCAGGTATTAATTTACACTCACTGTCACTCACAATTTTAGGATCATAATCACTACAATTATTCAACTTCTTAATACACTTAGATCCAGTAAAAATACAACTAGAATCATGAGCTTAACAAATCTCATTTGAATACTCGTTCAATACTTCTAAACATGTTCTATCCTTACATTTCCTATTCTAATCAGACCAACAACCCTTTCCTGTCTTGTCTTTTGCATCTTGACATCCCTATTCAGAAAAATCGCTATAATTTGAACAACTATCCCACTCTACACACTTACCATCTCCATTGAAAATACAGTTTTTTCTATAAGATGTGCAATCCTATTATGATTTAACATTTTGCGCATCTTTGCATTTACGATTGGTGCAATATTAATCATTGTCACCATAGATGCATTAGTCCCTATCTACATTAACCAATATTTAGCATTATTCTTATGAGTATCCATAATAATAATCACAACTATCTTGTTTTTCAATGCATTTTCCACCATCAAAAGCACAAATAGATAGATATTCCTCGCATTCTTTCAATGACAAAGGGTTTTATACATCTGAACACTTACGATCTTCACAATAGTCTATCCTTACACATAGTAATCCATTTCCCCTATATTTAGAACATGTATCCTCATCCCCTTCATAAGTATTACAAGTCTCAACTGCATCTTGACATCCCTTCCCATTGAATACACACCCATACAAGAACTTATCACATTCCTAATCATTCTATGCATCAGTGTTATGAGTGCATTATTTATCCACACATTAACCTGAAAATCCTTAATCATACCAACATTTCTTTCCATTTCCAACAAATTTAGAGCAAGCATCTATTGAATTTCCTGAATATTACGTGCATGGAGCTGTTGATGCTATACATCCCAATCCCTTAGTTACACATCCAGATTTAAACAAATTACATTCGTAATCTTCCAATGCCACTGAATTGTCATAGCATTCCAGAGGTCTACATTTCCCTGATTCTCCAAGATTTTGTGAACATTTGCTATTCAATGCATAACACTATTAGGAATTTCCATAAAATTCTCCACATTCTGCATTTTCATTCACACAACCTTATGATCCTGTGAATTTGCATCCTTCCATTGTATCATCACACTCTTTTTAAGTACTAGCTGATTTGTTATCTTAACATATTTTAGATCGACACTTTTAAGTCGCTGAATAATAAAGACATGGCACTTTACCATTACTACCCTTATAATAAGTACATGTATCTTCATCCCCAACGTATTCTTCACATGGAGCTGACACATCCACACATCCTTAACCATTAAAGATACATTAGGGGTAAAAATAATTAACAATCCTTATTAGATCTATATTGCTAACCAGCATGTTTGCATTTTTTATCAGCACAACCTGAACCTTCCCAAAAACATTCGACATTTGATGAATGTCCAAGACATGTTCCCTTGGTAAGGAAAAACCTACATTCATTAGTCACACATTATTCTGCCCACTAACATTTATCACTTGCCAAACAAGTCACCTATTATTATGTATTTGGACAAGTATCAGCCGTGACACATTTAGTACCATTAGTCAAACAATAAGACTGAACACTCTTGCACTCTTAATTTGTTTTGAATTCTGCATTCTCACAAACATTCAATGCACAGTATCCATTTTCACCTATTTTACATTTGCCCTCTGTTCCTCTGTACTTATTGCACTTTTCAGCATCCCCTTTATATTTATTACAACTGATCAAAAATGACGTACATTCAACACCATTAGAAATACAATTAAATTGATATTACCCACACTCGCTGTCTGTTGAAAATTGGCCATCAGAACAAATCCTAGCCTTACATTATTGGGACTCCTCTGTATTTTAAGCTGTGCATCTCCCATCTGCTCCTATTCTTCTTTCACATTCATTTTTAGTGCCTGTATATGAATTACAATTCAATAGAATAGCCACACAACCAATCCCTGTAGTTTTGCATTTAGAAGAATAAGACTTACAATTCTTCATCTGTAGAATATTATTTTGGTGCACTTTCACACCTCCTAGCTTAGCACTTACCCTTCAAACCTTCTTCACACTTACCACTACTCCCTATATATTTCAAACACTATTCTCCATCCCCTGTATAAGTATTACATGATTTCAATGCTTAATCCGTACATCCAATACCTGTTGTTCTGCATCCTTTTCTAAAAGACTAGCATTATTGATCAGCATAATATGTCAATGGGGCATTTGCACAATCCTTAGATTAGCATTTATCACCTTTTTATTCACATAAGCCATCACTCCCAATCATACCATCACAATTTTTATCATAATAATAACAATTCCCCCTTTTGTCTACACATCCTCTCCCATTAGTTACACATCCTTTTATAAAGGAATCGCAAGCATCATCAGTAATCAGCAACTAAGATGCTTCATTACATGTTTAATCTCTGCACACTTTGTCTTCCCAAACACATTTCCTTGAGCCGGAGGAACTTATTACTGTACTACACAATTGTTCCTATTCATTTTTAAAGCATTCTCTTGGTTTTATACATTGAATTCCATCACTTGTACATTGTGTACTAATTAATTAGCATTCATTATGAGTAGTATAAACATAGCTAGTGCAACCACTAAAATGAATACAATTCTAGTTGTAGTAAGCACACCCTATTTTGTTACTACAATCCTCTTAAGTTCGGCCTTTGCAATAAATGCTCTCTGGTTTAGTCGAAATCGCTTACTCTTCTGGCTTCTCTTAACAGCTCTTATTCAACCATGAACATTTCGTGTTTTATTAGCAGTCATTTTAAGACAATAAATTTTAACATTTGCAGGCTTCTGATACCTTGATTTGACAGTGAGTTGATACCAAGAAACCAAATAAGACTAAATGATACAAACTAGTGCTCATTCTATTTAATTTAATAATTATTAAGCTAAGAACTTTAAGAATCTGAGTGTCAAAAAGATCTCCCTTTTACATTTAGGATAACCTTAATATAAATCGTCAAAATTAACTAATCTTGTTTATCTAAAAGAGCTAAGTATATATAATGTATTTTTATATCATCAATCCCAATACAGTTTTTAATAGATGGATTTAACTAGTTGTATATTTATAAGCAAAAGATTTTTTATGTAATCCATAAATTGTTGTTTTCTTTATAGATTTACAAAAAGCAATATATTAAATTTTTATATGAAAATTTTGGATTTAATTAAGTACTTAACTTATTTGAATTACCAAATTCAAATAATTATAATAGTAGGTTTATGTAATGAATGATTTAAGTTTAGAATTCTTTCATCATCTCCCCTTTAGATATTATTCATAAATCATCCCTTAATGTCATATGTAATGCTAGTATTAATAGGATTTTTATGAAACCACCTTGATTATCTTCTAAACTTTATAGATTTATATATGAATTAAATTTACTCTTTTGATGTAACAATCCATTATGAAAAATGGATGAATATTTCTAAATATCATACAGGGATTTAACTATTTGCTTTTGTAATATGCATCAACTCAATGCCTGTTCCATCTATATGAGACTAGAGGGATAGATTTTTCATGTGTATCTATACTATTGATATAGAATTAGAATAAAAGTGTATCAAATTAGCAACTTTTTTAATATATGTTAGATGAAGTATAAATAATTATTGTATTTGCTATTGTAGATAACTACTTATGTTGTGATTGCATAGATTTTAACTCAAAAAAAATAAAGTTAATTCATTATACTAAATGTAGATTCGATTTTTCAATAACAAATCAAGAGTATTTCTTTAGTAAGATAAGTTAGTAAGGAAATTTATATGGTAATCTTCAAAATTTAAGCAATGATTATATTATTTCTCGTTTCAGTAGTTTTAGGATAATTATCAATCTTTTAAAATACATCATCAATGGATTCAATTAAAGTGGTTATAGTAATTAAAATTGATGAAATGAATAAAAATTGAATGATGAAGTAATTAAAATGATGAAGTTTAAACAGTTAATTGGATAGATGACAATATATTTTTTGAGAAATTGAGTAATTTGTATTAGAGAATAGAAATTGGTTTATATATTAATAAATTCCCAAAATATTATGTTGGGAAATTTGGATGTAAAAATATGCAGAACAACTACTAGCCAGTTGTCTGCATAGGATCTCGACGAGACCTACATCATCTAACGGCCTGTAGGATAGGGAAAATATGGGTGATTCAATTCTCTATTAAGTAGATAGGTCTTTAGGGCTTAAAACAAATTGAACAAGTAGATTGTTGCCTTAAAAAAAATAAAATAAGAGAAAGAGGCCAATGGAGTAAGACCTATTTAAATCAATAGTTTCCGCGAACGGCAATGAGAGAAATTCATCTGCTTTCATCAATAAAGCATCAAAATATAGTGAGTTTTCAAGAAGTCGTCGTATAATCTAGTAAGGATAAAGCAGTAATTATGGTAGAGAACACATATTTAGTACTGGAATACATGGACACGGACCTGCATAATCTGTTATAGAGACGAATAGTTTTTAGTTTAGATCAAGTTCGATATTTGATGTATCAAATACTTGAAGCACTTTCTTATCTGCATTCCAGGAATGTGTACCATAGGGATTTGAAGCGTAAGTCCACAACAATATTTTAAAGCCAATAACATACTCTACAACGTCAAGGGATAAGTAAAGATCTGCGATTTTGGAATGGCCAATGAATATTCAAAAAAGAGACCATAAACCAAGCGGATATTGGTTCCCCAATACAGAGCTCCTGAAATCTACCTAGGCGGTGTATTTTGCTTCGTATTTAACAAGAATAGTAGTACGATTGTTCGGTTGATGTGTGGTCAGCTGGCATCCTCTTTCTTGAGCTAATAGTAAAACCAAGTCCCTTTGTGTTGGCAAAATCGGAATCTCAATGCTTTTCAAAAATAATCGATCTTTGTGGAACTCCTACGGAAGGTTTGAATTTTATTTTTTCTTTTATGGTGATTGGTCAGATGTGAGTTCACTTCCCCTTTACCATGAATTAATTAATGAACCGAAGGAAAGGACATTACGCAAGTACTTGCACGCTCAATAAAATGCCATGCCTCAACTCATCGATCTTATTGATAAAATGCTGACTCTGAATCCAGCAAAGAGGATTACTGCCAAAGAAGCATTGAAACACTAATACTTCCAAACCAGAATCTTTGTCATGTGATTTATTATATCCCTTAAGGCAGGATGCCCGTAATCGAATAGGATGCACAGCCACCAAAGGACCCTCCCATTCAAAAGAAGGTTAAACAGGAGCAACAAAAACCTTTATTACAGGGTATCAAAATTAATAAATGTATGTGATTATATATTATATCTATATAAATATTAAGTATTAAGGATTTTATTTAATTATTATCATATACTATTATTGTTGCTGTTTTTCACTAAATATTATTAATTAAAAAAAAGATATTTTCTTCAAAAATCACTGATTGGTGTTGTAACAAATTCCAGCTTTATTCAGCAATAGTAATGTAAGTGCTCTAATCTGGAGAGAGATTAACCGGTTTCTCGTCTTCATACGAAAATTCTTTAATAATTTTGGTTCTATTACTACTTATTCAGATTAATTACTATATTTGCAAAGCATTTAAATATATCCTCTTTGGTTTATACTGATCAATCCTGTTAAATAGTACTAATACCTTTCATTAATTAAACTTGATTGAAGACACATTTTTAATTCATAAGATCAGCTTTAATTTGAACCCAATTTTGTTCTAAGATTTCTCAACAACTCTAATATATACCTCCCTAGTTTCTAAAATCTCTAATCATCAATTAAATACTTCAAAAAAAATATTTCAGCTGATTAATGATTAAACAATTCTTCTTTCCTTTTTTTTAGCAATGTATCTTGATTTTTTTAGTGAATAAACAGCCTCGTATTTCAAATAAAGATAATCTTACCTAACAAATAAATCTATTGATAGACTTACTAATACTTTGATAAAAGTCTTAGTGTGTTTTTGATCTTGTTCAAAGTAATACTTTACATAACTGATATTCAACCAGAGATATCCGAGACAAAAATATTTATTCCCAATACATCTGTTTAGATTATCAGGATTTTAATAATATAATTCTAATTGGTTTTATATTGCAAAGTAGGAAATTTGACTAATATCTTTGTAAATTCAACTTAATAAATGCTTTTAAGGATAGTTACATGAGTTTGTGATCATGATTTCAAGTCATTTTCAAGAATACATTTCAATTTCACATGGAGTACAACTCTCATCTTCATAAATGGCTAATAATCTAGTATTTGAAATGTTGAAGTACTTTCGAACTGTACTGTTTTATGAATAAAATTTTGTAATCATTTTATAAATGAAATAATTTGGAATAAATTTGCTAACAATCGTTACTCTGATAAATCCATCCTTCTCCATCTACCAGAATTTACTACTTGCAATCAGTATCTGTATTATGCTATTTAACCAATACTTACGTTACCATCAATATTTCAACATCAAAAAATTAGCTCATGTAATGATATACTTAAAATGGATTACGATGTATGCCTAGCTATCTCAAAGTTGCACATAATAGCAAATATGTGCTCAACTCATTTTGCTCACAGAACTTGACTTGTTTGTTAAGACAATCATTGGGATTGGATCTTCAATCAATTCTATCCTACAACCAAATATTTATGGGTTTTACATTACGATTCCATATATGATAGTGATTTTAAGTGTTATTTTCTATGATTATTGGAAACACCTTCAGAAAAATGAAAATAGCAGTACTTAACAGCAAAAAGCTAAGTTTATCAATTCTAAATAATTGTCAAATTAGTTTGATTAATAGTCTTCTAAAGTCCAAATCCAAGGTAATTGTTTAAAGTCTCCTGGCTTAGAAGGTCCTGATCAATAAAATAGTCCAATGATTTTGGATATGCAATGTAATGAAGAAGAGGATGTTCTTGCTCACATGTAAAAATTGGACATCTATAATCTAGGGCATGGATTCACAATCAATCTATACTAGTCTATAATCAAAATTTCGAAATCACATACCAAAACTTCTACTTAGGGAAACTTACGAATCCGTAGTGTTCAGGAGTCAATTAAAATTATGATTATGAGCAAATCTTTCTAGAATGCGTAATAGAAATAGGAAGTAGAGAAGTCAACGAGTTATTTGGGAATTCAGAAGTAGACTTGGATTAAGAAGAGTACAATAACCTTTTTATAAATAATAGCTCCTTGGTATTAGACAGCACTGTACACAGTAGATATAAAATCAAAGGTGGATTGTAAAAAATAAGATAAATGGTCTCGGCTTTATTTAACAATTATTAAAAGTATGAATATAAATATATTATAGATGGAAATTCTTTACCTTTACACTTTTCAAAATAAAAAGCAATGAACTTGACTTTAAGAATATTGGTATAAAAGTGCTAGTCACTGAAGTGAAATCAAAGCTGTATACTCTGTTCATGTTTGAAACAGTGCAAAAAGAGAATTCAAAAGGAGTATTAGATGAACCGGTTTAATTTTTAAATGTTTTCTAAACTTTTCTTTCTGAATCCAACAATTACATTAATGCTATTCATTTATTACTTCTATTATGCTCTCACGATCACGAAAAGAACTCAGGTAAAATTTCTAAAGAATACCTAAAACAAATGAGAATGAGCACTTAAAAACTTATGATTTTTTTGGGAACCATGAAAGACCTCTCTCTTCAACTCACAAATCAATTGACTTTTAGAAACTCAACCTTCAAACTCACCGATTTATTAGATGAACTCCAACTCATATACGAGGATTGTTTAAAAATTAAGGAGATCTCAATCATTCAGATAATCGAAAATGATATGATAGTTTTCAATGATTAAGATCGAGTAAACTATATAATCCTATTTAGACTAAACAAATTCTAAAATGTCTATTCGAAATAGCTATCAAATTTACTGTTGCCTCGAAAATCAGAATTGATATTCATTAGGTATCACCAAATAATTATCAATTTTAAATCAAAGACATTCCATTTAGAGAAGAAAGCTTAAAGTCTCAATATCAAACAGTTCTTAAGAACACAGCATAATTAATGAAAACTAATTGCAAAGATTTTGACATGAGCAATCTTTTGGAATTGTAAGCGGCAGCAATTCTAGCCTTCTCTCTTTCTGGATCTCTCAGAAAACCATTAGAAATAAGCTTTGATAACCAACTTTAAGGCACTTTCACTTTTACTGTTGAATCACTTCCAATAAACGGTAAACATGGTAATCACAATCAATAAATCAAACCTAAGCGTGCCTTTGAAACATCACTCTCTATGTTATTAGCATAGGCATAAGACAGTTCTCATTATAAGTATGAAGAATCAAAATACATGTCTTTTACTTAGATATCAAAATAATATTCACTCAAACCAGATGTCCCATTTGATTTACAGAGTGCTCATTTTTCGCAAATATCCAAAATCAAATAAGAGTCTCCCCAAATCAAACCTCTAGGTTCTTAAGCTTAAATCAATTCTGGTGGAACCAATAAAGTGCAGGATTCCCTGTTTCCGAAAAGCTTAAACAATTAGAATCCTTCAAAAGCGATCAAAAGTGATTCTGCAATCAATGAATCTTCCAAACCTATGACGAGTGCTTTGGATTTTGGAGAAAGTACGAATCCAAATATTGATCTCCAGGAATTGAGTCCAAAGTTTTTACATTCTGTAATAAAGTTCAAATTAACTAATTAATGTTGTTCAAAAGTCATAATTGCAGATAACGATTATCTGAATGTTTAAGTACTCTAAATACTACTCAATAAATATGAGGTTAAATCTGATAAAGCATTTACACAGCAACAGACTCTTTAGTTAATAAGAAGTAAGTCACTCAATCCATGCAGATGCAAAAATGGGGCTTATTTAATTTACTTTATTGGATGTCTCCTTGCCGGTATGTATTTCCACATATATAGCAATCAGCAGTGGATTTGATCAAAGAAATCAAATAACTTTTTAAATCTTTGTTAGTAGACAAGGGCTTCATCATTGCCATGGCTAGTTATAGCGATATGGATTTGAAATTGAGTTGTTTCAACTCTGGAATCGATTATTTCATTACAAAACCTTTTGATTTATTTGAATTAACTGCAATTCTTTAATATATATAGTTTTGATCAAACCTAATTTATATTAAGTAGCATAATATTAATTTTCTATTATATATTCACTTATAAAAGTCTAAATGTATAAGGACCTTGATATCAATGAATTGGAGAAGCTGAAAAAGGAGGAGGCAATGCTTTCCCTTAGAAAAGCCACGACTAATATAAAGGTGAGTCATAGATTTTCTATTCAAAGGAACGATTTGGATAATCCAACTAGGACATATTGGAGGAAGAATTTAAGTAGAAAACAGTTGGTTTGGTAACGAGGGAGGAATTCAAAAGGAAGAGAGAAAACATAGACAGAATTTATGTTTAAGATCTTTAAAAAAAATAAGAGGAAGAAGAAAAAAAGAAATTGGAGCTAAAATAAAAAAGAAAGTAGGAATATAAATTGAAAACAGCCTTGTTGAGCTTCGAATCAGAATAATAAGAACTCTATGATAAGAAAAATTATGGGAAAGATAGCAGCGTTGATACATTATATCTTCCAGACATGAATCGAGAAAAAAAGATAGAAGAGCTCACTAAAAGATTCACTGGTATAATTCCTTAAATTGATTAGTCGTTAGAAGAATATTAGAAAAATATGGAATTGCAAAGGGATTAACTAATTGATATTAAATTTTAATATTGGGATGCATAAACCTTTACAAGAACTCTAAGAATCACAAAAAAGATTACCATCAAAGAATTTCTGGAATTAGCAAGAAGAGAGATTATTAGAGACTTCGGATTTGTACGATTTATTAGTTAGATTATTTAGTTGACTGAGTTTAGTCCTGATGACTTACTATTTGTAGCCAACACAATGATTTTGCCTCATAAACTGAGTTTTCACGATATAATTGCTTATAAGGTTAAGAATAGATCTGGAAAGCCTATATTCTCATTTGAATAGAGGAAGGTATCCTAAATTTGATTTATTTGATTTTTTTAGGTTTAAGCTAAAGGTTAGGAATACGAAGTTGAGGTTGAAAATTCAACTACTTGCAGGATTATCGAAAAATTTAGGTATGAAAAAATCAAGCACATCTATCCGTGTTCTAAATGGGAAGTTGTTGATATTAATAAGTACTAATGAAAACTTTTGATGAGTTATTATTAAATTTAACGAATAAATTTTTCATAATGTCTACTGAGCAATAGCAAACAAAATTACATAGACTGCAAAACTACTATCATTAATTTGAAAAGGGTGAAATCACTGGAACTCAATTGAAATCTCAATTACAAACTAATTTAAAAATCAGATGGAATCCAAATTTAGAGAACATGATCCATCAAGTTGATCCATCATATACTGATTTTGTTAGATCAGTCAATAAAACCAACAAGTATGTGCCAAAATAGACAACTACTCAATTGACCGAATAAATCAATTACCCAAAGAAAATAAGAACTGAACATATGTATTTTATAAATTTAATTAAAATAGAGGCCATGCGGATTTACTTAAGTGGGATTGATTAAAAATTATATGTATATAAAATAATACTAAGCATAATATACAATTAAGTTCCTTTAATTATAACAATTTATAATGGCAATTAACATTCTTATAGCTTATTTTTATTTCAACTTATAAAAAATAAATGAAAAATCATTACATTCCAAAAAGTTCAGAAAGATATGGCAAACTCGTTTTACCCATACGTCATTCACTTCCCGTTGGACTATTCTCTAGTTAGAATTCTCTATTCGCTTCCATTATCTCTGTAAAGAACAGGGAGGAAAACAGTAAAAGCCAAAAAAAGAAGAATTCATAAACACATTTCGAAGCATCAACCCAAAGAGCGGTAACACCAAATAGTTAAAACAAATGCATACCATTTACAACAAAGTATCATCTAAGTAGTCAACCACAAAAACAAAAAAAGAAATCTAATTTAATAAATAAGGAATCAATTTAATCCAAGATTTCGAATCTTATCTGTTAAAATAAAAGCGCAGATTTTAATAATATGAGTTCTTAATGCAGGGATGGAGATGAATAAGAAATAACTAAAATTTTTAATAATCTCAAATGTATTAGTCAACAGATTAATGCAATTAAGGCTAATTAATTATCACAATAGATTTTATCACAATGGTAAAAAGTAATGACATCCAATTGTGAAAAACTAGTAGAACTAAATAAATCAAAAAAGAAATCTGAGATGGAATGTCCATAATTAATAAAAAGCAACAGTTCATCGTCCTAAATAAATGATGCCTCTGGGCTCAATCTTGAAAAATTGCTAGCTGAAGAAAGGAGAAATAGACTATTAGTAGAAGAATAGACTAGCAAAATAATATCAAGTCAGGAATCTGAAATTAAATCATATGTAAATATATACTCTATATAATTAGATTGAGAAAATAAAATAATTAGAATAGAGATTGATCGAAAAGAATTCTTGGCAAACATGATTATAAGAAAATATGTGTAGTATTATTTATTCCTCAATTTTATTTTATTTCAACAGATGATGGTAAAAATTTAAATCTAAATTTTGTAAAACTTATTTATTTCTTCAAAATGCATAAAAAAATTTAATAATAAGGACTAAAAATCCCACTCAATCTTAATTCAAATAAAATGAAATAATAACACTAATGTGTCTTGAGAGAAATCTAAAATAAACAAACTAGAAAGTTGATATAATTTAGGTAAATACAAAATCGTTTATTTACAAGGAATTAAAGAGAAACTAATAAATATAAATGTATTAATACATTTTTCATTTTTTACTTTACTTTGAAGGCGTTTCTAAAATGACTAATTATTTGGACTTTATCATTATGCCTAATTACAAAGAATGATCACAAACGAGAAAATACTATCATTTCAACAAATTTAAACTAATTTCAAAGGGAGAATTGGTTGAAAAATAATAAATTTAATAAACAAGTTTATTGGTTCTAATAACAGTATGAGAAATAAATTTAAGTTGATTAAGGTTTGTATCTTAGCATTTAAAGAATTTCTAAACTCTCTTCAACTTGAGTGTTTTGAATAAAACCCTGAGTCATTATATTTGTCAACATAAGATAAATTTTATTTGAAAAAATAAGACTCAAAAAATGAACTAACTTGAATTAAAAGCTGTTCACTCTCTGCTTAAACTAGCAAGAGAGGAAGAAACAATAACTTAGAGAGATTGGGAACCTTAATCTCCCATGCACCTTGATTAGATCTCACCTCAACCAAAAACTCTTAATTACAATAGAAGAAAAGTCAGGGTGATTCCTAATCTTCAAGGCAGACAAAGGTCTTCAGTTGAGATGAACTATGATTGTTAATAACATTCAGAATTACCATAAAAAGAAAATTCGCTTTAGTAAATTATAGAAGAGTATATGAAATAAATACGGTAAACTCAAAGATAAATAGAATCAATACACAAATAAAAATTTGATCTGAAGTCTGGTTGGATGAACTTCAGTTCAATAATTCTCGAAAACAAATAAAAATTAACTTAGAAACACAAAAGGTCTTCATTAGAATTATAATTGAAAGAAAATAATCAACAAAAAGTATAGTAACAACAATCATTCAAAAAGACGTCGCTTCAAAAAGTATTAAATAATGAATCTTTTTTTTTACCAAAATTGAGATCAACATATCTAAAATGATTCATTTAATATTTCAAGTTTGCTCAATTTGTTTTCTTTTCCTCTTCCCATTATTTATTATCCAATGGACAAGTATTTTTAGTTTTGAGCCATTATCTTATGCAATGTTCATGATAGGCATGTCCACATTTTCCTTATTAAGTAATGCAAACCTCCTTTTAATCTTTTCCTTCACATTCAATACATCTTTCCATTATATGATTTTTGCAAATAGCACAATGTTCAACTTTCAAACTCCAAGCTAATATTAAAAATGTGTATATACACCAAAATGCAACAGGGTACCATTTCTTAATCTCAAATCTTCCTTTTTCTTCTTATTACATAAGTATTAATTATTAATAATATATTATTTAAAAATTGACTCTAAATAACACTTGAAAAATATTTCTATTATTACACTTTTTAATAATATTATTTCTAATTTATAGACTCATCACTCATAATGTGTTTAATACTTTTTCTATTGTATCGAAAGCTGAATTAAGTTCTTATTCATTAATGATTAAGGGTGGGGTTAATCTAAGAGATGATAAGATTTAAGTACCTCATAATGGTTTTGTGTGTAGGTTTGCAAAGAAGTCCTTCTTTTGCCAATCTAAGACAGAAATCCCAGGCAACATCCCCTTTTCCCTCTTAGAATTGAATGGCTCCCATTAATCCCCTGCTTCTAATTTGAGTGACATTATTGTATTTCTTCAAAGCAACTAATCTTTTCTCCATCACTTTGCCTAGGTTGTTGGCATTTTCAATCATTTTTTCTTCTTATAATACTTCTAAGGCTTTAATGCACAGACTGGCTGCCAAAGGATTGCCACCATATGTGGATCCATGCTCTCCTGGCTTAATTTGCAACATGATCTAATCATCAGCCAAAACTGCAGATATTGGATAGAATCCTCCTGATAATGCTTTGCCCAACAACACCATATCAGGCCTGACATTTTCCTATTGGATAATTCAAGTATTAGATACATATTCAACAGCTAACATTTTGCCAGTTCTGCCTAAACCTGTTTAGATTTCATCTACAATCATCAACACATTGTATTTATCACATAATGATCTTACTTATTTCAAGTAATTTGAATGGGGAATTATTACTCCGTTTTCTCCTTGGATAGCTTCAAAGAAAAAGGCAGCATAATTTGGATTAGCTTTAAACTTAGATTCAATTGCTTCAACACTATATAGAATATGCAATTTTCATTACTTGTTGTAATCGACGAGATCAAAGTTCAAGCCACCGAATGGTCCGAATTTGTTATATCTTTCGGGATCATCACTACTACCGCATGCTGCGATAGTTCTACCCCAGAAATTGCCATTTGCAAAGAGAACTCTTGCTTAATTTTCAGGAACCTTTTTTACATTGTATGCCCATCTTCTGGCAAATTTAACTGCTGATTCTCCTGCCTCCACTCCTGAATTCATGAATAACACTTTATCATATTTGAATAGCTAGGTTATGTACTTCTCAGCCTCTCCTAGTTTATTGTTATAAAATCTAGTTTTTCATATTTTATCATACGCTCTTGAAGTCAAGGTTAATTGAGAGGCTTATTGTATTAATTCTTAATAGATCTTGTCATGACAGTGACCTTGATTAACTGCTGAGTATGCTGCTAAAAAGTCCATATACTTGTTTCCTTCTTGATCCCAAACATATATTCCTTTTCCTTTGGAAATTACAACAGGCAATGGATGATAATTATGACATCCATATTAGTTTTCTAATTGTACAAAGTATTAACTATTTTTGACCTGTGAGAATTTGGCAATCGATTTGAACATAAGATTTTTCATTTGATAAATTAATACGTAATATTTTGATAATGAAAACTTCACAAATTAATTTTTAATAGTCATAACACATGATCTTAATTGGAATTGATGAATTTTTTCTTATCTTCAATGTACAGCGCTAATATTTCTAATCCTTGTATTGGCAAGATGGAGTTTGTGATTTCATTTGGTGGGAGTAAATAGAGGTGGCTATTTCCTACATATGCAACCCCAATCTTATTCTTTTCTGAAAAATAATCTATGTATTCCTAAAACACGGTATTCTAATGATATGGTTAAAATCAGAACCTAAGTGGCATCGGAAGGACAGAGAATGAATTTGAAAGCCTCGTTGGCTAACTTCTTGGCATCAGTAAAGTTTCCCTTATAATTCACTTATATTTATGGAGACATAGTTATGGGAGCCTATATTTATTAATAGTAAATCCAATTACTTCTGATTCTTAACATTTGGCATCCACTCCAACCTTATGACTCTTGCTTCTAAACATAAATCCACTCCAAAATGTATCCCAATCTTATCGCTACTATTATTGTGGATTAGTGTCGAAGTTTAAAAACCCATCCAGAATCTCTTGGTTTCCATTAAGATTGGTATTCAGTTTGATTTTCATATCTTAATCTTGAGGTTGAATTTATTAGGGAAGATTAAATTATGTTGGATCTACGAATTGATGATACATCCTTCGATCTTGTTTAGGCATCATGAATTGCTACTATTTTGGCTACTGGAACATGACTTATTAAGGGATGAAGAGTGGCTAATAGTTACACTAAAAGGGTTATGTGACTTGGGGTATCATCATCATATTATTTGGTAGTGGTTGTTATGGGATCATTTGGATTGGTTGATATTGTTGTGGTGGTTGTTGTTGTTGTTATTAGATGAGCTTCGTTGGAAGTGAGACTATTCCCACTTCGCACTTTGAATCGCCTAAGAGGTCTACTAAATGCTATTGTAGGTAGTTTCTTATCTGGATTGCTTGTTTTGTGTCCCTGAATTATAGAAGAGTGTATGATTTATAATTTGGATCTTGTTGAATGTGATTCCATTGGAGAGGTTGGCATTAATGATTCTGGCATATCTTTTAATTATGATTTAAAAAATTACTTCAAACAAAAACGCATGATCAACTTTTTTATTTAAATTAGGAGGAAAAAATATAAATAATAGTGATGAAAGTTTAGAATGTTACTCATTTGATAAACTAAAATTTGTAATAAAATTTACTTATTGCCAACAATATTGTGTCTTTTTATAGGGTCAGAAAAATAAATTTTTATTTAAGTAGAAAATTATTATTAAATACTATCCATTTCTTCATAGGCAGAAATAGCTTAATCTATCTAAATTCAAATAAAAAAAAAGTTTATACAGTAAAAAATTTTATATAACTGTTAAATATATTATGCTTATTAGGATACAGATCAACCCTCTCTATAGGGCCAAATTATGAAAAAATCTATAATTTTCACATTCTATTACCTAGCGAATCTTCAATTCATCATAATTCTTGGATATTCCACTAACAAACAATTCTCTAACAAAAAGTTGAGTTTATATTCTTGGAGATGGCTCCAAAGGAGTAATGGGTCCATTAGTTAATACTTGTTTGTTTTTCTCCTAAGATCTGGATCGAGATCTAGACTTGCATTTAGTAAAAGCTTGTTTATCGATTTAAGGCTTCACAGTCCAATCCCCGATTCTACCATCTTGAATTGCCTTATCAGCCGCATCATTATCAGCAAAAGCAATAAAAGCATAACATGAAATATGTAAAGGTAATCCTTTAGTCAATTAACTCCTATACCTGTAGGTGTTTTTCTGATGATCCTGATGTCTAAAATGTTTCCATAAGTTTAAAAGGTTTATTGCAATTATTAGGTTGTGACATTTAAAGGTAAGTTGGCGACATGGATTTTTTGTCTAGCAGAAATAGCTTAAGTAGGGTTTGGAACAGGTAAGGGATACTATATGAGTGGATTTTGAAATTGATGAGAAACTAAAGAATTATTGAGCATAGAAATTTAAAAATATTAATATCATTTTGATATTTTATACTTCCTCTTAAATTTGTGAATTGCAAGACTCCAAAATTAAGTGTCTTAATACAATATACGTACATCACAGACTCGATTTGTTTTTCATGAAATAACATTCCCTTTTTTATATATATATATAAATAAATTAAATGAATAACAACGATGAAATTATATAGAAGTTGGATGTGATAGTTGCAAATTACTTAAATCAAAAGGATCATAATGGTTAACTTTTGACTGAAAAATATTCGGAGACTTACATATATTCTTTAGTTCAGAAACATTTATTTGATTATGAAGCAATTTTTACAGCATCTTAAAAATCTGTAATTGATGTCTTTGATTTTATAACTTCCCTCTTGAAAGTAAATTTACCTTCATTCAAAATAGTTTACTTCAGAACCCATTGAAGATACCTTATTCATAATTGTATAAGCCATAGATTTCTTCAAAGCAATCTGCGAAGAATATCAAACCTACACTATCAAATTTTCTGACCTTTCAAGTTATCTCTGCAAATACAATCCCAATTTGGATGAGGTATATATCCCATTTGATTTTAATAGAAGGATGTCCCTTTACAAAACAGAACCATCACTTATCACAAATATCCTCCTTTGAAATAATTCAATAAGCCACAAAGCAGACAAGTAAGAAGCATTGATTTGGAAGCACCAACAATCCTTGGAACTTTGGGTCATTACATAAAAAGAATCAACAAAGACAAAATATACATAGACTCCCAGAAAAACCAAAATAGTTCTATTCTAAGAATGTAATATTAGGAGTCTGAACTCAAAATTCTAATCCTCCATCAATACAGTGATTTCATTAGCATTTACAATCCTGATTGCACATTGTAGAGCAGATTGAGACCCAAGGCTCAACAATTGAGAAATATCATCCACGACTTTAATTGGTCTGAAGAACAATAACGAATAGGAATTGTGTTTAAAGACGCATGGATTTGTTTCATGGATTAGAGTGACTAATTTGAATTGGAGAAGTATTTTACTACAAAGGTCGATCAACATAGGATCTACTATGTCCAAAATAAATGGATGACTGTGGGAGTTGATTCAAAGATATCAATATGGAATTTGGAAACTGAGAATAGTTGTGTTATTTCTCATGATCAAATTAAGAATGTTGTAAATATCATTGAAATAACCTATTTATAATTAGTGTGCATAGCTTGTTAGGATAAATTGACCATGTGGGACTTATGGGAATACAACAAACCCAAATTACTCTTTAAATTATAAGTCAATCATAGCCGATTGAATAACATAGTATTCTTTTAAGAATATCACCTAATTATAACCTCTGGCTTTGACACCAAGGTTAATCTCTATCAATTGCATAAGAAATACAACGACGGAGACTATGTTGGCTAATTGGAAGGTCATACTGCAATAGTTACTGCAATCTAGTGTGTAGAGAAATCCCCAATTGTAATAACTACTGATGATCGATTGATTGTAAAATTATGGGATATCAGAATTATGAAATGCATACAATCTTTTGATTTAGAAATGAGACAATCTATCAATTACATCACTATAATGCAGAATCTATCTAGTGTATGTTTTGCTACCAATCGATTAATAGTAATGGCTTTTGAAGGTCACAATAAAAATCTTTCTTAACCTAAACCTTAAAAGTAGAGGACTTTGCACTTATTCCCTAAATAAGTGGAATTGGATGCTATAAAAAAATAATTGATTGTTTCAACCAATAGAGATATCCGAATAATCAATTTATCCAATGGATAAACGGATACCATAATTAAGGCTATGATTGGTCAAACCGATGATATGATCAATCAATTTAAACGTATTATATGTCAATATTCAAAGCAATTCAATAGCATAAAAAGATTGTACTTGGAACAACAAAGGGACTTATCAAAATATTCGATACATATTCTGGTGATCTTATCAAAGAATACTAAAATAATAGTAATAAAATTACTCATCTGTCTATTGACTATCAAAACAGAATAATATCGACCTCATCACTGGATGGTTAGTTACATATCTATAAGGAGAATAATTTGAATTTTGAATCCCTAAGGAAAGCTGAAAATGTCCATAATGGCATTGATTATTGTTATGTCTCATTGTTTCATGATTTGATTATTACAGCTGGTGTTGACATTGTATGTTTATGGAATCTGGAATTCACTAAACCAGTCTCCACCATTAGAACAGAATCAGCCCCAAAAGGTGTTCATATTCTGGATGGCTAACGCATAATTATCATTGGGTGTAAGACTAATACATATTTCCTCCAATTTGACAAAAGTGAAGAATAGTACTTTTATCAGCAACTAGGATTCATCCCATAAAGTTGCTGTGCTTTCACTGATAAAAATGGTACTGTTCTATTAGGATCTAGAAGAGGCTTGATTTGTAAACTCTCATTTACCATCAATAAATGTCAGAAGGCGTAGTTTCACCCCTTCAGATAAAATTGGGAAGACTATAGCATTGGTGTCAATAATCACAAAGTAACTAGATTTGTTGTCAATACTACTCATGAACTGAAACTGGATTCATAAATAGAAGCTCACAAAAAAAGATTATCACACATAGATTTCATTTCTTTGGAAGGTGATAATGTAATAAAGGAAGGTCAGTAAAAGGTAATAACCACATCTAAAGATGGCTTTTTAAAGATCTTTGATTATCCATCCTTTGATTTAATGTGTGCATTGAATGTTAATCATGTTCTACCACTTAAATGGTCGATCACAATAGATGAACATGAAATCATGAAATTTAAAGTGGCTTTTGCATTAAAAGTAATTCATTTTATTAGGTCTCAACCTAATCTAACCATAAGTCATCTAAGAATGCTTGAACCTAACTCAATATTTAAAAATTTACTGGGTCAAAAGAAATTCTTTAAATAAAATACAAATGAAAATAAAGTTCAATTGTTGTAAGACTTTTATGAACCAAGGGATTTGGTATTCCAAAAAGTTAAGGGATTCTATAAAAATGAATTATAAGGATTTTCCTTAAAATAAATTGAAGAAAAAAAGAAAGCTTTACTACAAGCCAAAATGTTTGAAAAGGATTATAACGAATAAAACTTCTAATCAGAATAGAAACAAAATGAAGATATAGGAAATAAAGAATTTAAAAGTTGGTAGTAGTTCCTTCATCCAAATTTCAGGAAAAATGGAGTACAAGGAGAAATTGAATAGATTGAAAGATTACATATGGTTCATCAATTCGAAAAAAGATTAGATCAAGTCTTAACTAAAGAAGATGATACAAATATTAAGCCAAATGTTTCAGGAAGGAGGTATTCAAAAACTAAATAAGAAATCTAAAACAAAAGTGCAAACAAGTCTTCAAGGTTAAGATCAACTCTTCCTTTCTTTCAATATGCTAGTGACAGAAAATTAGCATCGATTCCTGCCTCAACTGATACTTCTCAAAGATCTACTCATGTTGGGTATGATACTATGAGAGAAGAATATTCAAAAAAGAGAATCTAAAGAGTTTAATTTTTGTCGTAAAATATTGGCCAATTGATCTCTGACTTGGATTAGAATAAAAAAAAGTAAGGGCTAGAAATAGGTGAAAACACTATGAGAAAGACTAGTGGATAAGTATTTAACTAGATTGTTAATAAATTGAATGAGAAACTCAGAGATTCAAAGTTTAAGAAATACTCTAGAAGTATGTGTAAGTAAGATCTAGAAGGAATTTTAATCGATGCTCATCTAGATTCAATGCACTCTAAACAATCCTTAAGAAAATTGCCTTGATTTTAGAATTTATATTAATTTTAATTCATTTCTATATGTATATGATAAATCTAAAGATTATTATGTAAATAATTCTTTATTCATCTAATATTTATAAGAAATAACACATTATTTTAAATTTATTGTTATTATAATGGGATAAACCTGTTCGTGTCAACAGAAAATTGATGAGGACTAATATCTTGAAGATTCTCAACATTAAGCCAACTAGCAAAAGCAAACTGAACTCTCTCCAAATGCAGATAAGATTGAAGGGGAAGAATAAGAATAAGAAAAAGAACAATAAACCGTTGACATAGATCCAATACAACTGAAATCATATGAAATTGAGGATAATTGTCCATAAGGCCTTTAACCACTTTCATTTTAAGCCTAATAAGAATTCATTGATTAATTTCCTGCTATTGTGAAAAAATAACTGTAGAAACTACCAAAACTTGAAATTAGGGTGTCATTATCACCAAATTATAAAAGAATCCCTCTAATTGATACGCCGTAATCATTATATCTTAATACTTAGTTATTAATTATAAAGTGGAGATGTTTATGTAGGATAATGGGCTGAAGGAAAACCCTTTGGTTTAGGCAAAATATATTATCTTGATCACCAAGTTTATGAAGGCCAAGTTATTGATGGAGTTCCTGATGGAGAAGGCAGAAAAATATTCAAAGATGGTTCATATTACAGTGGTATTATACATACTATAATTCAAAAGGGCAATTTAAAATAGGAGAAATAAGCGGAAAGGGTAAGTTCACAAGATTGGATGGTTTCAAATACGAAGGTGAACTCCTAAACGGTTTACCTGATGGCAATGGAATTGAAACTTGGCCAGATGAAACCACTTATTAAGGAATGTACAAATTAGGTAAAAAACATGGAAAAGGTACTTTCACGTGGGGTAATAGGAAAAATAAGAGCACAGGTAAATTAGAAACATATACTGGCTAATTTAATAATGATTTATTTTATGGATCAGGAAGATATGAATGGTCTGATGGTAGGATCTATGATGGAGAGTGGGTCGATGGAAAAATGGAAGGGGAAGGATAGTTCATATGGCCAGGTATTTAGTTGTTTTTAATCTATTTTAGATAAGAGAAAATACACTGGACATTATTTGAAAGATTTCAAATCTGGTTACGGTGAATTAGAATGGCCTGATGGAAAAAAATTGGCAGGTTAATGGAGAATGGGCAAATTGAATGGAATCGTCACTCTCACTATCAAAGGTAAAGTTAAGGAAGGATAATCTGAACCGGAACCTGATAAAGTTTTTATATCAGAATGGGAAGACGGAAAAAGAATGAGATGGGTGGATAATTTAAATCATAGTGGAATACACAGCAATATTAGTTTTATAAGGAATTTTGATGAACATTAATTTCAATAAAACACTAGCCAAATGTTACATACACAAATAAAATAAGATGATATGTAGTCATATTAATAGAATTCTGTATTAAATAATTCTAAAAACTAACAATAACAAACAATTTTTTAATAAAATTCATATACCAAGTAACAGTAATAATAATAATAATAACAACAATAATATTAATAACAAAAATAATAATAGTAAAATCAAAATAATTAATCTATAAAATAAAATTAATATGAAGTAGCCAGCTACATTATTGAGGAGAATTAATTTTAATAGTATAGTGAAACTAAGAAATAACACTAATCTCAAAGTATAATAGGTAAGGAGAATAATTAACAGAACTAAAAAGAAAAAATAGGTATTTGATAATAATTTATATTTATATTAAATATATACTTAACTATTCTGTAGATTATGTTAATGAAAAGTGGTTATTCTTATGATCATGCTTTGGATTTTCTATTAAATAGTAGATTAATTACATTTGTTGAGTTTTTATCTTAGATCTCATTATTATTTTTATAATTTTCTTATGAATAACATATAAATTGATGAAATAATCAGGAAATGTGTAAGTTGTTATTTTTTCAGTTGGATTTTTAAGTATTTTCTTTGAATCACTATTTGTTTAAGTTTTCCTTCTCATGTTTCTTTTAAATGGCAGTAATGAATTGGATTTATGGTCATTTAATTTTGAATAAAACTACTATACAAAAGATTTCATCACATCATCTTCAATTAAATTTATCTATTAAATTTAAGCATTAGTAGGAGTATAAATATTTTGTTGAATTAAATTCTTCAGCCAAATCAATTTTTTTATGGTTTAATTTCAAAAACGAAAGTACTTTAGTTTATTGTTTGATTTTTCTAAATCTTCTCCTAATGGAGCTTATTATTATTAGTCCATTATAAAATTAGCCTCCTTTACAATATTATGATCAGATTCTGAATTTTAAATATTCTTAAGGTTTCAAGTGTTTAATTTTTGAATAGTTTCTGATTTCAATTTAATGTTCTCTTTGACAACGGGATCAAAATTAATATGCATCAAACCTTATCTACAGAAATACTCCACAAGAGCATAAAATTTCATTTCACCAAACTTGAAGTGTATCTTATGTTTTTATTAACTCTATCTTAGTTCTTATTACTCTTTCTAAATAATTTGTGCTAAAAACATCTAATTTTGGAGGTCTTAAAGAGTCAGCATAATTTTTGACAGCCATCATTTTTAGAGTAATACAGCGCTTTTCTTTTTCTCATATTCATTCTACTGTTTAAGGATAGCCGTTCCAACAGGTGTAAAATTTTCTTTTAATTCTGTATCAATTAAACAGGTATCGGTTGATCCGTTATGCCAAACTCTCAATTCATATTTCATAAGGAAACCATGTTACCAAGCTTTCTCGCCTAATAATCTGCCTGGCATTTTTTTCAATATTTTTTCTCCAGGTGATCCAAAAAAGGATTATATTTAATCGATCTAATTTAATGTGACTCTTCTTTGCAGAATTGTTTTCTACAAAATTTTCGAGTAGAATTCTTTTCACAGCCTTCCTCACGCAATTTAAGATACATCATTGCATTGCTGTTAAAAGATGTATGAATACGAGTACAAATAGAAAATATATTAATGATTTATGTAATTATCTTCATTAAGAGAAAGATCAATAATGATGATAAATATACCTATACGAATTGATTATGATTACAAAGCTATTACACTCTAACGGATAATTTATATTTTCAGAAAAATTTTACTAAATAAATTCATATTTTTATATTTCAATTAATAAAAGCGATGTGCTAGGACTATAATGAATTCATATTTAGATTATGATAGAATACTAGAGATAATGTCATGATTATATACTGATATCATATTTTTTAATTTTCTAATTTAATATAAATCTATTTAGTAATAAAAATTAATTATGATAATTTTATTATAATTATCTTTATAATTAAAATATATGCCACCCAAAAAAGAGGAAAGAAAACCATTGGAGCCCATTTTCCAAGAAATCCCATTGTTTTATGAATACATTGATTATTCAAATGAGCAGATGGAATAATTAAATGAGTATTTGAATTACTTCAAACCAGAATTGAGTGCTATAATGAAAAATAATATTTTCGAAAATATGGAACTACTTAGTCAAACGATAAGGATAGCTATCCATCCTTCATTTATTAAACCAAATTAGATCATTGATTTGAACGATTTCGATGAAAACACAAAATTTAGAAACCCTGAAGATCTCGACGGAGATTAAGTACCATAAATGATTCAAATAAATTCTGTAATTTTGATTATTTATTGTAATATAGATAAAAATAGATCTTTATACATTAAAATTATTGGATTATTGTGCTGGCATAAGCGGATTGACAACAATCAAATTATCAAATAATAGTTTAACATCCAGATAATACCAATAGTTAGCAGCAATAATAAACAATCCTGAAAACAAAATAAAAAAGCTGTTTATTGATTGGTAAGAAGTAGATGAAAGCTTCTTGTAATAGGTGTAGCAAGTCGAGTTTTTAACATTAAGATCTTGTTAATTAAGTATAATTTAGGTCTTAGCATTTAGCAAATAAGTAAATATAATCTTTAACGTCGGATGTGTAAAATTTGAAATGCTTAGATCTTTATGATAATAGATTATCAAGAGAAGCCTTGAATTTGATAGGGAAAATGTTAGGTTAAAATGGTTCTATGGAATTTCTTGGTCTAGCTAAAAATGGAATACAATCTTTCGATGATCTATAAGGAATAACTTAGAACATCGGTAGATTTCAAATGAGTCAAGAAGAATATGAGGAGTATAAGACGAAAGAAAAGGAGAGAGATGCAATTATTGAAAGAAATAAGAAAGTGAAGAAAAAGGGAACAGAAGAACCTGTGCCATTCTTAGAATCAATACAACAAATAGATAACAACTGGTATCTTATTAAGAATTCGAAATTGTGTTTGATAAACCTATCGATGAATTAGATTGATGATTAATCTAGAGATGCCATAGAAAAGTTCTTATTATAAACAGGTGAAAACTTCTAATTGGTTTTGATGAATAATAGATTTGATGATCAGAAAGCTTTGCAGAAAACAAAAAAGAAGTTTGGAAAGAAATTAGTATTATGATTATATTTATTTTAACTCAATGAAATCAACAAAAGCAAGACAAGTTACAAATACATCTCAAATTGAAACTACACTGAACAATTAGAGTATTTCTTCTCGTAAGGTTCCAAAATTGCCATACTTATACATAAAGCACAATCAAGTTCTATCTACATCTCGAAAACTCTTGATAGATGAGAATTCTGTTCTCATTCAGTTAAATGGATAGAAAAAGGAGCTGCTAAAACTGATTTATGATCGATAATTGGATGAAGCTATAGATAGTAAGTCAGTCTTACAATAATGTAGCAACAAAGAAATTAGTTTAGTAATGCATTGCCTATGATCTGAATATATTCGGAAAATCACTTCACATACTTGCGGACATGTATATATCCAATAGGGAATTTGCTAATGGATTGTACATTTACAACGTGCTTAGAGTTTTGGGGGACGTTTAAAACAATTAAGCACTTAAAATTGAAGCTCTGATTCAAATGGGAGATTTATGCAAACTATAATAATAGTATCAACTCAGCAAGATATTTCTGAAGAAAGCTCTTTAGTATGTTTGGTATTTGAATGATACTGAAAACGAAGCAACAATTTATGATTATTTTGGAGTTCTTTATTACGTGTAAGGAGAATTAAGATTGGCGAAGGAATATCATGACAGAGCTATGAATTTTATAAAAGAATCTAATGATAGTGCAGCACGTAAACATGGAATAGAATATGTGAAGACATACATTAAAAGAATAAATTATTAATCTCAAGTCATGAATAATATGGTATTGTCTAAATTAGGATTGATCTAAGGCAATGAAACAGAAATTAAATTAAATACACTCCTGGATTTCAATATTTTGACAGAATAAATTTTATAGGATTATGAATTTCAAGTTGAAATGTCAACACCAAATAGACCGCAAAGATGTATAACTAAAAATGGAGTGCTTCAAAATGATGTTGACATGTTTGAAAATGTAAAAGAATTGCATGAACGATAAAAAAAAAGAAAGTTTTTTGAAAAAAAAATACCAGTAATGCATCTAACTCGATCAGTTTTCAAATAAACTATTGAAGAACAACTTGAATAAAGAATGAAAACAGATAAACAAAAAAATGTATAAATATTCTTTTCATTAGTCTGTGGAAGAATATAAGAAGTAGTTATAAAAATTTCATACTTATAAAAACTTCCCTGAAAAATTAGAAAAAGTCAATATTAATCATTTGTCTCCAAACAGAAATCTTATTGGTTTTAAATATAGTTTCAAACCTATGCGCCATTCATTACTTGATCTATTTGGCGAGATTGAATAATATACCTATTTACATTCATCCTGATTTTCTGATTTTCTTCATTAGTACACAAAATAAATATTATTAATATTTCAAATATGAGATTTCAATTGAGTAAGTTCACTCTATTCTTATTTTATATCATTTAATCTATGGAAATTCTTATTTATTGATTGATTTAATTGCATTCTGAATAAGGATGTAATCTAGAAATGAATGAATGTCTATTATATTAAATATTTAATTTTGGATATGAGAAGATTAATTGTCAACCAAACAAGAAGTAAGACAGTTGCAGCTCGTCCAAGTGCTAATTTAGATAGGATCAATAAATGGTTGTAAACTCTTACAGCTAAAGCCAATACTTTAGAGAGCAGATTTTACACATCATAATTAAGTTCCTTGTTTAATTTCTATTCTAAACCAACCACAGGTGCAGCCTAAGTAAGAGCTTAATTAAATGGTAGGAAATTGATTGGAATTACTGGAAAGAATAAATTACAACAGAAGGATTGGTTGATAAGGTATAAAAGGGTCACGAGACTCTCCTTAATAAAGAATTTGATGTTGAACGCATTTGTCATCAAGTTGTTTCCAGTTAAAGCAAAGAATTAGAAGACTTAGAAAATGAACTCACTTTCCATAGTGCTGTCTGGAGCAATTACTATTTGGATTAACATTTGGCTTTACTCGATTTAGAGTAATATGGAGACAGAAACAGTTACGTCAGTACTCTAATTATATTTATGCATTAGTTCATGAGGATTACGATTTTTATCCTGGATTAGAAGCAGATTTAGAAGAATTAACAGAAACTCATAATTGGATTCCAGGATCAAAGGATGACATCAACTTGAAGGGTTACATGGTTTCTCAATTCTAATGGGGAAAGAAGATCATTTCATTTTACAGACATCCTTGTGATGACTTCAAAGCTGCAAGAGGTACCAAAAATATCTTGGGTAGATGAGATTTATACATGCAAAATATTATAAAACAATATAATATGCTTAATACAAAATATTTATTATTTATCTAATTAAGATATACAGATTTTATTATTAGCATACTTATGTGATAAGATTTAATTATTCAATTAATTGTATTAGTATAAAAGGAATTCAAAAATTAAATAATGTTTTTTTTTTAGGTAGTTAGATTTAAGATATTTCAATAATATTTATTGTCTGCAAGTATAGCAACTTCATTTTTATATAAAGGAAACAAATATATAATAACACTCTTAGAAATATATAATAATTATATCTTGTGAGATATTAGTTATAATATTATATACCATCAATTTTATGATATTTAATATTCCTTTCATAAAATGTGATCTAGATCTCTCCCTTCTCTGTTAGTATTGTAAATTCTATGAAATTCTTCATAATTATTATAAATTGAATTAATTATGTCATTTTTCATTTTTATCATACTCAATTGGGTAATTGTCGTCTTAACAAATGTAGACTTAGATTTCATTATGTTAACACTGCACTTTTGAACTATTTAAATAGACTTAGTAAGGAAATTCAGGATTATCATCCAAGACTGTTTCTACTAATGTACCTTTAGGAGCAGTTATAATAAATAAAGTTTCACCTTTATGATCTATTTGCTGAGTTTTTAAGAGCTCCTTAAAATCTTCTTGTGTTAGATAAGTGTATTTCGCAATATCAGGTTCTGTCTGAATCTTCTCTTGTAGATTTTTTTATAAGTGTTCAATATAAAAGTCATAAGTCTTTTCTTCATTTTATAGTTATTCTAGTTCTTATTTGATCTATTATAGTTCTTTCTCCAGATGTGGATCATCTGTGGCACCAACCCATTTAATTTTGTTTTTTGAGATTTTTTCAATAAAGCCTATACCTTCCAAAACATTTGTAATGTCATACATTCTTCTCTTTTGCACTCCCAAGACATTGACAGCCATATTCAAATCAATTGTGAGATCATTTGAATTTTAGATTAGTTCGACAAACTTTTTTGTTAAGACAGACAAAGAATTATCGTGTCTTGCTTTTGACTTTCCACTGCTTTTTAGTTCTTCGTCATTCGATTCATTGAAGGAATTCTCATCATTAGAGTACTCTTCCTATAAATTTTTTTTTTCCGACTCCAATTTAATTTGTTTTCGCTTCATATTCATGCAATTATTAATTTTTTATTTCGCATTATAAAGAACTCTTGATTTACCTTCATATAGATGTGAATCGTAAGGCAATAGTGAATTTTGGAACACAAAAGAAATAATATTCTTCACCCAAAATAAACGTATATATAAATTCGCTAATCTCGAGACAACTAAATTAAATAATAATAATCCAGAGTATAAATATTTCTGAAAAAAAATAATTTCACTTATGTTGAATTTATGAAAATTTAGACCTGAAAACATTCTTGACATTTTTTCTGAATTTATTAGACATTCCATTATTTCCTAAAAACAAGCTTTGGTAATTAAAATTATTTACTAAAAAATTAACAATAATTTTAGAAAAGGTAGTAATAATTATAAAATAATTTTATTTCTTTGTATTATTCACGTTTGGTATATATAGGTTTCTATTTATTTTAACAGACTTTTCTTTTAAGAGCTCAAATTAAGTCAACAAAAAACTTCTCTCCTTAATAAAATACCAGTTTTTTTTAATTGTTAGAAACTTCTGGATGAGTTATGAATAATATTGATCTACTCAAATTTTATTTCATTTTAATTGTCTTATTATGTAGATGTAGACATCTGATGCTCAATTTGAATTGATTTACCAAAACCTCTGTAAGGATGATAGGTTTTGCTTTGATTTAAGAATGCAATTCGAGAAAATTTTAAAAGCTGAGCAAGAGAGATATCGTGCATACAGTGATCTCGCTAACTTTCTGAGCGGACTAGCTAAGGAACCTTTTTAAGAAACAATATCTATAATTGAAATGCTGGAAGAACTCGCAAAGAGCATATAAGAAGTGAATTTAAAATACATGGAGAAATATAACGATGACTAGGATAAAGGACTTATTAAATTGTTGAAATCAAAAATAATACCCAGCTTGGTAGATGGACAGAGATCTGTTGAAGTTTAGAAGAAGGCATTAAATGAATACAAAGAGAAAGCCATAAGATTAAAGAAATTGGAGTAAAAGAAGGAGGAATACATGATGAAGAATGACGATAAGTTGCTCAACATAGAGAAGCAAGTATAGGAGGCTAGGAGAGAGAAACTGGAGAAGGGATAAACATTTAACTTCACATATTAAAACTACGTCGAAGATAAAAATGATGAGTTAAAAGGCCTGTTCAAGCACTTCTTCAATAGGCTTCTGGTGATATCTACGGCAGGTCTTCAGCATTACTCATTGGCCATCAATAAGGTTCACACAACAAATGAAATTAAGGAAATTGAATTTTAATTGGGAGAATTGGGTATTATAAAGAGGAAAAAAAAGTGATTATGATTTATCAAAATATAATAAATTTTATAAGCTTCTTTTAAAGGAATGTAGGGTAAATCTTAATTATCTGAGATTCTTGGTTTGAAAATAATGAATTTGAGAGGGTGCAGAATATTGAGATAATTTGATAACAAGAATATTAATTCTTTTATTTAATGAAAAAATTAATAAAAATACTAAATGAACTCAATTTTAATGGAGATTGATCAGTACTCAGCTCGTGCTGTCAATGAGGATTAAGCCCTAATGAGTAAGAGAGGTGATTAAGAACAAAGAAAAGCAGAGTTCTTTCAACGTTGTTTATAGGATCGTAAAGTTCATACAGATTTATCCTAATCAGAAAAATTTATATTTGGAGACAAAGCCATATATATGGGAAGATTCAAATTGGAATAGAGATTGTAGGATATCGATGAAGTTTTTTTGCCTTTTGACAATATTGATTTGGATGAAAAGGAACGTAATGAAAAAATGAAAGAGTTATCAAAATCTTCTTAATCTGAAAACTAAAGGATTGATATTAGTAAGAGGAACAAGAGGATCGAAAATTTTTGGTTGATAATAAGTCCAGATAGTTCTATTAAAATATTGTGGGACTTCTTCTGTATGATATTAATTCTCTACGAAATCATAACAATACCAATAAGAATCAGTTTCGACATAGAAGTGAGTGCGGAGTTTGGTTATGTGATAACAGCAGCGTTTATATTTGATATTTTGTTAACATTTAATACAGCAGTATATTTGAATGGAAATATCAATTATTCATATAAGGCAATCGCACTGGATTATTTCAAATTGTGGTTTTGGATAGATGTTGTGGCATCATTTCCTTATGATATGGTATTCAATACAGTATTGACAGGGGAAGCTGAAGACGAAGCGACTTAGTCTTCTTAAAATTTAAAAAAGAGTACTTAAATTTTAAGAGTATTAAAATTCTTTCGATTTGTTAAAGTCATACGTTTGTTAAGATTGGCAAAGTTGAAGGCAATAATGGATAAAATAGAGGAGTATTTTTCAGACAGTTCTATAATTTAAACAATCGGGAGTTTTTTAAAGCTGTGTGCATTTGTCTTATTTTGGTCTCATTGGCTTGGATGTATATTCCATTTTATAGGGTAAAGCGAGGATACAACATACAATTGGCTGTCTATTTATGGATTGTATGATGAGCCTTGGGAAATTAGATATGTAAATTCAGTATATTGGGCAGTGACTACAATGATTACTGTAGGCTATGGTGATCTATCTCCATAAACACCATTAGAGAGACTATTTGGAGTGTTCTTTCTTCTCATTGCTTGTGGTGTGTTCTCTTTTACTATGAACACCATCGGTAATACAATGCAATAACTAAGTTAGAAGTAAGATTAGTATCAGAAGAGGATATCTGAAATAAATATATATATGGCTAAAGTCAAGATTCCAAAGCAATTATAAAATAAGGTTAGAAGATATTTATAGTATATCTGGGATTCTCATCGTAGTGTAAATTTGGAATCAATTTGTTAAAATCTCTCATTATCTCTAAAATACGAGTTTACCATATAAGTGAATGGTACAATATTGGCTAGTTATAAATTGTTGTGTGAGACATTTTCAAGGAAGTTGCTAATTGAATTGACTCAGATTCTAAAAGAATAGACAATTTAACCAGATGAATATGTCTTTATAGAAGATGAGCCTAAGAATGAACAAATTCTATATTTTATTTAGGAAGGTCAAATAAATATTGTGTTAATTAAAACTAGACAAATAGTGGCTAGGTTGAGTAATAAGTAGATCTTTGGTGAAATTAGCTTCTTTGGTAATATTGGCAGAACAGCATCAGCTAAAAGCAATGGTTTCACTGATGTATTTGTTTTGAAAAGACAAGATTTTGTGGCTCTATTGGACAAGTTTCCAGAAGACAGGGAACGATTTAATTATATCAATGAAGAAGTCAATAAACGATAATTGTAGGTGTTGAATATTCATTGCTATGCTTGTGATTTACCAGGACATGTTATTAGAGATTGTCCCTCATTACATTTTGTGATTGATTTGTATGTGTATTAAAAGACCAAAATCAGATGCATCAAAGCCATAATGAAAGATTTCGTAAGGAAAGATCGAATGAATTATAATGCTTTGAAGAATAGGGAGGATTTGGAAAAAGAAGCTAAGAGACTGTAGATGAATATACCTACTCATAAATTCTTGATGGAGGAATGCAATGTGGATGATCAATTATCTTAGGCAGTGGAGGATGAATCCATAAAAAAGGGATTCAAATTAAGATCTAAGTTTAAAGAAGACAGGAATAGAAGAAGAAATTGGGAATAAACTTTTAAGAAATCTGCCCAGAAGATTCAGTAGATCTAAATTAAGCAATCAGAGATATTTAGTATTACCAAAAGTCTTTCTTAAGCACTATTATCTTCTCATGCTAGTGGGGAAACCAGTCTCAATCACATTGCAATTAATTAGTTCAAATCTCCAAATGAGAGTTCAGAAGATAGTGATAGTGGAACCATCCAATAAAAGATGGAAGACATTATGGCTGACTATTAGATATTCAAATAAGAAGTAGACAAGTACAATGGGAGTCAACAATTGGAGATCAAGAAGAACTTTGTGTTGCTGAATGAATTTGAATGTGGCTAAGATTTCAATATATTTTATCCTCACAACAATCTCTCTGTTGTGTTGAAAGAATTCCACAAGTATCAATTAGGTAACTCTGTCAAACCTAAAATCGATACTGAATATGATACCAATGTATTTCAGGAATACATGGAATATTATGTAATAGACATAGAAGATGTGAATAGATTTAAATTGGAAGTCAAACCATCTTAAATCAAACAATTTCTACCTTTCACAGAACTTCTCTAATCATCATATAACCGTTAAGTAATAATAATTAATATTATTTCTTAGAAAAAAAAGAACTTTGGTTTGTTAAAACATCCAAAAAGATCGTTTAAATAAGTTGTTAGAGCAATTATATTGGCAAGAAAATTTAAATGATTAATTATATCATAACATTATTAATCTATATCAAGATTCTCTTAATCCTGAAGTTCCTGATATCACTTAAATATTCACCCTCTCTCCAACTTAATAAATAATAATAATCAAATCTATTGATTACTGAATTCAAACTAACCTTGTTAATTGCTATCATATACACTTGAAATTCTAATTATTAGATTCGAAATTAAACAAGTTACAAGTTAGAAGTACTGACAACAGAATTACTAAGTGAAGAATGGAAATTAGAATTAATTTAAAACTTACTTATTAATTCATTGATTTCTAAATAGTTTTGGATTCTGAACCATTATTAAATAATTAATATATTGTTTTATTAATATGTCTCTCCTTCTTTTGAATGCAAGCAATAGAATTGCATAAGGATTCTTAAAAGTTGCTGCGGAAAGTGGCAAATATGAGAAGATCATCTGTGCTGACATTTTCCCAACTTATTTCACAGTCCAAAGACTCCTCAAATTTAAGTCATCATTATCAGCAAACATAGAATTGTTCAAAGTCGGAGATCGTTAAGATTTACATGATGTAATCAAATAAGCCAACAATGTTCTATATGTCAGTCATGATTATTACTAAACCACAGCATCCAAAAAGAATTTATTGGTTGCTACCTTAGATTTGGTCAAAAATAGAAACTATAAGACTGTTGCCTATGTTGCACCAGTTGAACATGATCACCAAGAGGAAATTGATGAATGGAAACATCTAGAAGTAGAAGGACGTCGTTTCATTCCTTAATTAGTTGGTATCAGATCTGACATTACCTTTGGACCAAATAGCACATTCACTAATAAATTAGCATAAAGAATTTATAATGGTGAAAGCATCTACTTCTAAAACACTGGACAATCATGTGCTCCCATATTCACTGGCGATTTAGAATAAATTGTGGCCTAAGTTCTAGCTGGCTCACATGCAGGCAAATTGCTCTTAGCTAAGGGACACAAACACATTGATTTCAAATCAATTATTCATTTGATTGAGGATAGTCTTGGAAGCGCATATAAAGCCAAATTAAATCAATCCTTTATTGAAAAAGTAAATGTCTATTCAAATTCAATTAGGTCATCCATCCAACCAATAATTGCATCATAGGCTAATAATTATATTGTCCATCATACATTAATTTAACTAAATTGATTGCAAATTATAAAGCTTTGGAAAACACTGGATATGACCAAGTTGTCGGTGATAAGCTAGTTGATATTGAAGAGTATCACAAGAACAATAAAACAGTTATTGATCAATCATTGAAAGCAGATTATTAATTAAGCTACTTAGTTGGTTGAATAAATAATAATCTACATAAATCGAATAAAAATATAAAATATTCAATTTTATTATATTTTTAATAACATTAAGATTAAATTAAATTTATTAATTATATAATAATAGTTGGTTGTAGTTGTAGTAATCTATTTTGTGTATTAGAATATAGTTGAAAATAGGTAATCCTATGAAAATGAGCAGTTATAGGATTGAATTATTTTTCACTATCATCTACTTAGAAAAGCTAAATTTTAAATAATTATTTCAAACATCAAAAAAGAAAGAAATCTCATAAAAATTCTAGATTATTCATCTTTGAAATACTATTAATCGTAGTATTTACAAATAATCGAATTTCATTGGTATATAATGATGGAAATCGGTTAGGTAGTTGAATGTACTGATTTTACTTGCTTTTTCAAAATACTGTAGCTAAGAATTAGCAGTGATATAAATACTATTGAAAATGTATGTGGAAGATTTAAATAAGATTTTCATAAATTAAGGAAGTTAGTTATTTTATAAGATTTCTACTGATAAATATTTTGGTTTACACATGATTTAAAAAATTAATATTTTTCTTATATTTATTTCAGAAATTTATTTAATATGAGATTTTAATGAGACTAAATTATTGTTAGATGGTAAAATAAATAAGATTTGTAGTAGATTAATATATTCTTGAAGGAAACCTAAAAATATCGAATGGTTTCTTAAATAATTGTGATATATCAATAAATTTATAAATAATAATTATTATCATTGAATGAAATAAGAGATAAGCAAGACTTCCTTCTAAATGTAATGTTAACGAAAACATTTCATTAAGGATAAGCAATATCATCTTCTTATGGAGGATGATCGCATAAAAATATCGGAGGTAAGACAACATCCACCTAAAAGAGACAGTAGATTTTCAATACTCTAAATATCTCCTTGATCTAAATTTCGAAAGCTTGATTTATTGGAAGACAGACCAGGATTAACTTGTTGCCTTTGGTATAATGTATAATAAAACTCTGAAATGGTTTCATGCTGATTCTTCTGATTTATAGCATCTATATAAAAACCTATGTGGGAGAGTTTTATTTGGAAACATTTCTTCCATTTATGAGAATAAAGAGATATTGGGTTCTGGAGCTTCGTCAAAAGTATACAGAGTTTTAAATAAATTAACACATTGCCTCTACGCTTCAAAATGCATTCGTAAAGACTACATTTACAAGAGAGAAGACAAAGAACGATATGTAAACATTTAATTGATTTAGAATCGCATGATCCAAGAGATTGATTTAATGAGGAGATTGGACCATGAAACCATTGTGAAAATGATTGATATTTTTGAAGGTGAAAAATCGTTCTATATCATACTTGAGCTATTATAGGGTGACTCTCTGCATACGTTTTTTAAAAAACACTCATTAACACTTACACAGATTCGATAGATCATTAGTGTATTCATATATTCATATGATAGAGGTGCCTTTAAGCATTATGCTATCTAGACCTAAATAATATAATTCATAGGGATTTGAAATTAGAAAACGTAGTTTTGAAAGAACAAGGAAAAGTTGAATCTGTTAGGATTATTGATTTTGGTCTTGCAATTTATTCATCCAACAATTAAAGACAATTATGTGGAACTCCTGGATATATAGCTCCTGAGATGTTTATTGAAAAATACCCTTACACTACCAAAGTAGACGTTTTTAGCTTAGGAGCCATATTCTATAAACTATTATGTAAGAAACCTTTATTTCATGGGAACACAAGCGAGGAGATTTTAGAGAACAATAAAAAGTTCCTTTGGAATAATCATCTCAAAAATTGTTCTGATGAAACTATTGATTTGATAAAGTAGATGCTTTAAAGAGATCCAAATAAAAGAATATCAGCCTACCAAGCGCTGCAACACCCATTTTTTGGGGAAAGATTTATAGGTATTGATAGGATTCGATTTAAGTAGAACAAGGAATAGCTGAAGAGAGTTCTCATGAAATTGTGAAAACATTCCCACTTATAAAACCTATGTAAATAATTAACTCCAATGACAATATTCCAGAGATTAAGATTTAAGCTATTAGGGGAGGTTAACAAAGCTTTGATTAAAGCTTAGGATCTAATTATTTCCCATCATTTGATGAGGGTTATTAGAAACCAAAAAACGGAAGCGATCATATTATTGAATGACTTTTATCAAAATACAAACTTAGTATTCATAATATTATATATTCTTGTTTGCTATTTATCGCTCAATTGCGATTTGTAATAAGGAATTTAATTATCAAGTAATTTATTGCATATCTTTTATGCTCTATCTTTATTATCATCATTCATCAATATAAATTAAATTGATTAATTTAGTCTGGCTGACTTTATTTTCTATCTATCTTACAACCTCTCCTTTGCTCTTTGACTTCCCTCTTTTCCTTGTACCTCATTCAATTTATTTCTTTCTTCTTGAAAATCAATGACTTTTTAATGGAAAACTTATGTGAAATTTTAATCTTAGGCTGTTTCATTAATGAAATCTTTTAATTTTCGTTCAGCATCCAATCTTAGCTCAGTAATTTGTTTCAAAATTTCTTTATCAGAACAAATTCTTCTTTACACTTATTATTTCTAAATTCCATTAATCAAACGTAATTCATCTATCTTATCAAAAGTCTAAACAAGTGTTCGTAGTTTTTATTAGATCTTCCCAGGCTTTAGAGAGATGCTTCTGACTTTTTTACACAATAGATCTTAAACAACTTGTTAGTATTCCTTGTGCAAGCAATGTTCCCAAGCCAAATCGATTTAACTTTTGGAACAATCAATTATTTGATGATCTTGGAGAATCTTTAAAAATTTTGATTTTTATGTAGGTTTCTCGATTCTCAATTAAGCCAACAAGTGATATGTCTGCATTTATAAATAATAATTAGTTATAGATAAACTTATACCCTCGTATATAATTTATTTTTATATTGTATATAATTTCAAACATATTACATCATCACTTGTTTTGTAATTCATTAGTTAATAATCACTCAAATTTACTTTAAATTGTTAATTAATAATTTACTGAATTAATAAGAGTTATTATAATATTTTAATAAAGAGCAAAATCAAGTATTCTTCTATAAGATAAATTTGGCATACTCCTTTAAATCCTAGATGTCTTCAGGTGATTTCATTTCACCCCATTCTTTTAATCTTCTTTTTAATTTCTCAATATGTCTAAACTAATTAATTAATATAGTTACTATTTCTATTAAATAAGCTTGTCTGTTAAATCACTTGGGAAATGATAATCCATGTCTACTTTAAAAAATAGATCTTGTTTCATTTATTCCATTTCATGGTTGATGTATGGTTATAGGACATCTGTAGGAACTTGAATTTAGATTTTCTTCGGTTCATCAGTTGATTAATTCTAGTTATTTAAATTCAATAATTTTTTGGTCTTAGCTTTTAGATTATTGCGTTAAAAAAACTAAATTTTTTATTTTAATTGCATAGGTTTAATAGTTTCTTCTATTAAATATGGTTTACTATCGATTCTTTAAGAAGGCTATTCAATTTTAGGTTCAACCCTTATTTAATAATTGAATTTCAAATTGGGTTTTTTTCTCTTCTCTGGTAATATGTAATGTTTATTGAAATGCCAATGACCATCTGGAGTATGATGTTAATTTGTTGGTGATCGAGAATGATCTGTATGATATCTTTATTTTTCTGAATTGATCCTTACTAAACGATTCATCTGATCCCTTTCTCTAATGAAGGGAACAAATGATGATATATTCTTTACGTCCTTGCTAAATTCTTTAACTAACTTGAAACGAGGTAAATATAAATTAGAATCTTCTTAATCATTGAAATACTCTGATATATTGTTTTTGAAGCTATGTATATAATTGTTGGATAGCATATAAAATTAAAAATGAATGATGATTTTATTGATAAGAAATTATTTATAAAAAGAATTAATTAGATGTGTCGAATTCACTTTAATAATTTTAGATTAAATGACCCAGACAAGAAAATAATGATTTAAATATAAAACAATTACTTAAGAGTACAAAAATAAATAAGATAGAGATAAAACTTAAAAAAATAATAAACAATTGATAAGATCCATAATTATATTTTGAGAAAGTATTTTTTAAAGATTTATAAAGATCTAAAAATAAGATAGTCATAATTTACTTAAAGGAGTTTTAGCAACTGTTTAAGTTTGTCTTACAAATAGATAAAGATCAATTATGTTCATAGTTATTTTATAAATATAGTTCTAATTATACATTATGAGTATCCACAAAGTTAATTGCAATTATTTTAAGTATGAATTTATTGGCCACTTGGGTCTTACAGGATCATTATAATTAACCTATTACTTATGTTTATCTATTTGGTTGATGCAAATGATTTCTATTATTTAATTAATCTTCTCCTTACACTCAAAAAAGAATCAAATTTGAGCATACTTATTAATTTAGTTTGCACTTAGATGTTCTATACTTTATGAATATCTTGCGCTCATTCTCTCAACAAGGCCATAACATTCATTGATAAATATATTTATTTTATAATAATATAAGCATAAGAGTATTGAATTTTGATAATTTTAATAATTTAATATATGAGTAGAGGTACAAATCTCTTTGTAGCATTTTCTATATCTGGAATAGTCTGGATAGTTACTCTATTCTTATCAACTGGATATGTGAAGTATTTAAGAAAATAAAAGTAGTGAAGTTGCCAAATCCATGCCAACATATGCTTTGATTTTATATTTCTCTTATGCACTTTTTAAGGTCGGAGGCGATTTGGCACGTTTAAAGGATTATCCTGAAGAGGCTTAATCGTTATAAAAGGAGGTTGAGGAGGCAAAACGCTTCTATAAGGAGAAGGGATTAAAATTGTGAAACATTAAATATTCATATATATTTTTATAAAATTTAATGGATATCTATCACCTTCGTTTGGAAAATTATGAACCGAAACAATCCTTCTATGTAATGAATAAAATACTTAAACTATTAATCGCTTTGCAAATGATTTTGGTTTTTTTCAGGATTTTTGTAAGAAATTAAGAACCATTTTTTTTGTCTGATTGTTTAAATGCATGTATGATGATGCTCACTTATTGTTAAAAAGTATGATACTAGAGTAAAATATTAGAATTATTGTCTTGCATTAATCACAATGTTTTATATTTTCTCATTGATATATTTGAATGCAATCTTCTTTTTGTAGTTTGTTGAATATAAACTGCCCTTTTTTATTGATTATACTAAAAATTTTACTTTGATGCTGGTATTATTTCACTTCAATTTAGATTTTCTCAACTCTGCTTTATGTTTTTGAATCAATAATGTTATACTAAGTTTATAAGGAATTTAAGGGAATAATTTATGACATTAATCAAGAATATCCAGAGAGTGATTAGTAAGATTAACTACACCATATAGCTGAATTACTGTCTTAAAATTAAGAATAATAAGTCTAACAGATTAATTAAGAGTAATAATAGCAGGCAGAATAGGAGATTGAAAATTAATCAATTTAGGAACCAAATATTGCTGCTGGGTCATTACAAAGAAGGGTGCATAATCAAGGATCAAGAACCTAATAAGAACTTTAAGAATTATAATCATGATTTTAACTTTTTATGAATATTTAAATATCTATTTTTAGATTTCAATATTTAATTGAAAGATAATTGGCATGATATGTATGAATTTAAAATGAGTCAATTATGACAATTTATAATTCTTATAAATTAGTTTATCAAATAAAGAAATGCAATAAGAAAGTCGGAAAATTTTTATAAATCGTAGAGATCAAAATATATTGTTTCCTTCAAATGCAATAAAGACTTCGAAATATAATATGCTGAACTTCTTTCCAAAGGCAATTCTATTGCAATTTATGAGAATTGCAAATATTTACTTCTTAGTAACAGCAGTTTTGCAGAGCATGCCTTTGCTTTCTCCGTTAGCCCCATTTTCTGCAATAAGTAAATGTAGAATTATAATTTTTTAGGTCCTCTTGTGTTTGTTTTGGCTGTGTCATTATTTCGTGAAATGTTAGAAGATTATGTATATAATTTGATAGTAATTAACTTTAAGCGTAAACATCGAAACGATGACATGATTAATGAGCAAGTAGCCCTTTTATATAACAATTATGTATTTTAAAAAATATAGTGGAAAGAGATCAGGGTTGGTGATATTGTATAAGTTTTGGAGGATTTCACAATACCAGCTGATTTATGTATCCTACGTACAAGTGATGAGAATGGCTAATGTTTTTTGGAAACCTCAAATCTTGATGGGTGAGTTACAATACTAAACCTAGTGAACGCAATCTCAAAACTAAATACGCAATAGCAGAAATCTAGGAGTAGATGATCCATGGGAAGTTCAGCGATCTTGCCGGAGAACTGCAATGTGACAAGCCTAACAATCGGATTCACAAATTTCAAGGAATGCTTCAAGTAGATCTAAAACAGTACCCAATTAGTAACAACAACATTTTATTGAGAGTATAAATATAGCAGTATTCTTTAGGGGACAACGATCAAGAACACCAAATGGGTCGTGGGTTTGGTAGTATACACAGGACATGATTGTAAAATAATTAAGAGTTAGGGTAAGATGAGGTATAAGACAACTCACATTGAGAGAGCTTTAAATATCATAGTCGTTGTAATATTGATACTGTAAGCAGGTGCTTGCATAGCATTGTCCTTCTTCACTGCTTACAACTACAATCCCTTGAACTTCGAAGGCAAACCCTAGTTCATTTACATATATCCCGATTAGGATAAGAATGGACCAGTTGTAACTGCAGTAATCAGTTATTTCTCTAATTTCCTTCTTCTCAATTCGATGGTCCCCATTTCTCTCATCATCTCTTTAGAAACCTTGAAATATTTGCAGACCACTTGGATGGAATTTGATGACCAAATGCAAAGTGAAAATCAACCTTTTAGAGTACTCAATACGATGATTCACGAGGAATTAGGAAAGATTGAGTATGTCTTCACAGATAAAACAGGGACTTTGACTTCAAACAATATGGAATTTAGGTAATGTTGCATAAAGGGCATAGCTTATTCAAATGGAGATTTGCTAGAGATTTTTAAAAGTGATAACATAATGAACGATTTGGAATTGGATAAATATATAAATTTCTTCCTCTGTATAATAATTTGTCACAATGTTATTGTTGATGAAAAACTGAATGAGTTCTAAGGTAGTTCTCCTGATGAAGTGGCTTTGGTCAAGGCAGCATTCAATCATGGATTTAAATTCCTTAAAAGAACCAACAATTCAATCTTCATTAAAGTGCGAGAGTAATTATTAGTATATGAGTATATTTGTGAATTTGAATTTACATCTGATAGAAAAAGAATGAGTATGGTTGTTAAGGATATGTAGACAGAGTAATTGCTGTTGTTTTGCAAAGGAGCCGATAACATAATCTGGAGGAGATTAGACATGAGAAAACATTAGGAATAGGAGTTACAAATGAGTTAAGTCAGTCTTAAGAAATATTCCAAGGAAGGTCTCAGAACACTTTGTCTGACTTATAAATAACTTGATGAAATATACTTTTAGGATTGGTAAAAACAGTATCGAGCTCTTTAAAATGAGGTGGCACTTGATCCAGAGGCAGCTAATAAATTGAAAGAGCATGAATCCATTCTGGAACATGAATTGATGCTTTTAGGAATTACTGCATTGGAAGACAAGCTCTAAGAGGATGTCCCTGAAGTCATTAAATCTCTTCATGAAGCAGGGATTAAAGTCTGGATGCTTACTGGGGATAAAATGGAAACTGCAGAAAATATAGGTCATTTATGTCATTTGATTGATGAGAGTACTAAATGTTTTAGAGTTAATCAGGAGGATTAGGAGAGCATATTGTAATTATATTTAAATATGTTTAGAATGAGATTCAAAAAAATAAGCAGGAGCATATAGACTTATGAGAAAATTACGAAGAAAACAAATAGAGTGAAGAAAAATTAATTGTTATAATAACAATTATAATGGTTAAGAGAATAGTCGTCTATTAATTCACAGATCAGATCGGTTCACAAAATGAAAATTAATTAAATGTCTGTAAAATCAGAGGGTAGTGAGAATCATAGTGCAAAAGAAATTAAAAGGACTTTTGCTTTGATAGTTGAAGGAGATTCGATTTATTATCTGTTGCATTCTGAGAAAATTTAAGAAGAATTTTTAAAAATTATTCCAAAATGCAGAACTGTAATTTGTTGTAGATCCACTCCTAATTAGAAGGCAGAGATTGTTGGTTTGGTTAAAAAGAACCTAAAATCAATTACTCTGGCTATAGGAGATGGTGGAAATGATGTTAGCATGATATAGGAATCTCATATAGGTGTAGGAATTTTGGGAAAGGAAGGAAATTAGGCAGCCATGAATAGCGATTACTTCTTTTGTTAGTTCAAACATTTATGGAGATTATTATTTATACATGGAAGATGGAATCTATATCGAACCAGTTATTTTGTAAATTACTTTTTTTTTAAAAATATTTTATTCACTTTTCAACAATTTTACTTTGCATTTTTTAATGCATTTAGTAGTTAGTCTTTCTATGAAGATGGTTATTTGCTCAACTTCAATACATTAATCACAGCAGTTGCCCCAGTTTATTATGGAGTATTTGATCAAGATTTAGATGTTCAAGATTCATTTATTAAATCATAGTTGCCAAGAGTATACAGTGAATTCAAGTATCATAAATTGTTTGGGAGAAGAGCATTTGCAAAATGGTATGTAAGTGGATTGTTGTGCAGTGCTCTGGTCTTCTTTGTGACAAAACAGATATACTTGATATAGGTGAATTCAGAAAGTGGGAGAGTTGATGGATTATGGTAACTAAGCATTTCCAGTTATTGGTCAAGTGTTTTCATAGTATTCATGGTCATAATTAGTGATTCAAACTAATTTACATGGGTTACTTTCCTAGCTTATGGTCCATTAAGCATATTAGCATTTTTCCCTGTTTTTACATTGGCTTGGAATGAATTCTAGAGTGAGACAAAGCATTATGCATTTGACTGGTTGGGAAATGCTAAATTCTTCATTGTTATAACTCTAATAGTGGGGACTGTTTTCATTTTTAAAAGAGTAGTGAACATTTGGTAGTAGCTGGAGTACCCAACGGTGATTGATAAAGTGAGGAAGGAGAAGCAGGAGTTGGACGAAATTGTGGAGCAGTCGTTGCCCCCTGGATCGAGCAGATAGGAGTTGAGTGAATTAGAATTTCCGATTTCGATTGAGAATTAAGTTTAAGGTGTATATAATCTCTCGCATAACATGGGATAATAAAGAGATATGTGATAAAATTTATTTGCACTATTTATATTAAAATGATCCGCCCACGTTATGAAAGCCAAAAGGACCATCCTTTGTAGACAGATGTGGCCTGTTTCTTAATGGTCATTGAAGTTCAGAGGTTACTGGATGAAAACACTTAATTGAAGGTGGAAATGCAGGAGATCTTGTCACGACAACTTGACAGAGCCAATTATGAACAATAGATTAAAGATCTGATGGAACGTCTTCGTTAACTGCAAGGGTATGTTGGAATTGTAATCTGTTTAGTTTGGTAGCAGATCTTACAAAGGAAAATAAGCAGCTCAAATAACGATAAGCTGATTAAGATGCTGAACTAGCAGACTTAAAATAATTTGTTGAAGAAAATAACCTGGAGGAGAAATAGGAATAGCAAGAGGCAGCTGCCAAGGAATTAGACGATCTCAAAGATTAATTAGAAAGAGATCAAAAAGACAGGGTATGATATGTACTTATTAATAGGATGATCAAAAGGCTTTTTATGAAGGTTTACTTGCAGATAAAGATGATTTGATAGCTGAACTCAGAAGACAATTAAAAGATGCCGATGAAAAATTCAATAATTATCGTCGAGAAAAGGAGTAGATAATCAAGGAAAAAGATTATGATATCAAGAACAAGGAAAGAGAGATCAAGGACTTACTAAGGAGATTAGCTGAATTTGAGGCAAAATTATAAGGTAAAAGACCTGATGAAATTCAGCGAGATATGGATAGATTAAAAAAGGAATTGGCTGATAAAGACAAAGAGATTGATAAATTAAAAAAGAAATTAGGAGATCTAGAAGCTTAATTAGCTCTATTAAAACAATAATTATAGGATGCTAAAGATAAGCTCAAAGATGCTTTGTCTTAATTGGCAGAAGCAAAGAATTAGGCAAATTAGGCAGCCAAAGATAATGATGCTAAAAATCAAAGGAGAATCAGGGAACTAGAATAATTGGTTGAGTAATTGAAGGCTGAAATTGACAGATTAAACGCTTTGATAGATAAATTGAATTAAGATGTTGCATCTGGAATTGAAAGAGAAAAACAATTGAATGATAATTTACAAAGTAATCTCAATATTCTAAATTAGAATAACTAAGTGATAACGGGTCAGTTTCTGCAGCCAGATAAAATAGATAAGCCAAATAAGCAGAGCAAGCTTAATAATAATTAACCTAGGCTTCTTAGAAGTTAAAGGATACTGAAAAGGATAACAATGAACTCAAAAAGAAATCAAATGAATTGGATAGATAATTAGAAGAAGCTAAAAAACTAATTAAATAATTATAAGATGAGATTGCTGCTTTAAAGGAAAAATTATTGTTGGCTCAGACTGAAAATGACGATCTCAGAAATTAATTAAATGACTTATAAGATTAGTTGACTGAAGCGTAGTTGGATAAGGATTATCTCTAAAAATCACTTAAAGATTAAGAAGATGAACTCAACAGAGTTAATGATTAAATATAAGATTTGAATAACGAAAAAGAATAAGCACAAGCTGCTGCTTTAGAAGCAAAATCATAGCTTCAGAATTTGGAAGATGAAAAAGCTTAAGAGGATGCTGATAAAGAAAAAGATTAAGATAGATTAAATGAATTGGAAGATAAGATAGCTGATCTTGAAGATTAAATCGAAGACTTGGAAAAAACAAGGAATCGTTTACTTAATTAAATTCAAGATTTAATAGATAAGCTACACGATGAAAGAGAATTGTGTGAATATTATCATAAACTCTGTTCTGATTAAGAACACTAAAATAAATTATTATAAGACTAAGAAAACAAATTAAAGGAGTAAGTCTAAAAATTGAATAATGATATTGAATAGATGGAAGAAGATCATGATGAAGCATAGAAGAGACTAATAGAATTGGCTTCAGAATAAGAAGCTCTTAAGGAGTTAGCTGCTTCTAATTAAGATAACGTTATTGATAAAGAGGCTTATGACAACTTATTGAATTAGTTGGATGAGAAAAATAAAGAAATAGAGGATCTAAACGAATTATTAAGAAGATATGAATAATAATTCAAAATGTTAAGAGCTGAATTAGCCAGAGTGAATTTAGCTTAACTAAAAGATAAAAAAACTAAATAAGATACTGAGGCCTTGTTAACCAAAATCATGATTATGTAGGCTGAAAATGATCGTTTATAATAGGCTGCCAAATAATTATCATCCCAAGTTGCTTAACCTGAGGGATTGAAAAAGGGTGGAAGTTAGATTAACGATACTGCATAAGGAAAACTAGAATCTTTACAAAAGGAAAATCTCAAACTTGAGGATCAAGTTAGTGAGTATGAAAATAAGATTGCTTTATTGACTATGGAGTTGAAGAGGTTGAAAGACTCAAAGTAATTGCATATTTATACTAATTATTTAGGCCTGAGATTCTGCCAATCAAATCCAATGGTAGCGATGAGCAATAATATTAATTACAAGTTCAATAATTATAATAACAAGTGTAATAATTATAGAACGGTGGACTATTGTAATCAAATGGATAGCCTCTATCGAAAGAGGATAGAAGACTATCTGATTTGTTATGCCTAGTGACAATCATGGCTGCTGAAATAGAGAACCTTAGAACTCTCGTTGCCTCGCATTGAGATGAATAAATATAAGATACATTATTAATATTTTGAGTATACATCACTCCTCGTAAAAGAATTAGGGAACTACACCTTAATTAATTGTTGTTGAATTGTCACTGAATTCTTGGCTAAATGTAGGTTCTTAAAATAGAAACTCGTCAGTCTCAAACTTTCCATTTGCTCCATAATAGCTTAAGCAACTTTCATTGGGAGTCAAAGCTATAAACTAAAATGTAGAAATACCAATCGTATAAGGTTTGTCATACTCGATCTTGATTGCTTTTGTGAAATATATTTTTCCAATATGGTTTACAAACTCCATGTCATTTTTAATAACAAAATTGTCTTAATAAATTATTTTTTTGCTAATTTTAATATAATAATACCTATTAACATTTGATCCTTCAAATATTTGCACTTAAAATACCAACTCCTTTTCTGGCCAAGATGTAATCTCATACAACCCAACACCAGAAAGCCAAATATCATGTTTCTTTTTGGATCTCAAACAAATGGCATCAGTCTCTTTCAAATTCCATTATTCATAGGTTAATTGATATCTATTTTGGCTGCTCAATATCTTCACTTATTTTTTTATCGGATTTTAACAGGTTTCATACAGTTTTTTCAAATCAGTTAAACACTAATAAACCATAAAAGATTTATTACCTTCTCCAGCCAATATTTGCTCTCTCTTTCAATAACCTCAGCCGTTTTTATGAGTTTTTGTGCCTGCTAATTTACTTCAGTGTCTCTCAATATCCACAGTTGTCCATCGCAGGTTTTTAAAAGGGGTTCAATTTTCTCAATTGCCTGCTCTATCTACCCTTTTGTTAATTTTTCCATATTCAACATAGAGATTGATTTTTCAAATGCGTCTCCAACAAACAAATCGGCTTCCAAATCGAGCAATTTAATTTGCTTCTCTATTTCCTTCTCTAGTTTGTTGAGGATTTCTTTTATTTCAATTAGGTTTTATCTGAAGGTTTGTTTAATGTTGTGATGTTTTCCAAATATTTCATTGCCCTTATTGTGCAGCTCCTATTGATTCTTGGGATTATTGGCCTTATTAAGACTTTGAACGATTGTTTTAAGTGGGAATACATTCTTCACATGGGCTTAATGAGACTTCAGTAAACAAAATGAACAGATCAATCCTTTGTTTTAACAATCGACTTCTAAACAAAACAAATTGAGTGGATTATCTTGATGTTCTTTGTCTTCACAATACAAAGCTTACATTTAATTAAATGTTAAAATTATTCAACAAAGAAAAGAAGAAAGCACCTTAAATTCAAAATGTGCTTACTGTTGAGGAATTTTTCAAGAGAGACGAATATGAGATCAATGAGGAGTTTTGGAAAATGAATGCCACTTAACTCGAAGAAACTTGCAAGAAACAAGAAAAGTATATAAAAAAATTGAAAACCTTGTATGTGGCAGTATGATTGATTTGTCATTAATTCAATAGCATTTAGATTATCTTGAGCAATTGTTGATAAAGCATGAGGAGGAGAAGAAGAAACTAAGAACAGAAATAGAAGAATGGCAAATAAAAAATTGTAATATTTAAATTGTATCATAAATATATAGAAAGCAATTTTGAACTAAAACAACAGATTGAAGCCTAATATAAATAGATGTACGAATAGTTTTCTACTCAATCTCTGCAATAGAAGTAACCTCAAATTATGGAGGAACACAAATAGGAGCCACAAAATGTAGACTTGTTAGATTTAGTTGAGCCAAAGGAAGAGGAAATCGAAAGACTGCGATTATAGTGCATAAAAGTATGCGAAGAGATGAGAAGATTGCAAGAGGATAATGATGATTTAAGCACTGCTTTGGAGGTAGAGAAATAGCATAAAGAGTAATTAAGACAATAATTTGAATAATAAAAAGGCTAATTGTAATAAGAGATATCTGAGTTACAGATTAAAATTAAAAATATACAAGATGAAGGATAGTTAAATACTTAAAAATTAGAAGATAGAATAAGGAATTAAAGGGATTTAGAATTAAATGCATCTGATTTAAATACAAAGATTCATGAGTTGGATAGTAAATTGTTATAAGAAAAAATTAAGGTTGATTCAAAAAACAAGGATTGTATTCGATTGGAAGATTAAGTTAATGAATTAAAAAGTTAGATTGAGTAAATGTCGAATTAAATAAATATTTAAAAAAGTAAATTGCAATTATTAGAATCAAAAAGATAGAAGGATAAAGTTACAATCAATGAGTTAAAAAATAACATCACTCTTTCACAGAATAACATTGAATTAATCTAGTTTCAACATAAAAATGAGATTTAAAATTTGAATTTGCAATTCAATGAATTATAATTAAAAAGCAATCTATATGAGTAACTCAAAGTGCAGTATGATTAACTGCAAAATTAGTTAATGGACAAGAATGTAAAGGTGCAATAATTATTTCATCAGATTTCAGACATGGAATAATAGATAGAATAAAAGAATAAGTATAAAATTAAGTCTATTCAAGATAGTAATAAAGTAGAGATGAGAAACAGACATAGAAGGAAGTTGAAAGAGAAAACTTGATCTAGCATCTCACTCTTAAGAGAGAGAATGCCAGAGTGGAAATTGAGTAGTTGAATGACAAGATCATATCTTTAATGAAATTAGTGGATTCCATCAAGAACAAGGCTTCGTAAAACAATGACATTTAACAAATTATTAAGCATAATTCAGATATTCTAAACAAATCTGAAGTATTGCAGAAAAGCAATCGAAGAGTATAGTTATTTCCGACACTCCACAAGTGTTTAACTGAATTAAGAAAATTGGAAGATAAATGTTACAAATTATACATTTAGACTATGATTTCTGACTTTTAGAATAAGGACTCTAATATTTAGATAGAAAGGTACTTAAATGATATCGGGAGGAGATCTCAAGACATTCTAGATCTATTAGATGAAATGGGTTTGAAATGAAATAATACATTATTATTAACAATCATTTGTAGATTTATATTATTATTAAGTGATTTATGAAATTAGTCAGATTTCTCATGAAACTCAAGAATGAGTAGGTGATTGTAGAATTGAAGAATGGCACAGTGGTTTTAGGTACAATTACTGGAGTAGATGTAAGAATGAATACTCATTTGAGCAAAGTGAAATTGACATTAAAAGGAAAGAATCCAGTAGGGTTAGATTAATTAACAATAAGAGGTTTAGAAAAGATAATTAATATGAATAGGAAATAATATCAGATATTTCCACTTATCCGAGAATTTATAGATAGACAATCTATTGGTGGATGAATCAATATCTAAATCTAAGAAGGTGAAAGCAGGAATGGAGAAGAATGATCCAAACTTTAAGAGAAAGAAGAAGAACAAGGTCACTCGTTTACCAAGAAGATGACAAAGGATTTTATTTATTCAACAATCAAATATCAAGTTAAAATTTGTTATTCTCTTTCCATTATTCTATAATTGCAAATGTTAGAATTTATATGTATAATGACAATAAATAATTTAGATTATTAATGTTTCAAGAAGTACTTTCATACGAATAAAATTTATCTGCTTCTTAAGATGTAACTCGATATGATCCCTAATAAATGATACCAAAGCAAGCCTTGATGAAAATAGTAAGTGCAGCATAGGATAGGCGGTTTGCTGAAGAAATTGATGAATTAGAAAAACTTTAGGGTATATCAAGTATAGAAAGTGGATTAAAAACCAATTTTACTTTTGGTCTAAAAGGAGATGATTTTGAATAAAGAAACTTATAATATGGCGATAATTTAAAGCATTTTACTCTTCCTAATACCTATATGTAATTGCTTTTTCAAGCTTTAGAAGTTTAAATTAGTATAATTATAGGATTGCATGATTCGAATATTATTAGGGGCTTCTATAGTTTCAATTGTCATAGGAGTTTTTACAGTAGATGATGATCATCGTTCATTTGCTTGGATAGAAGGATTTGCTATATTTATGGCAGTATTGATATCTTGCAATGTGACAGCGATTAATGTATATAACAAATGAAAAGGTTAGGATTATTGGAAGTAAAGCCAATTCTAAAATTTACGTCAAATGGAAGAGATGAGAAGGACGGTAGTAGTTTGGAGAGACGGATGCAGGATGGATTTAAGTTATAGTTTGGTTATGGTTGGAGATATAATTTAAATTTGTGAAGGGATGGAAATTCCAGCAGATTGTATTGTAATAGAGGCAGCAGATTTGACGGTTGATGTATATTATTTATACTATGTAAAAGGAAAGTGAAATGACAGGTGAAACTATACCCATAAAAAAAGATACATATGATAATTGTATTAAGTAAAGAAATAAATTGAAGAATCGAAAGAGTAGGCTGAGCAAATATGATGTTCCATCTCCAGTTATGTTGGGTGGTACAAAAGTATTGTCAGGCGAAGGTAAAATGGTAGTAGCAGTGGTAGGTGAATCAAGTTCTATTGGTAAAATTTATTATTAGCTTACAACTTAAGAAGAAGAACCAACACCGTTATAACTTTAATTAGAAGAATTTGCTTTATAGATTAGGTAGTTTGGACTCATTAGTGCAGGTTTGATTTTATTTGTTTTTCTAATGAGATTTGGAATAGATAGAATTAAAGAAGGTTCATTTGAGAAAGAACATATTAGGGAATTGGTGAATTTCTTTATAATTTCAATTACAGTGATTATCGTTGCAATACCAGAATGCTTACCACTAATTGTAACACTTAATTTGGCTTATTCTACGAAGAGAATGTTACAGGATAACAATCTAGTTAGAAAGTTGGCTGCCTGTGAAACTATGGGAAGAGTAGATATGGTATTAACTTGTAAGACTGGAATCTTAACACCGAATAAAATGTCTGTAGTCTAGTTGTGGAATGAAGAATTGATGGATATTGATGCATATAAGGAGAGATTAAATTTAAGCACATACTTACCAGCTCATATGCATGAATTGTTTATTTAATCAGCCATAGTAAATGGAACACCAGTAATTAGAGGAGAAGGATAAGGAAATAAAACAGAAGTAGCAATGCTCTTGTTTGCAGAACAATTTGGCATAAATTATGAAAAGGAAAGAAATACACATCTAGCAACCAAGAAGATTCCTTTTTCGAGTAGGAGGAAAAGGATGTCCACGATTATTGGAGACAAAAGATTAGTTATTAAGGGAGCTGGTGAAATCATTCTAGAAGGGTGTAATAAATTACATTCTAAATCAAAGGGGATTATACCTATCGATTCTTCCATTAGAACTAGTATCGAATTGGCCATACAATAAATGGCTTCTTAGGGTCTAAGCACTATAGCATTAGCCTACAAAGATATTAAAGGCAATTAGGATCTTGAAAAAATAAATGAAAATGGAGTTTATCAAATAGAAACTGTAGATCTTACTTTGATTGCTATAGTTGGAATTAAAGATATTCTAAGAGCTGAAGTACCACTAGGCATTGCTGCTTGTAAAACTGCTGGAATCAAAGTAAGAATGATTACAGGAGATAATAAATTAACTGCTTTAGCGATTGCTAAAGAATGTGGTATATTAATTGATGAGAATCAATCCCTAGTTTTAGAAGGGGCAGATTTTTTAAATAGAATTGGAGGATTAGTCTGTAAATAGTGTCAAACATCAAAATGTGATTGTCCAAGAGATCAAAAAAGTGCCTATTAATTAGACAAATAAATAAGAGTTGATACAATTAAATATGGGGCAGAATTTGATAAGATTTATCCTTTCTTAGATGTTTTAGCTAGAAGTAGATCTGAAGATAAGTACGCACTTCTAGTAGGTTTATAAGAAAGAGGATATGTTGTAGCAGTAACTGGAGATGGAACCAGTGATGGTAAATTGTTCATCATATTATTTTATTAGTCCCTATTTTAAAGAAGGCTGATGTGGGTTTTGTTATGGGAATAGGAGGAACTGAAGTAGCGAGGTAAAGTGCCTCTATTGTTTTGCTGGATGATAATTTTAATTCCATTTTAAAAGCAGCCCTATGGGGAAGAAACATATATGATTCAATTAAGAAATTTTTACAATTTCAATTGACAGTCAATATTGCAATTTCAGTCTTGACGCTTTTGTCTGTAATTGTAATCAAACAAGCTGTGCTAGAGCCTATCTAAATGCTTTGGATTAATCTGATAATGAATACATTTGCATAACTAGCTCTGGTCACAGAATCTCCAACCCCAGAGTTATTAAAGAGAAACCCTCAGAACATAAATGAAGACATGATATCCCCCAAGATGTTTAAAAATATTTTAGGATAAGCAATTTATCAAATGGTTGTAATAATGGTACTAATATTTTATGGGTAAACATTCATTCCAGAGTTTAAGGGAGAAGAAGATGAATCAATAGTATTTAAAGGTAAGTTATAATACAAATATTCCAACACATACTTCGATGAAACTAATAACCTTCACATCTGTCCTAATTATACGGATTATTGTAATCTGATATCTTTCAATACAGATTATTACATTGATGGATCAGAAAACTACCAAAGCTTTTATAAAGAGACATATATACCTTCAAGATAGTTTACAGTTATCTTCAATACTTTTGTAATAATGCAATTATTCAATTTTATTAATGCCAGAAGAGTAAGAAATGAAATAAATATCTTCAAAGGAATATTAAGCAATACGTTCTTCCTTACTACAGTTTTTGGTATTCTTGCTTTATAATTAATAATTGTTACTTTTGGTGGAATAGGATTCCACTGCTATTCATTTTATGGACTCAATATAGAACAGTGGTATTTAATTGTATTCATATAGGTTAATTTGTCTAACCTTTGGTGTTGGAAGTTTAGTTGTAAGACTAATACTCAGAGTAATTCCAGACCCGAAAAATCGAAGTCTTACTAGACCTGATCAAATGAATAACAGTTAAAATCTAACATTTCCAACTGTTACTATGCACGATTACAAATATTAGGTTTAATCACTTAGTCTAGAATCAGAATCAGAAAACGAAAACCTTAACAATCCAATTTAAGAGTATCAATCATGATTATTTTTAATCAATTATAAATAACTAAATTAATCCTCTTAGTTATTAATAAAATTCTAATTTAATATTATGATGTAAGAGGGGAATGAAAGAAAAATATCAACAATCACAAAGAATGACAATGTTTTAGATTTAGTTAAGATCAAAGTCAGATTGGATGAGCATTTTTACATATTCTCTCGTTTCATGATAAGCAGAATGTTAACATTATCGAGAATCAAGAAATTGGATGCAATATAGATAGCTAAGGACATAAAAAAATAATTGATAGATCGGAATTCACTTGAGATCAATTCAAATGAATTAGAGGCTATTATATTTCAGACTATGATTAAATTTGGATATTAGAATAACATCCAAAAGTATCAAATGGTTTCCAAGTACTAAATCAAAAAATCGTAGCTTCTACCGACACAGAACTCCTATGATCATCATCATTTTTGGTGCCCCAAGCATAGGAAAATCACTGTTAGCAAATAACTTAGCTGAAAGACTTAATATCTCTAATGTCTTGCAAACTGACATTGTGGAAATGGTTATGAGAAGTATTAATCCAGAATAGTTCAATTATGATGGAAATGAGGATTTCATTACCAAATTTAAGAAAGTAAAAGAATTAACATTAATTAAGAGAATTGCAGACTGATTCGAAGAGGAGTGTCTACAGATATTTCCAAATGTCTATCTGAAGGCAAAGCAGTCATCATCGAAGGAAGTGCAGCAATGCCAGAATATTATTTAGAAGCTATTGATCAATAAGATCCTGAAGATGATCAACAATAATTACAATTGATTACAAGTTTCACCTAAAATGAAATTAAACTCAAGAAACCTTAAAGAAAGGACTTGTTACTTTTTAACTAATAGAAAAAATTGAACACTCAATTCAAAATCATCTTCCCCTAGCCTGATTAAGATTTAGAAGATGATCAATAGATTCAAAAACATCTGAAGTTATGCAAAGATTTGGATAAAATTGTAAATTCATTATTCATTTTATTAGGACCAATCACATTCAATGATTCTAGGTTTCCTACCTATATTATCTAGAAATGATCATCTATACAATATAGAAAACAATACGAGTAAAAAGATACCCAAAGATTAAATAGAGGAAAAGCTTAATCAATTTTAATCTATTCAAAATGAATTATTGCAGCAAAGAAGCAAATGCATTCTATTACCTATTAATTTACATAATTTAGAAGAAACCTTAGTAATATTTATTTATTATTCAGGATACCATGCACGACATCATTTTATAAAAAATCTTAGATCAATCAAGTTGATTTTATGTGTGAATTATCTATCTATATCAAATATAAAAAGTTATCATAAAATACTGTCATTCGAATTTAGAAACTGCCAATTCTTATAAGCTGTCTTCTTGTTTTATTTATAACCCTTTGATAAATTGAAACTATCATCAGTTATTTGCTTTTAATTTCTGAATCATCAAGTTGCTATTGGTTTCGCTTAGGATCCAACTAAGAAAATAATTTATCTTAAAATTTATTTAATAGTTTTCCAAGTAAGAATGGCAATAAGATATGAAGAATCGAACAATGATTTTGTAATAATTATATTTCAGGATCATAATTAAATAAATATAAATTCTATTAATTTTTATAACTTATGATTTAACTTAACTATTAATAAAACTTAAAACTTCATATTTTATTCGTCAATATGAATCTTTTATTAAGAAAAAGATATAAAACTATTAGATGAAATATCTACCAATTTTATGGAGAAAAATAATAAAAGATAACTGATACTATTTTTATAAGTTTAAATCATATTTAAGAGGAAGAATATAAGAATGAAATTTTAATATAATGATATTTCATTATTTAATTCGATTTATTCTTTTAATTATCTCAGACTATTTTTAATTTTTACAAATTTTCTATTTATTTTTTTAACTACAAGATATCACCTTCCAACTCGCCAATTTCATACTTGCTTCGTTTTAATTCTCTATCTAACTGTTTAATTTTATCATTCAACTTAGAAACAGTAGATTCTAGTTCATAATTGCTTTCATTAGCAATAAGTAATCTTTCCTTTTCTGTTTTTAACAATTATTTCAATTTATCTCTCTCATTTTTGAAATATTATTATTCCTCTTCTAAGTCTACTTATTATTATTTAACTAATTATTCCATTTATTAAATGTAAAGTTTTTGTTGTTCGAATTAAGAGACTAAGCAACTATAATAACATTAATACTACTCACTTAATTATTATAAGTATTATTAATATTATTATGTTTTCTACATTTCAATCATTAAATCTTCATTCTTTTTTTGTAATTCTATTTCATGGTACTTTTAAAATTATTAATTATCTTCTTCTAATTATTAAATTTGTTATTCTTGGTTTCTACATCTTGTATTCATCAAATTTAATTCTAATTCCAGCCTATCATATCTATCCTATATTTCCTAAATTTATTTTTATTTTTCAGCTTTAGTTTTTTCCATTTCTGCTTGTTTTGTTCTTAGGATGTTGGCACTTTACGTTCTATTATTTTCGGATAATTCTTAAATTTCCATATAATGCTATTTTTCCTTTTCTTTCATTTCTTCAGCTAAAATTCTTAATTTCCTTTCAGCCTCGATCAATTTTCCTTAAACTTCTTTACTTAATAGAATAGCATTTTAATCTTCTTACTATTTAGAAGAAATTTCAGAATTATGATTTTTTGATTTTTGCTTTATTTATTTTTACGATTATTGTTGTTCATGTGTCTCTTTTTTAGAACTTTATACCTAATTTTCTACTATTTAAATATCAGATTGTATATTTTCTAAATTCTTCATTTAGACCATATGATTATTATAGGCATTAAGCTACAGCTGTGAAGATAATTATGATAGCTAATGTTAAAAATTTTGCTCCATTTAATTAAAAGTGTTTCTTAAGAATGATTTTGAAACTGCTTCTAAGTGAAATTCTTTAGACCTACTTTATAATAGAGTATTTTCTTAATTTATTAATTTTTCTTATTCTATTTTTATCTTTCCCATTTCTTTCAACTCTCCTTAAAGTTAATTAGCATCGTAAACTTTGAAGTACATCTAATCTCTCATTAAATTATTATTTATCTTTGTTGCCTAATATACTGTTTCAGAAATATCAATTAAAATTATTGAATCCTAATTTAGGTTATTTTTTTTTTTTTGTAATTCTTCTTTGATGTTTTAGTATTCACAATCAAGATATATTATTTCCTTATTAGGAATCTCACAAATGATTTTGCAATTAGCCATTAAATATTTATGATTATAGAATTATGATTTGTTATCAAATTTTTTTGAGATTTTAATAGAATTTCTGTTATATTTATACTTTTTACCTATTTTATCATAACACGAGTAGTCAAATATAAATCTAGTATTTTTATTCAACTCAATACTACTCAGATATCATGACAATCCTTCTTGTAATAATCGTCATCATATTGGTGCCTCTAGTTTTCTTTATACAATTCAGTGTATTTGTTTTGAAAGGCTTCAAGTTTCATTCATCGTTAATTCTAATTAGTGATCCCCTTTATATAATCAGAAATTCAGATCTGAATTGCTGCAGTGTTGCCAAAAAAATTATACAATTTTATAATTTTAAAGAATCTATTAATAACCAGTCTCATTTAGATTTATTTAGAATTGAATTAGTTTCAGATACATTTTTTCGATTATTCACAATTAAAAATAATTCCTCTCCTTATTTTTTTTATTTTCAAATGATATGAAACTTTTATATAAAATAACATAGCTAAGCCAAGGTGAAAAATTGCGATAATTGCAATTAAACCATGAGTCTTCTACATATTTTTTTCTAAGCCTAAATAAACATAGCAGGCTAATTTTTAGAATTACATCTTGTTTCTTTATAATATATTTTCTCTCTATTATTTTATAGAATAAAAATAGATTTCACAATGCATCATCGAGCGTTGGAATTGCAATTTATTTTGTAAATATAATCTTAATTGTAAAAATAGAAAATCAACATTTACATACTCAAAATAATTTTGGATTTGACATATTATAAAATTTATTTGATCTACTAAGAATTTTTTAGAGGGAGTTTTACTATTGTGGAATCCACATATCCATGCTATTATTAATACACTCTTTGGAATTTCTTATCTAAAGCAATCTTAAAATTGTCTCGGTTTTCTACTTGTCCATTATCCTTTAATAATATAACTTCTATAACTAGTTTTGACTAAAACTGTTATTATGAGGGAGCATCCATGAGTGAGTAATTAAAAATAATCATAAAATCTTGAAAATTGATATCAATTACTCTCTAGATTCGATTCACCAATTTATCACTTTAAATTAAAAATTCCTCTCCTTTCATCACAGACTATAGGCCTTCAACAAGATATAAGAGATGCGGAAGTAATTTTTTATGCTAGCTTATTTATTTTTTTAACATAATCATAATCTCAAAATAAAAGCTTGAGCTCTATATTAAATTTTTATTCCTATTACATTCATTGCTCTTATCTAGAGATGAAGAAGTAATGTTAATTTAAATTTAGATAAACAATCAAAATAGTTTAAAATAACAGTTTTCAATATGATTTTATTGGTATCCCAAAAATGTTTCAAGTCACGGCTCTAATAAATTTTGGGTTGACATTATAATAAGTTATGTAATAATTGAAATTAAATTAGAAATCCTAAATTTTTATGTTTTAAATGTAAAATGTAAAAGTAGATTTGTAGATCAGAATTAGAAATAACCCATTACAGCAATAGTTTTTTTTATAGTAAATTTGTTATGGCCTCAGATATGAAGAAGAATCATAAAATGGTAAGAAAAGCTATTAAAAATTTAACTTTATAATTAATTTGATACTTCATAAAAATTTAAAATGATCTAAACACTAAGTAATAATTCATTGTATATCAATAGATTTTGAGTACCTGTTTAAATTAAAAATAAGTGACTTTGATAAAAAAAGATGTTGAGCATTGTTAATTGTTTTAAAGAAATCAGTGTTTTAGTAATTGCAAACTTGTTTATAGATATTAATGAAAGTTCTGCCTTCTTATCTTTTTGAATTCTTCTTTTCTGTAAAATAGTTCTTGTTAATAAGTTTATATTATAATTAAAATAAAAATGGATAACTCTGAAACAAAAGAAATCTAAGAAAAATAATTTATTTGCATTGATCCAAAGTGTGATTAACCAAATCGATTATTCAAATCTAAAAATGAGAATCATTCTCATAAATCTCATGATCATCAATTATACTCTGAATTCTAAAAACTAATTCGTGCACAATTTCCATAATAGATTCGAGAATAAATAAATCAATAATTTAGCAAGGATGAATTAATCAAAGCAATCTAAACTAGATCAGTGTAAATGCATGAGTCTGTCAAAAATTTTGAAGAAAATCTAATAAAGTATATGTAACTCATTATGAATCTTTAGAACTATCGAAGCCTATGATATTTTGGGGGCCGATAAAGTTTCTATTAATCAAGCTTTAAGTCAATTAAACGAACAAAATCCTCCTTAACAACTTAATATTTAAGGGTTGATTCATGTACTCAAATTCAATAAATTGGGTCCCTAAAAGGTTTTGGAAAAATGGAAAAGAGAAGGCGAAATCATCCTAAAAGAACTTAGCACATAAGCAGACGCAGCCTTAAAAACTTTAGGGAATGTTACCATTGCAAGTTATATGCACATTCAACATCTCCAAAGTCCTTTGATTTTATAAAAGTAATAATGAAACTATCAATAGAATGCACTTTGCTTGGAGTTAAAGCTATAAGGCAAGTTCAGTTACAATTAGAGAAGAGGCAGCCTATGAGAAGGGAAATTCCATGGGATTGGTGTGTATCTAATAGATTTTGGAAAAGGATCAAGTCCAGAGCATTACTGTAGATGTCAAAGAAAGAGCTGGAGTAATATTATATTATAATGCATAGAATCTATACATAGGAGTACTAGATATTAATGAAAGAAAGTAAAGAGGTAGAAAGGCTTTCAGTTTTCATGATTGGAATGAATCAGGACATGGCTTATATTTAATCTATCATGGAGGATGTATAGAATTCTCACTCTAAAGTAGATGTTTTTAGTTCTAATGATCCATCAATAAATACAAAGAAAGCAGGTTTTACATTTGATTAAAATGATAAGATCATCCTCACCTGGAATGGTCCCGAGCATTCTGTCACTATTCTTAAAGTTGGAAGTAGTCATGTAATAATCATAATGTATTATATCAGCAATTTACTTTTAAAGTTAATCCTGATGGACAATACCATTTTGCAGCAGGCTTGTTCAAATGTGAAATAAGATTGCTTGAATGATCTATTTAATTCTAATGATTAGATATATATGAAAGTATATTTTTTATAAATTCTATCCCAATAATTGTTATGTCAAAAATTATTAAAGAATTTGTTTGTAATTTAAATGCAATACTCATATTTAATAATAAATTTAATGAAATCTAAAGGTAAATCGAATAAGTGTAAGTAATAGTAAGCTGACATCTACACTAAGAAAGACATTCTTTCAAGAATCAAAGTAACTGAAGACATTACTGAAATACTTGAATATACTACTAATGAAGATAACGATATTAGACTTGCTGCAACATCCCAGTTGTGTCCTTGTAAAGTTTAGGAAGATGTTCCTGAATTTTGGGATAGAGTTTTCTAATTAGTAGATGACCCATAATCAAAAATAAGAGCAAGAGTTCTGCATATTATTTGTGATGGCTCACCCAACAGACTTTAAAATGAAGTGATGGATGCTTTATATAAATTTAACAGAGATTCTGACCAGGAAATAAGAAGACAAGCACATAAAGTACTTGCTAAAGCATAAAAGGGTACTTGGAATGTGTTGTGATTACTAAAATTAATTCTTATAAAAGATCAAAATTAATTATATTTGCTTATTTTTCTTTATGTATCTTCAGATTATTTGTAGCTATTCCTTGGTTACTCCTTTCTTATTGTATTTGAATGATACTAATGTTCATACGAGTTATCATTTTCTTATTCTTGTTCGTTATTTTCAATTTTGAATTATTGTTATGGATAATTTATAGATAATCTATTTGATTGATAAAGACTCTTATTGTAATATGGATCTACTGGTTAAATTGTCAATGCTCTGCTAACTTTCTTGATGGGACTTATTTTTGTAGATGGAAACAATGCTTCCTCTAAAGACTATTTGTTGAGTCTTTAGGTTTCGCAATATTCTTCCTATTTTTTTTACTCATTACACTTTGTGTTTTCAAGTAATTTGTCTATTCGAGATTATTATTTGATATTTAATTGCTTCAACTCTTTATTTTCACTTTACAGTTGAATCAAATCTCTATGTAATTAGTTTAATATTCCACTATCTTTTAATGAAACAGATTGGTTTTATAATTTCTCAATTTCTTGCTTTAATCTCTCATTCTCCTAACATTTAATATCAAAGCGATGATTTAAATCTAATCGTATTAATCTTTCTTCCTTTAGTTCCTTATGAGTTTTTATAAGATCATTTTCTAATTCCAAAATTTATTATTCTTTAAGTTGCTTATATTAGCTAAATTTTTATTTCTCTAATCGTAATTGTTCATCCTTTCCTTATTCATCCATTGTAATCAATTGATTTAATTAATTTCCACCCCTCTATAGTCTTTCTATTTCATTTTATAGTTGCTAAATCTCTAAGTTAGCCATCTTCTGAGCTTCTGCCATTCTATCTAATTCTTAGATAAGTATATTTATTCTCTGTAAGCAACCCTTATGTTTTGAATCTGTTAATAACGAATCAGATCTTGGAACATTAAAGGTGTTCCCTTAGGATTTAATTCTATCCTTTTCTACTATGGAGGCTTTTTGAGAAAATAAATTAAACATAAATAAATTTAATTTCCAAATAAGTATACTAATTATCAATTAGTAGTATATATTAATATTGAAAAATAGTAGAAAATTAAATTCATTCTGACTGACTATCAAAAATATTTACAGATCTTGGAAGAATCTTATTGAATAATCTAAAAATACGCAGCAACATGGAAGAATCATAGATATATAAAAGAGATTCTCAAAGTCTTTTACACTTCGAATATACTTATTTGTATCAATTAATCAATAGATGAACAAGTATTATAGTTTAGTGCATATTGTATTTTGTATAATATCAAATTTTAATTATTTTATTAATTGTTATTAATATGGCTGAAGAGTACGACGAAGAATTTGGAGAGGTGCAATATTATAAAAAATAGGTAGCTTGGATTAGTGATTGGCGATTTGAACATCCCATCAAGGGCTTCTGATCTACCTCCTCAATTTAAGGACCTTTTAGTTCCTAATAAAGTTTAATATGTATTCTGCACAGGAAATGTCGGGAATAGAGAAACCACAGATTGGTTGAAGACACTATCTGGAAATACTCATTTCGTAAAAGGCGATTTCGATGAAGCAAAAGATATACCTGAAACAAAGATCATATAGATTGGAGCATGGAAATTGGCTTTAGTGCATGGTCATCAAGTAGAACAGAATATTCATTTTGTAGATTATCCCTGCTGGAGATGATGAGTCTTTGTATACATTTTTGAAAGAGATGGAAGCCGATGTGCTTATTACAGGTTATACAGGTGTTGCTAAGGTTTCAGCAGTTGAAAAGAAATATATTATTAATCCTGGATCGGTTACAGGTGGTTTCAATGGTTAATAATCGTAATTTAAATTGATTATTTAGATCAATTCCATCCTTTTTAATATTGGAATTTAAAAAGGAAAAAATTTAAGTATTTATTTACACCCTTGACGGAGATGTTAAAATAGATAAGCAAGAGTTGCCATTATAGAAATGAATAAAATAAAATTAAGTATCATTAATATTGTTATGAAAGCCAATAATCTTGACCCTTAAAAATGCAAGCTCTCTCTCTTAAGATATCTAAGGCATCCCAAAAATCTTGGTCAGCAATATCAGGATTTCTAGATTCAAATTCATACTAGGACTGTCTATAATAAAAAATTTTGTCTTGTGAATTTTCTAATTACTACTACCAGTTTTAAAATAGTCTCTATATTTCATTCTTTTTGATTCTGTATTACTTAAAATAATAAAATATAGCTATAGCCATCCCAAATATTAACATGATAATGATAAGGTAGAATACCAAACCAAGGCCTTTTTCATTTGAGATCATAAAACAATAAAAATTATTAATATATTTATGCAATTTAATTATAACACTTTGATGTAAAGAGAGATTGTGCCATTTTAAATTACAAGAATAGAATCAGAAATAATATGAATTAACTACAGAATTGTGTAATTAATGTTCTTTTAGTGTATTTAAATAAATTTAATAAAAGTAAATTAATAATTAGAATTATGATAAACAATCCATAGTTTCTGGTCAAAAATGGAAGTTTTGCTCATTCATTTTAATAAGAATCAGAATTAATTATTATTATCTACAAAAATAGCTTCACCCTTAGCAATTATAGTCAAAGCCTTGATAAAGAACTTTTTATCTATAAGTATTAATTCTGCATTCAAATCAGTCTTAGATTAAGCTTTATTTTACAATATTGCATTATTTAATCTGTTTAGTCTTAAAAACAAATTGTCTAATTTAAGGTTTATTCTTCCTGGCTATTCAGCTTCAAAATATTTCCCTCGGCATTCTGTAATTATTTCGCCGCATTATATTGTGGATTTTGAATACACTTTACCATCAATTATCTATAATTTAAGCATATCGGAATCACAAATGATATACTGTTCTGGAATAGGTTTTTATTTTTGTTATTCCCAATATTCAAAAAAGTTCTCTCCTTTGTATGCCTTCATTTGATCATAAAATGACTTCCAATAAGAAAATGAATAATCAAAAAACAATTCTTCCCCTGCTTTAATATTCTTTGATGACACCAAAAATGCTTTATCTTGCCTTATTGAAAGCTCAACATTATGTTTCAAATGCTCATGAATAGGAAAGACGCCGAAATTCAAGCTCAACTCCTCTGCAGGTGTTAAAAGGCCAAATCTTACAATATCGTTAAATCTAGAGGATAAGGAACGACCAATAACTGAATATTTTTCATTTATTTGAAGCATTCTATCTTCAAGCATAAAGCATTGTGCCCAAGAGTATTTTGCATTAATTACTAATATATTTATGATATTTACTTTTTCCCCTATATTCTACTAGAATCTATCCTTTTGAAATATCATTTCTTGCAAATACTCCTAATCCAGAATTCGGAATTGTGGATGGCTTAGTAAATAATTAAAGATAATCACTTTTCATTATTTTAATATATGATAATAATGAGATTATGAGAGGAATGTTATTAAAAAGTAATAAAATCAAAAATATTAATAATCGCCAAAAACCATAAATGACAATCGTTAGTCTTGTTTTTTTTGCTTAAGTTACTAGAGTTTAGTAAAAAGACTAAAATTCAATTTGTTATTTTTATTCCTAAAAATTACATTAATCGATTTTTTTTTTGTTGAATTAGCCCTTTGAAAACTATTTGCTCTTGAAGATTTATTTGAATTCTAAAAATCTTCAGAGCCTTTTTTTTCTTAAAGTTAATTGTCATTTATTGAACAATTATGGAAGTTTGTTGCATCCATTAATTAAAGTGAGGCTCTTTTCTTCCCTTAAGCTTTAGATTTAGAGAGATTGGTTTAATTGCAATCTGAACTTCTTTCAGCAGACAAAGCACAATATTTCAACTCTGTTTAATATAGTTTTTTCAACCTTTAATATGAATTCTGAGAGTTGTGAGAACAGATTAGACTCTTTGACATGCCAATCTACTCAGCCTCTCCTGAGATTCTATCAGTTATAGAATTTTGTTTTGATCTGTCACTAATTTAGGACCTGAGCCTGTTTAATCTTGAATACAAACTCAATCTAGTCTTGTATTCATCCTCGATTTTATTTTACCTTGAAGATAAATTGTTATCTTATCCTGGTTCATCTGAATCCCTACAAGTTTCAGCCATGGTTTATCTTCGAGATCCCTTTAAGTTAGAGTTGAAAAATTTTGTTTTTTTGATCGCTTCTTTCTCTAATGTTTCAGATATATCATAACATCTTGGATAAACATAAGGTTTTAGACTCATTTTCCTTTTTTATAATTTTCCTTTACTAGGGTTCATTATTTTAATTGATCTTAATTATAATAAATTTATATATAGAAAATAATATTATATATTGTAATCAAACAGAAAAAGTAAAGTTATCAAACTTGGCTAAAGTGGATTCACAAAATTACAGACAAAGTAAAAATAAATGGATATAAAAAGTAGTTGGCAAACAGAATCACAATTGTTTAAAATACGTATATGATTAGAATCATTATTCAATTTCCTTAAGTATTTTGTCTCCTTCATCTAAAGCTCTTTTCATGTTCTCCTTAAATTAATTGAGAAATGTTTTGAAACTCTAAACTACAGATTGAAATTTTGACTAGGCTTTATTTGTTTTTGCTTTCAAATGCTTCTGTGCCTTTTATCTCTCAGGTTACTATTATTTGTGTTTTTTCGCAGCGGTAAATTTTTTCTTAATCTTCTTCATTATAGTGTTTGCTTTGGCCATTTTTGCTTTTGAAGATCCAATCATAATAATATCTGGGCTCTCATCAATTTTTCTTTCCTCAGTAGTCAGTGTTTTTTAGTTTGGAGCCTTTTTTTTTTATCTGGGCGGTCTTCCCCTTTTAGTTTTTGTACAAACACGGGTTTGATTTTAACTTATATGTTGTTTTTTATTTTCAGTAAAATCATTATCACTATCAACATTTGATGATGTTAACAGATCAATCTCTAAGTCTTCAGATATCATATATTAATATATGGGCTCTAAAACAAATATTGCATTTAAAGTAAAAAGACAAAAAAGCCTGAAAAAAATTGGTTAATTATAAATTATTAACAAATGATGTGTCCAATACTCTATAAAATATCAATATTTTGAACTGAATTTAATATTTTAATCATCATAGTTATCGAACTAAGTTTATAAAAGGTTTATCCTATTGTTTTGAGGCAGTAATAAACAAAAATTTATCCAAAAATAAATTTAATTATTATCATAAATTGTATTAATAATTTGATCTTATACAAGGCAATTTCTTTATTAAGCTTAATATAATTACTTTTTACCAATAATTTAGTTCTCATAATATAGATATCCAAATTGAACATAAATTTAAGTAACCATTATTCTGGGCAAAATAGTTCCAGATAATAACTATGAAGTAAATTCAAGAGAAAATAATAGTATATTTAAAATTGAGTATGAGGTTTCTCCCTTATTCTGTGCTAGTTTCTCAAATTATATTGGAATATATTTATTAGAGAGATGAATATCAATCAAATTATCTAATGGAACATTAATTGATATATTTTGTTAATGAGAAATTGATCGATATTTTATAAATTTAAGGTGTTCATTTAGTTGAATTTATAATAAAAATTCAAATGAATAATAATCGAAGGAGATAATCACACTCTGCCGAAAGAGTTAATTAGCAGTCTTCAATAAAGGTTTAATCGGAATAAAAGCCTCCTTTTCTTTTGGATCTATAAAATGAGATGGAGTACATTGAAGACATTTTGATTTTGATGGCGCGAATAAATCGAACTCAATTTTAAGAACCTCAATAATTGAAGCATGCCCTAAAAACATAGAACTCAGTATATTTAAGTATTAAGATACTCTACAATCACTAGACATTTTGTAACTAATTATGAATGTAATTGATCCTTACTTGGAAATCAAAAGTTTTTCTGATGAAAAATTTTAGTTATTATTAAAGAGACTTGGTTACCCTTGCAAGCATATGTCAAAAACAAGATTTATGAGCTTAGGATCCTCACATACTTATCTACAATCACTTCATATTTTATCGTGGCTTTGTAGACAGGCTTAACAAATCATACAAATCAATGAACGCATAGAAAATGGCTAATATCAACCGATTGAGATAGAAAATGAATCCTTCTCCAACAAAATCAAAAAGAAATTAGCAGAGTATCTAGTTTACCTACTAAATTAGATATTTACAAGATGGTTATATAGGTACAATTGATGACTCAGCCTTGGAGAAATGCTATAGGGATGCAAAACAAAAGTTGACACTTGAGTTGATGCAGTTGCAAAAGGACATCTCCAAGCTGACTTGTGAATTGAATGTCATTAAAACATAGGAGCCAAACCTCCCTGAGATAGAAGAGTAATACAAAAACTTAGATGCTGAATTGATGTAAGTGACTTAGGAGACACAAGAGAACCAATAGATTTTGGAATCGACTCGGTAGGAAATTAATTAAAATATGAATAAGTATTTAGAAGTTGATAATGAAATCATTAAGGTGCATAAACTTATTGAATCTAAACGATAATATATAGCCTAATAACCTATTAAAATAGACAAAGCCAAAGAAATGGAGGCTAAGGATTATTAGTTGACAATTTAATCGTAATAATTGTTGAATGAACTGTAAAAGTATTAGAAAGAACTAGATAAAGCAAGACAAGAAAAAACAGAAATGCTTTGCAAAATATCAAACATCATTTAGATGCTAAATTCAGGAAGAGTCAAATTTGATAAGGATTATGAAACTTTTGAAAAAAACCTTTACTCATACTAACAAAAACTAGAATAAAATAATGGAATTCAAATAGGAGAAGATGAAAATTTATTGGATATGGAACTAGATGCCTAATTTGAATAAAAACTAGCTAATGAATAGGTAGATTATAAAAGTAGAAAGAGCTTGGTTGCATATGATTTAATCTAAAAATAGGATACAGATTCTATTCTTAAATTGCTATTGCCAAACAAAGAGCAAATTCTCTAAGATCTTAATCAATAATTACAAGATATTTTAAATAAACTATCTGTTAGCAAAAAGCAAGCGCTGGAGATGAAAAATGAATTAAATCAAAAGTTAAAGTAATTAGAAGATATTGAATGTGCCAAAAAAATGATTATTTAGGAGATCAGTTAGTTGAATGATTCTACTGAGGAACTAAAAGTGCTAAAACAAATTTATTTGGAACATCAGGAAAAATAGTAGATATTGCTTAAAGAAATGGAATAGAAAAAGTTAGAAATCAAATTTATAGTGGATAGAAAGAATTTAGATGTTATTGAAATAGATAGATTGAAAAAATAAAATTAAGAAAATTAAGAAGTTATATTAATTATGCAACAACAAGCCGAGATAATTGAAGAAAAAAATACAGCATTATAATAGTAATTTAAGGATTGGGTAAAAGATAACTTAGATCAATTTTTGTCTTTGATTTAAGAAGTGAAAATATGATAAATTAAAAATATCAATTAATTAGAATTATTTATTGTATTTCAATATTCAAATGTTTTGTATACCTAAAAAAATTGAAATCATATAAATAGAGATAGAATTTTTAATTTTACAGGCCAATTTAATTAGTATTTAAATTGTACAACATATATAAGTATCTTAAGAATAAATAATATTATAATACAAAATTAATCTAATAAATATAATATATAATAAAGTATGTAGTTTGAAATTATGCATATCATAAATATTTTATCCAATAAATAATAATTTTAGAATATGTATTCTCTAAGAATAATTCACGTCTTGAAAATAAATCTAACGTGCTATTTCTAATCGTGCTTTAGATGAAATTATTAAAATGGCTTGATGAAGCAGAAGAGAATCGAAAATTATCATTAATGTAAGTCCAATTACAATACCTACATATATCACTTAACTTGAGTAATAATAATAAAGACTATACTAATATTATAAAGTATAATTAATATTTATAATAATAATTTGTTAATATGAGCGTGTCTGAAAATTCGCAATAAATGTATGAGGAACTAATGGTAATGTTATTGATATTCTATTTCAGGATAAAATAAAAAAAAATTCAGAAATAAGAGAGAAATTTGATAGCAGAACATCAAATGGATTATTAGATAAAGATTATGCTCATGAAGTCTTGATAGATTGGAGCGATTTACTAAATTATGACCTAAGTGATGCAATAAATTATTTTGATCTCGATAATCCTGATATTCCTCCTGAAGAGATCAGATAGCACCTAGATTTTGACAGTTTCACTAATCTTGTCAACAAATGGTTATAGAAGCAATTATTGCAGACATCTCCTAAATAAAAACAAAGTACAAACCAAGATCAGTATTGGTTTAAGAGTGAGCCTGGAACACTTAACACAGAACAGAGTGATTTAAAGCATTAAGAATAGTTAATAAAAGCAATTTTTGAGACTCAAGAAGGTAAGACCAAGAAGGTATTTAACGAGTATGCAATGATGAACGATTAAACTGACACAATTAGCAAGTAAGATTTTCCCCTTTTGCTCAAAAATTTGTTATATCAACATAATGCATCAATTTATGAGAAATCTGGTTAAGAGGATTACTTTTTGAGAAGTAATTCATATGGAAATTTAAATAACTTTTTGAGAGATGATTAAATTAATTATTAACAATTCAAGGAGGCGGCAATTCAATTCATAAAAGGAAATCAAGATTTGATTCTTTTGGATCATGAATAAATTAGTAAGAAAAAAGAAAAGCAGCCCCCTTAAATTCAACCTAATTTAGAAGAAGAACTATTATAACAAATTGACAAATATCAATAGATTTTATAATCAACTGAGCCTGAAATTGAGAAATAGGTTCTTAGAAACATGATAACAACTTTGGTTCGTTAGCTAGATTTAATTAGAGATAACACTATGAGATTAGATGAAACTCATATCAATTCCACTATCAAACCTAAAGCAAATCTGCAGGTCTCATTTTCAGGTATTGTTAGACCTGAAAAAAGGTCAAAAACTAAGGAAGAGGTAGAAATTCAAAAAAGAGATAATTAAATATTGGAAATATTTCTATTTTTTGCTAAATAATAGTATGTCAATGGTGTTGCATATGAGTTTGATAGATACACAAAAGAAGCTTAAAGTTTAAGTTTAGGTATGTTCTTATATTTTTGTAAATGTTTTAATTTGATTGAAACTCATGTCAGAAAACCAAATGAAGAAAATCTATTGGAAAGGAAAAAGAGAGGGGAAGATGTCAATATTACTCGATTGAATCAAACAATAATCAATAAAAGCTCATAAGAAGAAGAAAAGTAAGTAGAATAAGTGTCAACAATTAAATCTCCATAACAAAAACCTCCAACTGTCCCAGTCAATATCCAGAAGGTTGAAAATTTGCCTAGAAGAAATAAATATTCTCATGTCCCTTCTAAATTTGAGTATGCTTCTGTTTCTATATCATAGATGGTGGAATGATGAATTAAAGTTTGAAAAATACTACAATCCAAACCAAAATCCCTTACCTCAACAAATTTTGGATGATATGAAATATTTAACTAAAGATGAAATTAAGAGTTTGTTTAAAAGAAGTGCCTTTGGAAAAGATGTAAGACTCTAAATTTATATAGCTCGATTTTGATGAATTCAAATGTCTATTAGGATTTATGGCCAATCTTATGTTCAAAGAAAATGGAGAAAGACATCCTCATGCCTATTAATTGATATTAAGACTGATGTATATTGATTATCCAGAGGAATACAGAAAAAGATTAATCCCGATGAAAATACCATTTAATTGTAAGGAGAAAATTGGTTTCAGGTAGTTGCCAGGTTACGAGCATCATGAATATAAAGGCAGATAATTATCATAATAAGAAAAACAGCAACTGCAAAAATTGAAGCAAGAAAGAGAGAATTAATTAAGGGAGAGACTTACTGAAAACCCTAATCAAAGCATAAGATCTATAGGGTCTATAGGTTCTCAATCTATTGCTAATTTACCATATAATAAATAATAAGGCAGATTTTTGAATGGAAGAATAGATTTAGATAGGGAAAAAGTTTCATGGGCAAAACTAGAGAATTTAAATCCTAATGACTTAAGTGGTCATGGCAGAAATTTTAAGCCTCAAGACTTGATTGATGAATTTGAAGATGAGGAAGATAGGTAATTTACTTTATAATAATTTAGATTTTTCTTGAAAGAATTCTCACTTGAAGAGGATAAAAAAAATCAATTAAAACCTGAAGAGGTGTAAAAACACCTAGAAAAATATGGTGCTTATAAACCTCCAAAGAGGCCTACTTAAAAACACCAAATGAGTTAACCTTAACTGTTAAATTAAAGATATGAATAGAAGAGTGTTGACATGAAAAATCAGTACTTATAAAGAGCTAATCAAATTTAGTAACTACAAAATAAAAAAGAGTAACAACTACTCTAAAAAATAAACAAATAATATAAAATTTGATTATTTTAAAATAATTATAAGCCATTTAATCTTTTGTTATCTATTTAATTGTATTAATGAACGTTTTTAACATAAATAATAGCATATATTACATTCTTACTTTAACCAAAATTAGATATTTATTGGAGACTTTAAGATATAAACACATTAATTGGTATTAAAAATTAATGTTAAGATGTTGATATAATTGAATTGAAAGATTCATTTCTTTTTAAAGTCAGGTGATTTGTCATCGAAACTGGCATCGTTATCAGAAAAAACATTTCCAACAGGTTGTTCTTCAGAATCGTCTTTTTTAAATAGAGTATTTTTGAATGTTTTGATTTATTCAGTTGGGGGTTTATCACCTTAATTGATTAAGGAACTCAAGATATTTTTTGCCTTTATTTATTTCTTTGATGATTTGGTTCCTCCAAAAAATTGTTCTAGTTCATCTTCGGAATTATAATTGTAAACATCAGAATCGGAGTGATTTTCAAGTTTTTCATTTTATATTCTGATCTTCTCTTATAGTTATATAACACTGGTGTCTGAATTAATTGTGAGTTATCTTGACATCTTGTTATTTTATGAATGGATTGAATCTTTCATCATAGATTTTTGAGCATCTGATAATTATTAGATTCCACTGTCTCCTTCATGAATATTTTCGATAATAACTTTATCTTCTTCTTCAGAACTCCCATATCCTCCATTATTAACCCTTTATATTTACTTTTCTAATTTCTTTTTTCTTTCTTCTATTGCAATCTATGCCAACTATTTATGATGCTCTATAAAATTGTTTATGTCAATATACGTTGGAGTAGACTTCGGATTTTTATTTGATGTCTCCCTCACAGCAATACAATTTCCCATTATAAATAAATTAATGAATTACCCTTTTAATCCATCCCCTTCCTACTCATTCAGCGTTGCTAAAAAGTACCAATTGTATAATCATTAGAATACAATCCCACTTTTTGTTACCTTAAGTGAGCATGGGGCCAGGTCAATACAATCCTCAAATTGAGAGGAAAGGAGGAACACTCAACTTTGGATCATACAGCTAACGCAAAATGATATTGGCATAAGATACTTTAACTCCTGGACCCCTTCATTATACAATAAATAGTGTTAGAAGTTAGGGTGTTTCCTTTGCAAATTCAAAGAAGGTTTTACAGAAACCGACTCGAAATCCAGGGCCAGGGTATTTTTACACAAAATTAGGCAATATCTACCTATAGACGAACCTCATAGTAGACTTGGAGGATCTATTTCAAGAACTTCCAGGAATAACAATTTCGATAATCAAATTCCTGGAGCTGGTCATTATCCGATTAAATCTACATTAAAAAGTCTTAGCTTCAAATTTAAGTAATTACACAAGAGAGCTAAGACTGATTATATGAGTCCTGGTCCTGGATCCTATTCAATCTTGTCGGATTCAATGAATCATGGTATCAAAATGCATAACTCCAAAAGAACTTGGTCATACATTTTAAAAACTGAGACTCCAGGTCCGGGAACCTATTAAAGTGAGAGTTTCATTCAAAACAGAGTCTCATCAAAACATTCAAAAACCTCTTCTAAGGAATAATCAAAAATCTTAGATAAATGCTTCTCCCAACACGAATCAAAACAATCCAATAAATTAGGATCTTGTACTTAATCTAAAGGTAATCTTGATTCTAATGGAATTTTATCGAAAAGACAAAAAGTTAAATCCAATCCGTTTGGCCCATAATAAAACATTAGTGATGCTTATAATAGATTAAGGGAATATGGTAAATTAAAAGTAACTTTCACAAAATAAGTGAGAAAGGAAGAATTCCTAGATGAATTTTCAACTGGTGGTCCAAAAAAGGCTAACAGATCTCCAGGTCCAGCCATTTATGCTGATATCAAATTCAAACCTAATACAAAATTGGGTTTTGTTCCAACCTCAAAAAAAGGAGAAGTATTCAAACCAAAAGAAGGACCTGGTGTTGGAGAATATACTAAAATAGCACCTTTTGGTAAAGTTTACAATAAACACATAACACCAAAGAGATCATTTTTCAAATTCAAGGACCTTAATTAATTTGATTTTGACTAATGACTATTTCTATATTGATATATTATTCAATAATAATTTCTGAAAATCATAATTTAAAATAAGTGGAGGGTTTGGTAATAATATTAGATTGTTAAATTATGATCCAAAAGTTTGGAAGATAATCTTAAAATAAATGAATAAAATTTTAGCTTCCTAAAAATCATTAATGCTGATTACTCAAATATAATAGTTCATGTAACAAATAAAGTCAAATTCAGTCTTGAAAGATGGAGTATAATTAACGTGAAGAACTTTATACTCAAACAATAATATTTAAATTACAATTAAATGTAAGATAGAGAATAGAATCTAGATAATAATGGATATCAAAATTAGAGATAGACATGATGAATTAAACTAAACATTCTACCACTTTGTCTCATAATAATTGATTGGGAATTCGAATTTTAATAGATGATTAATTATATCATTATTTTTAAGTATCTAAACAGTTTGTTTCTACATATGAATCTCTTTTAACACAACCTAAAGCTACCAATAATTTCTGCATAAAGGTTTCATTTTTTTATTTAACTGTTTGTGATCGTATCTCCTTTTTCTAGGATTCAGAATGTCTGCTACGACGATATTACTACTTGTAATCTTGCACCGAGTTTTCAGTTTGGGTTTAAAATGTTAAGTTTTGCCTGAGAAAGGATTGTTAGGAAGTAGCTGTAGATTTAGAGAGATATTAGTTTTCTTAATGCATAGTGCTTCCGTTGACTCTGGTTCTATTCTATGATACTGATAACATCTCTAATTCAAATTCATTCTTTTTGAGCCATCTATGATTCAAGATCTATTTCATGGTTAATCTATCTTTTTGTTTATATTTGATAAGACCAGTGATGAGATCCTTAACCTCAGGACTCAAACTATTATCGATGATTTAGTAGTTGATCTTCACTATGTTATTACACTTTTCAATATCGTTTTTACCTTTGAATGGAGCATCCCCATGCAACAATTCATACAATAGTATTCCTAAACACCACACATCCAGAGTGTGATCATGAGGTCTATCCTCAATCATCTCAGGGGCCATGTAATCAATAGTTCCACAGAAGGTGCTACGTTTTTTAGATCCTAAGTTTTCAGCTGACCATCCAAAATCACAAATCTTGACATTGTCAGCCACATCCAATAATATATTTTCAGGCTATATAATATTTATGAGTAGTTACTTTGAGATCTCTATGAATGATATTTTATTGATGTAGATAATCAATTCCTAAACATGTTTACTTAAAGAACTTTAAGGCTTCGTTTTCGTTTAATTTTCCTCTTCTTTTCAACAATTAGAATAGGGATCCATGTTCTGCGTACTCCAAAATAAGATAAACCTTATCCTTGTCTTCAAAATAGTGAAACAATTATGTGATATTTGGATGATTCAATTTCCTTTGTATTCGAATCTCTCGCTTGAGATTTTCAATTGAACAATACTCAAAAATGTCCTTCTTATTCATCTAAAGATGATAAACATATGTACTATCTTCATAGCATGTAACTATCCATTAGTTCTATCCTTCACTAGTCTAACTGCTCCAAAACTGCCTTTGCCAAGTTATGGGTAATCATAAATGAGTTCAAACTCTTCTGGACTTCTTTTCATCTATCTTAGAGTTGACACTTTGTCACTATAGGCAATTTCCTATGAATTTAACATGTTTTAAGGAATACATTGGTTTTTATGTCCAGATGTCCTTACATAATAACTCAAATTTACCAATCAATGTCTCGACATCTTTGAGAACAATAATAGGCATGCTTACAAAAGGGGCAATACACTCTATATTTTGGTATTGGAACCATTTAGGAGCCAGCCAAATTATATTGGCAGTATCGCGAACTGCAAACGTTCATCAAATAATATATTAATATTATGTAATATTCACAATCAATATAGAAGTATAGGAAATCGACGAGCTCACCAATTCTTAAACCACAGAGTCTACCTACAATAAATGAATTGAGATTTGCAATGAGAACCAGAGCAGGAAGTGATCAATAGCATTCAGTCAAGATTAATTAGGACAGTTTTATTGCTTGTAGATTGTATAAGGAATAATAATGATAGTAATGGCTATTAATTCTTTGCTATTTGTGATGGTCATGGTTAAAATGGGCATCTTGTATCATAATACCTTAAGAAAAACATCCCAAGTATAAATCATAAGAATTAGTCATTCTAAGAAATTATCTCAAAGACATGTCCTTAAATTCAGAGGGGATCAACTAAGCAATCATTCGGTCCTTCTTGAAAATTAATAAGGACCTATTTCAGAACAACATAGACACCAATTTGGCTGGGTCCACCTTGGTCTCAATATTGATGAAAGACTAACAAGTAGAATGACCATTTATTCCTTAGATATTTTGTGCAAATGTAGGTGATTCAAGAGCAATTATATGTCAAAAAGTGAATACTTGGATGGCCATTTAAATAAGTGTTGATCACAAGCCAAATAATGCAAAAGAGAGGGCTCGAATCGTAAATGCAGATGGCAGGATATCATAGAGGAAGACTTCCGAAGGATATCCTGCTGGTCCTGAAAGAGTGTATCTTGCTTTTTCAGACACTCCAGGACTAGCAATGACAAGAAGTTTTGGAGATAAAATTGCCTCTAAGGTTGGGGTCATTGCAGAGCCAGGTATTGATGATTTATACTAAATACAGAGATATTAGAATTTAAGAAAACTAAGGCTCACAAATTTATAGTTCTAGCCTCAGATGGCGTTTGGGATTAATTGACAAATGACGAGGTTATGGATTTGATACTACCTTATTTCAAAGATAAATAGGTTGAATTGGCCACTGAAAGAGTTGTGAGGGAGGCCTTTAATAGATGGAAGCAGTTTTCCGTTTTGAGAGATGATATAACTTGCATAGTAATATTTTTATGATTGATATTATCACAATATTGTTATTAATAATTAAATTGCATGCTAATTCCTTTGTTTACTTTGGCGTTAATCATATAACTTACTCGTAGTGAATAAATGGATAATATAACTTAAGTCATTTTTGATGAAGATAATAAATGGGAAGCAAAAATGAAAACTGCAAATGAATCCATTTTTTAAGTTTAGCATACATACACAAAATATTGTTATGTCAGGATTAGTCTACTAATGAAGGATGCTGGCCTAATTGCAATGGCGGATTATGATAATTTACCTAATATTAGCCTTTACGAAAGTTATAAACAAGGAGAGAAGTTAGATAGAATTAGGTAAATTATCTTTAATTTTATTCTATTTTAGCCAATACGAAAATAGGAAAACGAGGTTTCTTAAATTGAAGACTGGAAAGGGGCTTATCTACATTTATGTAAAGGGAAACAATACAAATAATGAATATACCATTTCGATTAGTGGGAGTAATGAAGAATAGTGTGATAATGACTGCTCCAACAATGGGATTTGTAAGGTATACTCTAATTACAATAATAAGGTTAAAGGATGTAGTTGTAATAAGTCTTTTTTTGGGAATGATTGTAATCAGATTGCTGAAGAAGTGTTTGTAGGAACATCGAAATAACTCAATATATCAACTGAAAAATAACTATAATTTTACTATATAGATATTTAAGCTTTGAAGAATTACACATTTAGGATTGATTTTTCTGTGTCTTATATTTTGGGTTAAGAAGAATTTTGTAACCGCTGCTTAACACTTTGGCATTTTCTAACAAAGGGTCTTATAAAAATAGATTATTTTGATTATGATGATTATTTATCCTTTTAACTTAATGATTTATGGCTACCTAATGTAATTGAAGATGGGTTTTCAACAATTTTATATCGAATTCCATTTAATTTATCTGATTAAAACTAACTTTTAATTTTTGCATTAGGAAAAGAATGGGATACTGTTGACTATGTTGAATTATAGATGACATTTAGTTAAGAAGTTACAAATTATGATTCGTATGAGGATGAGAATGAGAATGATGATAGCGAGGAAACTAATAGATTACTTTACATCATAATCCCATCTGTTGTCGGTACATTAATAACGCTTGTCCTATTATATTTTTATCTGAGAAGGAGAAATTTTCTTAATAAGTACAGAAAACCAAATAATTAATAATAAATTGTTCTAGAGCCTGAAAAATGTGCAATATGCTTGGAGGATCTTATAGATGCTTATAAGTCATTATTCCAGATTGAATGCGGGTAAATAAAATTGAATAATTTAGCCATCAATTCCATCTCAATTGCATACAAGACTGGGGTAAAAATAAATAACAACAAAAATTATGTCCATTTTGCAGAAGACCATTTAATCCAGATCAAATTAAATGATTATATTACTTATTTATTACGAGTAAATATTTAGGGTATGTATGACTGTTACAAATCAACTTAAATCGACAATTTCAATTTAAATTACAATAGAAAGGTTGTAAATTTAGTATTAAACTTATAATAAATGATTAATGTTATGTTTTTCGTTTCATATTGTCTAGCCTAAATTGTTGAAGTTAAATTCAATTAATAATAAAGGTGGTCAAGTGAGTTTAAGAATTCAACAAACAATACTTTTAGGATTGCACCTTTGGACAAGGTCGAATAATTTTATTATATTCAAATTGAACTAAATATCACAAATCCAAAATTTATGTTGTTAGCTCAAAAGAATTACCCAATTTCTAATCCATTTTCGCCAATGCTGTTAGATGGAGAAAATATTGATGCCACAAAGTAAATTACTTTTACAATAATTTATAGTCAATATGAAAACCGTGATTTAAGATATCTCAAAATTGCATCTATTGATCAACCTATTTACATTACAACATTGGGTGAAGGGGTTGATTATAAGATATCAGTTGAAAAATCAGAGAATCAGAATATTTGTTAGAATCAATGTTCGAATCATGGCGATTGTCAGGTATCATTACACTTATTCTAGAAACAAGGCTGTTTTTGTCTCATCGGATATACAGGAATAGATTGTAGTCAAAATTCCACTCCAATAATAGATAATATGTCAATTCCTGGAAACCAAAATGAAAAAACTTACTTTTCTTTATTATATTTACCTACAACTTCTCTTTAGGGCTATTAATACACTCTAAAATTCAAAGTAATTTACTCCTTTTGAGTATTAGACAAATAACTATGTTGGTTTATAAATTATAGTCTACAAGACTTCAGCTATCATTAATCCTTTGAAACAACTCATATCTGACCCAAATTTATGTGATATCTATTAAGTTTCTAAAAATAAAGAATTAGAACTACTTCTAAGAGTACCTGAAATTCCTTAGCAAAGAAATAGATTAAATTTTGCAATTAAGACGGCTTTCCCTGATTATTTAATGCAAGATCTGGAGATCTCTTTATAAGAATATGTCGAAGAGGAGGTTGTTGATTTATCAGACACTATGATAATTATCATTTCAATTGGCTGTGTTGTTTTTGTATCCTTAATCATAATGTTCTTCTGTTATAGACAGTATAAAAAAAAATAAGCAGCACAAAGAAGAATGATAATGCAGAATTAAGAACCTCTGCATTCAGGACATGAGAACCATCCTATTATACAATAAGAGATCAATCTTGAAGAAGTTTGTTAAAAAAATTGTTTATGTAAACTTTCTTCAAAGGAACTCAATCCAGAGGAGTATTGTTCTATTTGTTTAGAACCTCTAGATTCAGCCTAAGAAGTCAGATAAACTAGATGCCAGTATTTATTATGAGTTAATCTTAGTCATAATTTTCATATCAAATGTATAAAATTGTGGTTGGAGAAAGCGAAGCATGAATGTCCTATTTGTAGATAATAACTTGAACTTAAACCCTAGGATGAAATTATGAGAACTTGAGGAATTCAATCAATATTTGGATAGACTAAATTATTGATTTAAGTGCATTCACATTTGTTATGCATTTAATTTATAACTTTTTTAATATTGTATATATCTATAGGATAAAAGATATTCATCATCTTTTATCAAATTTGTCTGACTTCGCCTCCTTCTCTTTGAATTCTCTTCTATCCATTTCATATTGTTTCTCATTAAAGAGTTAACATTCCTAAAATTCCCCGACTTATTATAAGGCGCTTTGAATCTACTTCAGATCATATTCCTAGTTGAACTCAATGTAAATATATTTATAATGGATAATACGGTAAGCTGATATGTCAAATTGCTGTTGCTTTAAAGCATTAATAATATTGTCAAAGGCTTACTTTTAAAATTATATTCTTTGAGACTTTTAGACTTATTAATTTTTTCTCTCTTCTTCTGGAAATTTGATGTAGATTATATATTTCTATGTTAACTTAATGTCTTCAGCAGTATTCAAATTAATACTATAATTGTTTTTAAATTAATTTAATTTATTCTTTTGACTCAATAATTCTTATTGGGTAAAGTCTTTGGTCAAATTGATAAATATAAATCCAGTCATATAAGCATCAAACCCAGCAGTATGATAGGCATTTTAATCTAAATTCACATCTATTTAAATGTAATTCATGTTGTTTTTTATGAATTCAGCCAGATTTTCAACAGAAGTTGATGTCTCAAATTTACTTCTAATTTTTTCCAATGGTTAAGCTGATTAAATGATGTATTTTGTATCATATATTGGTGGCCAATGCTTAACAACATCCTCCTTAAATTCTTCCCATGATATTGGAGGACATTAAACAAAATGACTGTAACAAAACATAATATCTGCAAAACAATTGTGTCCTACAATGTACTTTTTAGAATTCAAAATGCATTCCCAAATTTAATAGAATCCTGTTTTAGTTTAAAATCTATTTGTTTTTAATAAATATTTTTCTTCATCCTTAGCCTATTTTTCTGCATTTGTTAATTTTGTTATTTTCATTTCTCCTTTCAATAAAGATTCCCCAATCATATTTTTTTAATAAGCCTCTAAGTAAGTATAAATCACTTTCCTTTGATACCCATTTGTCGTTTCTATTGTTATTTGTTTCTCGTCAGACTTATTGAATTTCTCTAACTTGTCAATTAACTCTCGAATCTATCGAATAATTTGCATGTCTTACTGTCTTTTTATCTATCGGTTTGACATCTTCCAAGATCTTTTCGAATTGGTTCTTCAACTCTTCCTAATCCAATTATTGGAAGTCTTTGTTATAATCATCTTGAAGCTTCTAATATTGTGCCCTGTTCAAATAACCTACTCCTTTGTTAATCCACCTATTCCAATCCATGCCATGCTCACTGTTAAAAAATACTGCTCCCACCTATAAACCCACGAAGTCATCTAAACTAATAATTAGAATATTTTCTACTCTTGAGGAAACAAATAGAACGTATAAGGAAATGCGACATACCCTTTTTATTTTTTGATAAAGATGCACAATCCAAATTGAATGATATTATATTTCATACTTACTTTTCGTATCTATATGTCATTAAAAATACCTTTAAATATCTTTCAAATGGTAATTCTTCAAATGTATCTTAATATTCCCCTTTTATTCCAGTTAACTCAAGATCAAACCCCAGAAAGTCACATAGCTTTATCTGCTCCATTATTGTTTATTTGTTTTGCTCAAAATTATCAATGTCGATGAACATTTTATATTTACTATTATTAATTATATGAAATCATTTCTTAAACAATATCTAAACAATCCCCTTCTTTTTATCGGCAGGCTTTACCGCCAATTCGTCCAGAATTTCTTCCTTTTCCTTTTCTGAGAATTCCAAAAACTAAAACAAAGTATTCAGAATCGCCTCTGCTAAATCATAATTGAGATTTTTCGGCCCACAAGCAGTTAGAAACTTTTTTAGACAATCTCGCAAATGAGCCTTTGCATGTACCGCTTGAGGATCAACCGAAGTCTTTTGCATAGCCATCATCTTGTGTTTATACTAAAATAATCTAATCTTTTACATCTCGGGCCAAATTATTTAGCTGCAACATCTACTCCTCCTTTGCAGCTATCCTTTCTAACAAAATTTAAAACTTAGCAATAATCTTCACATTCTCTTCATTGGCCGCCTCCAACTTTGATTTCAATATATTAACCTCCTCTGTGTGAGACAATTATTACTTATTGGAAGTTGAATGCTAAGTGATAATATTAAATATTTACCTCCTTCTTGTTCTTATCATTGTTGACAATCACTGATATATCTAAACCCCCAATAAAGTCACTGACGTCATTTTCATTGATTTCTGCCTATTGCCCATTTGATGAGAAACTAATATCCTCATTCTTCTCTTCCTTTATATTACTCAAAGCTGTTTTGACTGGCAACTTCGCCTTCATCAACTATATATCTTTCTAGTAGGCCAATAAATTGTTTTATTCTTGCTGGGACAATTTAACCTAAAAATAATCTCAATTCTTTTACATAATTCTACGCATAAAAGGCCGCCTACTAGTTTCTTAGTAACTCATCCATTAATGACTAGAGACATTAGTAATAAGTAAACTTTCTCTCACATTGTTTTTCATGTTAAGATTTAAATTATCTTAAATAATCTAGGATATTATCCTAATTAAATAAAGCCTTTATCTCTTGTAAAAGAAATTAATTTTAATTAGAATCAGCTTATATTTTATCAATCTAAGTTGATTTTGCTTAAATCACATTTTATAACTCTTTAATCTCAGAATCTTTCTTAGCTATTAATGCATCTATCTCCTTCTATGGATTTTAAATTTCTTTAGTATTTTATTAAATCAAATCTAATTGAGATTTTAACTATAAGATTTCTTCATTTTTTTATTCAAATAATTTCTAAGCTTCACTTTCCCTCTTGCTATAATCTGCTAATTCAACTTCCTTTTAAGTTATGATTTCCTATAATTAATCCAATTGCTTTCTTAAAACTGAAATCTATGAATTTAAATTTTCAATTTGAGAGTTTAGCTTATTCTATTCTTTTTATAGCAAATCTTCTTAATCTTTCAATTGTTGATCTAATTGTTAAGTTTACTATTCTTTTTATGAGAGCTTTTAATTCAATAGTGCTTACTGCTGATCTAATTCTATTTTAGAATTATTGATTTATTATTTACTTTCTATTTCCTATTATAATTCTAATTATAATCGTTATATATCCTATTATTAGGAGTTAGTCTATAATTATAATTAATTATTTTATTGTTTTATTTTATCATAGTCTACTTTTTATAATGCCATCAGTTCTCCATGATCTTGAGAAAGCTAATTATTTTATTATAACAATTTTTATTCTTAAGCTTAGTTTTCTTAAATTGAATTTGTTATTTAATCATCCTTGATTTTCAAATCGTTTTCTAGTTGTATTATCTTTTATTCTAAATTATTTATCTATTCTTATAATGAACCTATTAGTCTATTTTATGCCTAATCCGCTTCATTCTTATTAGTTATTTAAACTTGATTTTCAACTAACTCTTTGTTATTTTTTTTCAAATCCAAAATCTCATTATTCAAAGTATTATTTCTTTCCTATAATTCTATATTTCTCTAGTTTAATTAATTATAATTTTATGCATCTTGAATAATTTATAATTATAATTTCTTATTATTTTACTCTAATTCATGGTTTGAATGCTACAAAGAATTTACTTCTTGTTAGATCTACTAATTTATTTGTATTCTTTCCTGAATCTAATTCTCAAGCATAGCATTTTATTATTGTAATTATAGAAGTTTGTTGTTAATTTTTTCAATTTCTTTTGTTTATCCTAGGATTTTATTTTACTTCTCTTTTAACTCCTCGTTTTTTTATTTTATTGTTTAATCTAAGTCATTTGTTATATCTATATTATTGGCTATGATTATTTCTCTAGCTTCTAAATTCTTTTACAATTCGCTATTCAACTATTTGAAATGACTATTATCGTTTTATATTTATGTGATTTCTATAACTTATAAGTTCAACTAGTTAGATTTTTCTGTTAAATCATTTCTTAATTTGGTACAATTTTCTTATTCTTATTTTAATAATAATGTTGTTTCATTAATTTTGGATTCCTGAATTAACCTAGTTTATTCTAATTCTTTTATTTTGTTCTCAAGATTTTAGATTTATTGTTGATTAGTCTAAAATTTTTGAGTAAAACTTTATATCTATTATTTATACTCCTCATTCAATATTTTGAAATTATTCAATTGTTAATTTAAATTATCTACAAGCACTTAGGAATTCCTAAATTCCTATTCTAAAGTCTCAGCATGTAAGACCTATGTTTAAAGCTTAAGATTTTTTTCATTGAGTTCATTTTATAGATTTGAGATTGTCAAATTTTAAGTTTAAGTAAGGGAATTTAACTTTTCAAATTGATTCTAAATCAATTACTAATTTTTAGATTCTTCTCGGATAATTAGATATTTCTATTCCTAGTCAAAAAGTTATTTCTCTTATTCTTTAATAGTTAATTTGCTCTTCTCTAATTATTCTATTAAGGTACCAATTTGAATGAGCAATTTCTGAGTTTCTTAAGATTGTGTCATCACGTTTCGACATAATTCAGTTTCCTTGACAACTAATTCTGTACTAAACTATGTCTTATTCTCTTCAATTTATTAATCATTCTATAAATTTTCAATTTCTAGTTTTTTATTCAGCTCTGTAATTGTATTTAGCTATTCCTTTAGCATTTCTGATAGTTTAGCTTTATCTTATTTAGCCAATTCTTACTATTAATTAAATGATGATATTTATGAATTCAACTCTAAAATTTAGAGCTGATGTTTCTTGATTATTTCTTTATTTTGATTTTCTTTAGCTCGAAGATTCTAAATTTCTTAGTTAAGATTAAATTAGAGTTTACTTTAACCTGATTATAATTATTCTATTTCTTCTAATAATTGCATGTTCTTTTAAGTAAGATCTTGATTCATCTAAACTAGCTCTTCATTCTCTTAATGTTAAGAATTCAATTCTTCAATCTTTTATTAATTGTCTTTTAAAAAGTTTGATCTTTCTTTTTTGATTTCTTATTGCAATTCTAAAATTCTAGATTCTAATTGTTATATTTAATCTTATGAAGAGATTAATTCAGACTCTAGTTCACTCACCTTATTTTAGGCATTGTCAAGTGAAACTTACTTTTCATTTAATGAAATTTAGATTTTTTCAGCCTCCTCCAGTTCCTAATTTAATCTCAATATTTTATCATTTAATTATTTCTTTTCATCCTCGGAATCTTGTTGATGTTTTCTCATCTACTATTCTAACTACTGTATTTGATTCTAAAGGATTTCTTCTTGTACATTAATAGTGATTACATCTTTTTATTTTGCAATAATCTATTCTTCCAATTACTTTACTTTGTTGTGTAATTCTTATTGTTCAAACTTTGCCTTTTGATGCTATTATTCAAATAATAGGCTTTATTGCTTTTATTGCTAGATGTGATCCTTCTTTTAGTTCAACAACATCTCTATTTCATGTTGTTTTCCTAATAAGATCTAATCTTTGAAATTTAAGGATTCCTATAATTTTTATATTGTTTGATTGAGAGTCGATACTTATTTTTCATGATGATGGATTGCTCTATCTTACACTTAAATCTTTTAGTTTAATCCTTAAAGATCTTTAAGCTATTATTATAGTTAAATAACTTCTTAAGTTTTTTACTTTAATATCTTATCTTTGTTATTAATTTAATCTTAATACTCATTATTAACCTTAGTTAAATCTCGTATTTGTTGTTCAAAGTTTGAGAGACTCTTATTCAAAGAATCAATCTAAGATTTCAAATGTCCTTAAATCGTAGTTTATTCAACACTTTTGCTTCTGAGTTGTTCAGGAGTATCATTCAAAATCCTACTGTTACTTTCATATTATTATATGATCTAATCCTTACTTTATATGGTGTTATCCAAAATATGAAGCTATTCTGTATGTTCTTCTTCAAGTCTCATGATTTAAGTCTTAAGATTGTTGATTTCATCCTCATAATCTAACAATTTAGTTTCTTATTGCTTGTATGCAAATTAGGCTTAATGTAAATCATTCTCTAATTGCTTAATCAATTATTGTTATGTTTCTAATTCTTGTTAAGACACCAAATCCAAATGGAAGAGACTTTACTGTTCTGAATTTCGATTTTCGAAATCCTCTTTTTGTGTCTATAAAGATTAGACAATTTATTTGTTCATTTACTGATCTCTTTAATATTAATCAGATAGCTCTTAGTAGGACTATTTTAAATCGTTGTATTTCGATTTCATTTCCTGAAACTTAATTTGATTTTATCCATTTTCTCGTTCTTTCTCTTCTTTTTCAGATTTGAGTTTTGAAATTTGTTAGTTAAGCTGTTCAACTTCTTAGTTACAATCCCGTAAGCCGAGTCTAAGATAATGATTGAGTATATGTCATACTTATTCTGTTTTTACTTGAGATCCACTATTTCTTGACTTAACGATTTTAGCTTTTAACTTGAATCATCTTTATAATGTTAATACTCAGAATTTGCTTCAGATTTTTATTTCTGCACTAAATAATTAAAATATTTTTACGTTGTTTCTCACTCTCTACCATTTTAGAGAGTTGTAATTTAAGTAATTTATTTTCATTTTCCAATTACTTAACCTTTTTTTGATACTCTTATATTAGTTCATGTTCATCATCGATTTATTATTTTAAATTACTAATTTCACTCTCTTTTTCTGCCATAAGATCTTAGAATTAACTTAATTAGTTATCCAACAATTTTTGTTGGGTGTTCTTGGAATCAAGACTGGATTAGGATTCCACAAGAGGGTTTTTGTGTTTGAATTTATCATTCTCAGAGTAAGTGTCCTAAGGTCTATAAGAACTTTGCAATTAATTAGAGAATTATTTATTTGATAATTCTAATTATTGTTTTTTATTTTACAATTTATTTACTTTAGCTTCCAACTTTGTGACAACAGCAAATAAATTTTTATTTTTTGTATTTAAATCTTTGTTTTAAATTTCTTACTAGCGCAATTAAGTGTTTATTTCAATCAACTTATTGTGATCTTAATCTCGACTTTAGAAACTATTGGCTATAATTGAATAAAGCTATTCGAAGGATTGAGGATAAGAATTTTGATGTTTCTCCACCAAAGAGTAGAGCTTATTGAGTTCATCCCTCTTGAATAATTAACTAATATTTGTGTTCTAAAGTTGATAAATAGAAATTTGTGCAGTTTAACAAATTTGATTGATTATGTGCTGCATGGTATTCCATCCTGCAACGATCTCTCGAATATCTTTGAGCACTAGCATCTACAGTTTTTGTGAGGATCGCTAATTCTGCAATAACTTGGCATTGATTGATATGAAGGATAACTCTTAAAGAATTTCAGTCAGCAAATCATCCGCCCTATATAGGTCAAAGGCTAGTCATACCTTATTTGTTCTGTTTTGTAAGTGCCAGTGTCATCCACTCTCTTAAGCAACTTTTCCAAAGGTTTTGTAGCAAATTAAAAGTTATCACTACTCATTCTACTCTGAAGCAGATTTGATTTTAGGGCGGATATTTTTTTCTCGATTTACTAGTGATTATCCTTCAGCAAATTAAATCTCAGGGAAGAACCCATCAGTCTATCAGAATCCTAATCTTGATGTTTCGTTGTGTAGGAATCAATAAGAAGATTTTAAGAATTGCGAGGACCGTAAATGCCTGGAGACATAATTTATCTCAAAGAATGGGGCGAACATATTCCAGGTTGAGGAGAATAAAATGCTGTCTGAGTATTTTATCTGCTTTATTTTTGCATTATTCAAATTATAAATAAATTTATAATAACAACAAATTCACATTTCTATTAGATTATTTGATATTTCAACCCAAACTGTTTAATATTACTGGAAGGATGAAGTCATCAACTTCACCATCTTTTCCAAGTACTCCTTAATTTATAGAGAAGTGTAATTAATAATCTAATCAACAGTTTGATAAGCTCTCTAATTGAGAGCTCCGAATTGATTCTTCAATTGCAATTGCTATGCATTCTCCTAAAAACACTTGAATTAAATAAATTACAGTCTAGCACATGCATTAGAATGCAATTTGAGGATTTGATTTTATTTAATCTATTTTGAAATGATCCAAAAAGCTTTCATCCAAATCCCATTTTACAACTTCGCCAATTTGGTACAATTTCTCTTTCTTTAATTTTAATTGTTGAGAAAAGTCTTGATACGAGTTCAGGGATTTCTCTCTCAAGATTAGTAGCTCTTTGAGAGGTTGTGTTTGATGATACTGAAATCTCTATTGGGGATAAATAGTCTCATTCAAGATCTTTATTTGATTAGATTCAAATTTCTACGAAGATTCAAACAAGTCGTTTAAATTCTTATAGCAATCTTTCAGTCTAGTATTTTGAGCTTTGGATTCTCGAAATAATTCCTTGTACACCTCAGTTAATTGAATCAAAGTATGGTTTTTTTATTGCATTTACTTCATCAACTACTTGATTAACTTATATGCCTTCTTTTGAATAGGTGATATGTTCGTTAAAAAGTAATCAGACTATTTAATAAAATTAGTGATTTGTGAATTTATTCTAACGCTAACTTCACCACTCATATTTGAAAAATTAATCTATTGATTATTTGTAAATTATTCTGCTGATAGAAATTCCTAAACAATAGTTAAATTTCTTATTTCGCTGTCTCCAAGGATGAAATTCAGAAACATTTGCAAATGTCTTAACTGTTTAATATATGTAAAATCTACAGGGGACTTCTTTTGATTTGGGATGTTGGGGACTGTAAAATTTTTATTCAGAGTACTTTTGAGCAGAATGAAGTCATCATAAGTTCTCTTGACCACCCAATTAATGGGTTTGGTTTCAATTTTAAAATAAACAGATGTGTTCTTAAAAATGCCTTTTTAAATCTTCTCATAACCAACAACCATAGCTTTTGCATCCTATATTTCCGCCAGAGCATTAGGGATAGTCTTGTTGCATTTTAAAATGGCAGCATAATCATTTTGTGAATCCTAAAATTTCTTAACAAATTCGATTAATTCATCATAATCCCATTGCTCAAGATCGTGACGCTGATCAATGCTTTTTTGAAATGCTTCAATGTTGTACCCCTTTTCAATAATTTCTTTGACTAATAAATTCTGTTTTTATTACAAAGACATCTCTATTAAATATTTATTATTATTATTTATATAAAAATAGATCATTAAATTTTCTTTCTCCCCTACGACAAATCATTGCAGTAATTTGATTCAATTACCTAGTTAATATTTTGACAAATTCTCTATTGTGCGAAGGATAGGTTGTTGAGAAGACTAATCCATTTGGTCTTTCAATAGCTTTTTAAAGTACTTTCTATTATCTTTTCTCCCATTGATGAAATTCTAACCCTGTGAATGAATGAGTTTGTTATTGGGATTAATTCTGGAGAATACCAATTTATATAGCAATAGATTATGTTGTTTCTTTGATATCACCAGTAATCATGACAACTGAAATACCTGCTATTTTGCATTTTTTTAATGGACCTCTTGGTTTTTGGTTTTGGTGGATCTTATAAGGTAACAACACCAATAATAATTGGTTTATTTTCTAAATCCTCATAATAATATGTATTAAAGTGTCACATTCTTCTTTGTGCACAGATGGTCAATGTTCTTAATCCCTTTTCTGCTAAATTCTTAACAATTGCTAAAGTTAATTCTTATTTTCATCTGAGGAGATAAAAAGGATTATCATTTAAAAGTACTATTATATTAACATAATGTAATTGTTAGTAGAATTATTTCATGAATTAGAATTGCTTTGTTGATAACACAACTCTAGCTCTTTAACAAATTTTAAGGTTTTGAAAATTTTATAAATAAAACAAATATCTTTAATGTATTAAATTGTTTCAATAGTTCGAATTGAATCATCTATCACAATTTCTTATTTTTGTTCAAATCTCTATAATTTTATTGTTAAAATCTTAATTAAAACCCCCCATTTATCTATACTTTTTATTAATATTTATTTACTGTTTATCCTAGTTGTATGTTTTAGATAATGTTTATAATTATTAGATTTATAATCTTTAAAATAAATGAAATTACAAGAATTAAAAATAAGTCTAAAATTAAATAAATTAAATTTAACCTATTTTTACTAAATAATTTGGTATACAAATAAATTCACAATATAAATTTTTTTCTATATTTCAAGAGCAATATTTTTTTTCAACCCTGAAGGCAGGATTGTTTTAATCCAAAGCAGAACTTTTAACCTTTTTTGGATTTTAATCTTGAGTTCCCTAACTTATGTTACCTTGCTTCTCTGATGGTTCAATATCTTGAGATTTTGCAGTAAACTTAGAACTGGAGAAATAAGTAGAATCTGATACAACACTAAATCTGGTTGACTCTTAAGCAGATGACCTACATTTAATTGGAGTTAGTCGAAGAACACTTGAATTATTCTTACATCTTAACATCTTGATTACCCAGTTTGAATTCAAGACTTACTAGATATTAATTCGTTTTTAATGTGCTAGCATTTATTGCAACAACAATAGGCACTCTTTAGATAAATTTTCATTGAATTTGATTGGTTATTTACTACAAATTTTTTCATACAACTCCTCTTTTTATTTGGCTCTAAACAATAGTTCACCATGCAACATATACTGTAAAATTATTAATGAATTTAGCTTACATATAATAGAACTCCCAAGGCCCAGATGTCTACTCCTTTGTCATGAATTTCTTTTCTTATGACTTCAGGTGGCATGTATTCAGTCGTACCACAAATACAAGGCTTAGCTTTACCACCATTTGGTAAAAAGGTTGACCAATTGAAATCACAAACTTTCACATCGCTATTTTACAATAAGATATTATCAGCCTTTATGTCTCTATGAATGATGTCTTTTTCATGTAAATAGAGGATGGCTTGTGCTATTTGATAGAAATAATGGAATGCCTCTTCTTCAGTTAGTTTATTTCTTTTTCTAATCAGATCATTTAAGGTTCCATGTTTGCAATACTCTAACACTATATAGATATTATCTCTGTCTTCAAAATGCTCGATGTATTCCACAATATTTTTATGTTTGCATGCTTGCAAATAATTTAATTCATTTAAGATGTGCTAGGTGGCAAAGATTTGTTTCATATAACTTTTTGATATCTATATATGTCATATAAGTACTATTTTTATTGCAAACTTTTTTTTAATCGTATGATTTAATGCCAGTTTAACTTTACCATAAGTTCCACTTCCTAACTCGATCTGCAGAACTTCATACTAATCCTTAAGCAATTTCTTTTGAGTTGGAGGTGCAAAGCTTTGTGGTTTAGGTGGCAAGTTATAGTAATATTAATTCATTTAAAATGAAAATAAACAAAAATAAATATTAAGTTGATGAATGAAAATACCAATTCTATTTAATTTATTCATTTTAATTAAACTAAAATATGACTTCAATAAAACTCATAGAACTCTTGCTGATTTATAGGTATTTCTATTTCATTAAACAAATCAAGGTATTCAAAATTTAAGTAGTATTATTATATTATTAATTTTAATTTATGAAAATAATTATCAAAACCTTAAGTGGATAAACCTTTGATATTGAAGTACAACCAACAGAAACAGTAACTCTGATTTTCAAATTAGGTTCTAAACATCAAAGAAAAAATTGAATAGAATAAATAATTCGAAATAGCCTAATAAAAACTTTTAAGAAAAGGAACTCTTTTGCAAAATGAATAAACTGTTGCTGAATTGGGACTTCAGGAAAAAGACTTTCTTGTTGTCATGGTCAATGTCAAAGTAAAGAATTCAACTACATAAATCTAGAAAGGACCTCCTCAACAACAACCTGTTTAATAACAAGTGCAATAGCCACCTTAGTAGCCACAACCTGTCTAGCCATAATAACCAATATAAGCGTTTAAGCCAGTCGTTGCTCCCGCTCCATAAAATATGGTGACTGGCTCCGAATATGATGCAGCCATTCAAAATTTGATTTAAATGGGATTTGCTAAATCTGAATGTGAAGCAGCCATGAAGGCAGCCTATAACAATCCGGATAGAGCTATCGAATATTTACTAAATGTAATTTAACATTATGCTATAGAAGGGTATTCCTGTAGTTAATCAACCACCACCTCCCCCATAGGCTTAAAATGAAAATCAGGAACATCAGAATGCATTGTAATAATTGAGAGAATAATTTATTTAAAATCCAGAGGCAATCCTTTAGTTGCTGCCACAATTACAACAAACAAATCCCTAATTATATTAGGTATTTAAAATCCTTAAGTTTTAATAGTAAATTTAACAGAATCCTGAGGCTTTAGTTTAGTTAATTTTGGGCGGTCATCAGGGGGGAGAAGATGAAATAGAGACCGAGATCACTTAAGAGGAGGAATAGCAACTCAATTAGTTAATCATGATGGGGTTTACTAAGGAGGATGCTCTCGAAGGATTTTTGGCTTGTGATAAAAATGTGGAGACGGCAGCTTCGTATTTATTTGAGAAACAAGCAAGGGGGGACTTATTGAGTATCAAATCGCATTTATATGTAGGTCAACACTATGAGAGAGAGGAGAACAATCCTGACAATTATCATGATGAAGGGAACGAAGAAGAAGATGATAATGATGATGATTAATATTTATGAATTCATATTATTAAATCATTTAGACCACCATACTTCTTCGGGATTACTGAAATATCAATGTCTCTTGATAGGACCTGCAGTATTTCTTTTGGGTCTTTCCCAGCGAAGGCCATTTTCTCTATAGTCCTCTTTGGTAGAAATTTCTTAACTATGTTATAAATCGACTTGGCAAGCCAGTCAGTATTTATTACAATATTCCTTATCTGTCGTTCTGGATACTTCATAAAAACGTATGTCATCAGAGCTTTTATCAGATCCAAGCTAACATTTTTTCTACTCAAGTTAAAGCAATCAATTATTAAGATTTAACAATCAATATGTCCTCTCATACTGTTATACATTATTACACATGATTTATTACTTACTAATGTTATGTTCCATCAAACAACAGAAATATTCAATAAAAGTTTCAATCGTTGGATTAGGTTCCTTATATTCATCAGGCAATATATTTTCAGCTCTTATGTAAAATATTGGATGTCCCACCTATTCGCATAACAATCAAATATTACATTGCCTTCCCCTAGCATGATCAAGATATTCTATTTTCTAAAGTAGTCATACTTCTCCTTACGATGGTCATAAGAGTTAATGTTGTTTTATTTTCTCCATTCTAGAATATCTGTAAGCATTTTTTCAGACGCGCTTAAATCAAATTGTCTCGCTTAGAGGTGTCGAATCAATGTATTATCATTCAATGCCAAATTTTTCATTTTGACTCTGAATTGATTCAAGATCTCCTTTTCTCTATCCTAAATCATTATATAACTGGTTCAATACGTTCAATTAAGTAAATCTTAAATGTTTCTCTTCATTTTACAAGGCAGGATGGTTTCTGTTAGGGTTGACATCCTAAAATCCCAGACGATCATTAGGTAGAAAATATATTTCTAAACCACCAACGCTATTTTGCTGTTGCTTATTATTCTGTGTCTCTTAAACGACTTCAGATTTCTCTTGAATTTTATCAATTATCTAATTAATGCAATCAAATATCTACGTGATCATATTCATAATTTATTATTTAGTGATTGATTATATACTCTTTGGCAAATTTATGCATCAATTTATCATTAGACTTCTTAAGTACAATAATAATCTGACATTATGTCTAATTTGAATGTCGATCATTTTCAAATAATTAGAAATTAATCTACTTTATTTATGAATATCTTACTGTTAACAATTGAGAATTTAATACATTTCTTTAGATGATAAAATAACTTGATTTTATTTATTATTTTCTTAAGTAAGTGAAATGAATATGAGTTTGATGTCTATGCTTTTTTTATTTCCCGCAACTCAGAGAGTATTATTGAGAATATTGATTTGAATTTATGGTTTAATGGTTCTTTAAGCCTGGCTAAAAATATATCAAATTGTTTTCATTCATAAATATTTTCTTAACCATTTTAATAGGTTTCCCTATGGTCCATTCACCTTTCAAAAAGTGAAATTTGCTATCGTCTGAATAATACAATCGAAGTTTATCATAGATCTTGTGCAGTTTCCAATTTTAATTTTATTATAAAAGTTCAATTTCATCATTAGTCTCATCCTCAATTGTTGTATGCAATGTATGATGGCTAATCAAAGCTGGTTATGCTTCCAATAACTTCTTTGGTAGGAAATATAATTACTATTGATAGTTTAAGTTGAGCAACCCACTCTTCAGCATCCTTCAATGAAATAGCTCTGTATACTGTTGAGTATTCCTTGTGGATCAAGGTGAAATAAAATAGATCATCTACTTTCTCTGGGCCCTCCACTTTGACTTATTCCAAAGTAATAACTTCATTTGGAGAATGTGACTGAAACTTGTATTAAATTTTACCTAATCATTTTCAAATTTAAAGAAGTGCTTATGATCCAAATAGTAATAATTAGAAATCCAAAACAATTATTTTGTTTAAAGATAACCATGTTTATATGAGTATTGATTCATTAATTTTATTATTACAATTCTGATATATAAAAAAAACCATTCTCTTATATAAATTAATCAAGAATAATCCTTAATTCTTAAATATTTAATCATCCTGGAAGCTTGATAGAATATGTGAGAAATATCTAAGGAGACTGCTTCTACCACAACAATACTGAGTAAAATGATTCGTATGAACCCTATTGATTGTTTATTTTCGATTGAAAGAATCATTTTAATAAAGGTGTTATGTTGAGATTTAATAGATGATAATGCTTAAAGTATATCGTAAGGCACACTTCTAGTAAGTGATCACGATACCAATCAATAGATTAAATATCAATTACAAAATGCAATCTTTTAATAAATGAATAAAAAATGTAACTGAGATCATTTCAAAATGATTTCAGCATTATCATTAGCACCTTTTAAAAGCATTTAATCTTAAAAGTCAAGGACATTCAACTTTTTGGCTGCTTTCAATGTATCAACAAGAGCAGTTCGAATATTGACATAGAATACTTCAAAATATTGCTATATTCTCTCGTCTTTGTATAATACTCCAAATTTAACAACGTATTTTCCTTCGGCATTCTTTGTACCCAATCGTTAAATATCCCTCCTTAAGTTATCGATTTCATCCTAATTTATGACTTACATTAAATTTATTTTAATAATAAATCTTGTTTCAAAAGAATATTTCATTTAAAATACATAAAATATTAACAATACATTTTAAATAATTGTTTTCCTATAAAGCAATTTAAATAAATATAAAAAATTGATCCTTTTCAATTCGAAAACTAAATAATGTTAGTTAAATGCAATGGATTAGATTTAAGTTGTAGTAAATTTTGTTTGAGTTTTCTGAATTCTAAATTTATAAGAACTAAATTAATGTCACAAAAATAACCGATTTCAAACATAAATTTTCCCAATTCTTCAAGACAGTGTACTTTAAAATTATAATTTTGTGTTGCAATTCATAATTAGAATAAAGTCATAATGCGCGTTCCCACTATTAAATTTGTGAATATTTAGTTATTATCTTTTTTTGACTTATATTTCAATCTTTAAACTCAAAACATGGGCAAATCAATTCGAAATATCAAAATTGTTTCTTTTTCTCTGCTGTTAATTCTCCATATAGAATTAACACTGTTTTTAAATATCATGAGACAGTCTATTTCCCTTTTGATTGTTCTTGATTCTCTTATAATTTATTTACTTCGGATCCAATAATATTATTATATAATTAATTCAATATAATCAATTTAATTTATTTCTAGTTAAAGTTTGCATCATTTACTTTTACGACTAAGACATCATCCCTTTGGTTAACTACGATATCAGTTGCTTATTATATGCGCATAATATACTTGCTGTTCTTAATTTATTCTTTTATTTTCGATGCATTCAGCTAGCATTGCTTTGATGCACCTCCAGATTTATTTAAGATTAGGCATTTGATCTGCTGAAAAATAGTCAGGAGGGGAGCATGACACTACTAGGTCTTTTAAGCAAGAAATAAATTTATTTTGTTCCTTTAGTTTGAGTTTCTATTCGTTTATTTTGATTAAGCAAAGTGAATGCAATTTGGGTTCAAATATGTTTTCCTTGTTTATCAAGCCGATCTCATTAAAGACTTATGACACAAATGTTTATAGTCTTTGTACGTTTGCATAATTTGCAATCATCTTTTCAAGCACTTCAACTTGATGTTGCAGCTAATGGATTTATTCTTCCTATTTCTTGATTAATTCATTTTAATCATTGTTGAGGGAAACTTCATGCACTGAAGAGTAATTCATGTTCTGAAATTGCAACATATCTATGTCCTCTGATTTAGAACTCTTGTGCTATCGAAATGGATGAAGACGGGGAGATTATAATGTTTTAAAAGAGTCATAGTTATCGTATGTTTTACATCTCATTTTGAATTATTGAATTTAAAACTATTTGTTATTTTTATTATTATTTTAACAATTTAAATTATCATAAAAAACAACAATAAAAGAATATTTTTGATATATGTGACCCAGTGTTCATAATCTAATTTTGCATCTTAATTTGTATTAATTTAATTTTTAATTAAATTATAATGTCACGGCTAATTGTGAAGAATATCCCAAATTTGATCACCGAAGCTCAATTAAAGACCATATTTGAAAAAAAGGGTGAAGTCTCTGATGTTAAAGTTATCTTTAAAGGCAATAAGAATAGAAGGTTCTGTTTCATAGGCTACAAGAATGAATCAGATGCAATCAAAGCAAAAGAACACTTTGATAAAACATTCGTCATGATGTCCAAAATATCAGTTGATTTTGCTAAAACAGTCGATGATCCAGCCCTCCCAAGAGCCTGGTCAAGACATACTCCAGGATCATCAGCATTTCAAAAAATAAATAAAAGTCAAGAACCACCAGTCACCAAAAAAGTAAAATAAAATAAAGAAGACCAATAAGAGTAAGAAGAACCTAAGAATGAAGTAAAATCAAAGAAATTTTAAGAGTTCTTAGAATTAATGAAAACCAATAAGAAAACTAATTAAGAAATATCGTGGAATGATAATGTGAACAATTAAGTTGATGAAATCTTTGAAAAGATCGAAAAGGAAAAGCCTAAAGTTGTTCAATAACCCCAGAAAAGCACCCCAGCAAATGTAAATGAAAGAAGACTATATGTCACTAATATCCCATACACAAGTACAGAATAAGAATTAAAGACTGTATTTGAAAAGTATGGAACTGTTTCTAGTATAAAGATACCAAAATAAAGAGGAGGGTCACTTTCTGGATTTTGCTTTGTAGAATATCAATTACCAGAAGAAGCTATTAGGGCATTTAGTGAATTAGATAATAAGATTGTATTGGGAAGGATATTTCATGTTAGACCTGCATTTAAGGATGACAAGGAGGAACAATTAAAATAAGAATAATAAATGAAGTAAGAGAAGATGATCGGAGAAGAGAAATCATCATATAAAAAGTTTAAGAAATAATAAATGCTTGAGAGACTCAATGATACTACATCATGGAATACATTGTTCTTAAATCCTAATACTATAATTGAGGGCATTTGTAAGAAGTACTCTTTGGATAAAAAGGAAATCTTATCAGAAGAAAATGATGACATGGCTGTTAAAATGGCTCAAATGGAAACCTAAGTTATCAAAGAAACTAAAGATTGGCTTAAGAGCATTGGTTTGAATATTGATTTTTTGAAAGTTGAAAAGAATCAATGTGAAAGATCAAACATTACTATATTTGTTAAGAATATTCAATTTAGAGTTAATGAAACAGATTTAAATGAACTATTTTCAAGATATGGCTAAGTGAATAAAGTTTACCTTGCTCCAAATAGATCAATTGGTATTATTACTATGTAAGATGACAAGTAGGCTAACAATGCTTTCTCCAATTTATAGAATTATAAATTTAAGGGATCCATCTTGTATTTAGAATGGGCTCCAACCACTTTGATGGGAGAAAGTAATAAAACTAATGAAGTCAACCAATAAGTTGAGGAATAAGAGAATGAATTAACTCGTATTCTTTATGTCAAGAATCTTAATTTTAGTACCACTGAAAAAAATCTACTTAAATTCATGTCCTCTAAGGTCAATGACATCAAGAAAGTGACAATTATTAATAAGGAAGGAGTGTCTTAGGGTTACGGATTTATTGAATTTGATAAACCAGAGTCTGCCCAAAAAGTATTGCGTTTAAATAATTTGATTTTGGATGATCATTTATTGTAACTAAGTTAAAGTAAACCAAAACCCAAACAAGGTATTAATTAGTTATATTCTAATAGATTTAAATAAAAGAAAATAAAAATAAGAAATCGAACCTACAAACAAACTTTTAATCAAAAACTTACCTTTTGAAGCCAACGCTTAGGAATTGAGAAGATTGGTTAAATAGTATGGAGAACTGAAAAAATTAAGGCTTCCTAAAAAACTTGATGGGAGCATCAGAGGTTTTGCATTTGCTGAATTTCTCAATAACGAAGAAGCATAAAATGCAGCTGAGTCATTATAGAGTACTCACTTCTATGGAAGAAGATTAGTTATTGAATATTCAAAAGAAGAGTGACGTTATTTTCTTGTATATTATATGTATAATAAAAGAAAAAATGTTTTTTTAAATTAAGGAATCAAATTTGTATATTCATCATTAAATGTGTTCTGATTTCATCTTCTCAGTAATGACCTAAATCCACCCTTTTCCTTTAATCTGAAATCCAAAGTTGTATTTTTCAGTTTCAATTTGTATGTAGTTATCATAATAAAGATGATAGTAGGTTTGGAACTCTGTTTTAATAGGCAGAATATAAAATCCCTCTGTATCATGGTATAATGTTGCATGTATAGAGGGAACGGTATCCGCTAATGATTAACTTGAATTTTTCAAATAAAACTCAAATGTGGACCCTTTTGATGGCATTGGCATTGGCTATTGCTCATTCTTATCTTTATTCACAGTTTACTGTTTCTCCATCTTTGTATCGATTTCTTAGTACCAAAATTTAATGTAACCATAATTGGCTATTTAAACATTCTGATTTAATGGTTCACCATTACTTACAGTCACACCTTAAAAATGTTACTTGATCTCTACATTCAAATTTGTCTCCAAAACCTTTAGGGTTTGATTTGGGAAGAACTTCAAGCTCATCCCTTTACATAGGTATATTCTGTTCTATTCTGGATTCGTAGTGATGATATATGGACCGTTTTCCAATAAAAGTGCAAGTAATTAAGTTTGTCTAGAATAACTTACTTTAAAGACAAATTGGTTATTTATTTTTTTATCAAATTATTCCAAGTATTGAATCTAAGTTTCATTTAATGGTTATTGTGCTTTATCAATTATCTTTTTTATTAGGTCTCTTTTATATATGTCTAGTTCATAAACATCTGTGTAAAGATCTTTTTTCAACATTAAATTCATTTTAGATTTTATTGGCAGAAACTTTGGATGATTAACAATGAAATTGGTTTCAATATTAATGAAATCAATATCTATATACTGTTTTTGTCTAACAAAAGCACTTGAAGTTATTAGAGCACAATCTTAAAAGTATGATTAGGTTTCATTAAAAAATTCTAATATTTTTGAGCAAATTTCTTATTGCTTCTCTATAATTTCATTATTATTAGAAAAAAAATTCATAAATCCTCTCTTTTTTTTATTCAATTCTATCAATTATATCAAATCATTATCTATTAATTTTAATTTATCTTCTAATTCTATTTCTTTTCTTTTAAATTAAACATCTTAAAATTCAATTGAGGAAGCACAAATGTCTTGTACCATTTTAATTAGCTCAGTAATTTTTTAGGGAGTCATCTTCGAATTTTCAAGTTTGTCTATAAGATTGGCTTAGAGTGTCTTGATACTTTCTTTCATTTGTTTTACTTCTTTTTTTTCTTTTTCTTCAATCATTTTTATAGAATTTGATAATTTATTAATATTTAATTGGAAATCTTAATTTTCATAAAGACATGTGACAGAATTTGACTCCTCATTGAGTCGCAATGTTTAATATGAGTTCTAATATATGGAAATATAAATATTTTGTAATTCTATTTATTAAATCAATTGATGAATCCCAAAGCAAATACCCAGAACATCGCAATGATTGATGAATAAGCATTGAATTGGCAAACAGGACTATCATCAGTGCAATTAATTTAGGCTAGTTGATAAGAACAGGCAGCCAAGGTCCAACTAGGACTAATTCCATTGATATTTGAAGGAGCTTGCACAATCGAAGTACTTGGAATATTATATCCATTATATATGAGCATATAGACATAGGTTCCCATGAAATACAAATTACTTAGATAAGGGTTATTTGGATAAGCTTATACAGCCTGTTCCCAATTTAGATTAGTGAAAGCCTACAATTAAGTAAGATAGCCCTGCTTATTAAAGTTAGTCAGATTAAAGAACTTGGCCATGGTAACGATGCCGTTAGTTCCATAGATAGTTTGATTAGTGACAGGAGGCTCATAGCTTTAATTAATGCTCGTAGTATCAGCAGTGTTTAAGAAAGTTAATATAATTTATTAGCAAGTGGCTAGATTTCCCACTCCTTAAATTTTGTACAGTTTCTAATCAATAGTGACATCTCCGCTATAATCTTTTTAAAAGCAAGGAGAATAGATGGTATCATCACCTTATTGAATGGATGATTTTAAGATGCTTAATCTAGCTTAGTCATTTCCATAGCCCAAATAGGACACGGAGTACAATGAGAAGTTGCTCACATTTGGTCGAACATTCAAGAAAACAAAGTCTGGACCAGTATTGTTGTAAGGGAAAGCATTTTGAGTTGAAGCACCACCAAGATCAAGAGTCAATAAGGATTTGACTTATTAATTGAGTAAATAGAAGACTGACATCCACATATACATACCCTTAGACTAAGAATTAAACTAATACTTCTTCTTATCCAGTAAGAACTCGTACCCATTCAGGACTATAATAGAATTTAGTATTGTTAAAGACCTATTGGACAGTTTGGATGATTTCATTTTATTGAACTTGAGACAATTACCTTAATCCAGCTGTGGCTCCGAGCATGATGGGAGTGTATTGATACATGTTTTCTGGGACAACATTGTAAGTGAAATTAATTAGAGGGTCTAAGTAGGCTTGGATTTTGTCTAGATTGTTGGCGAAACTAGCAAGTCCGGGTTCTTATTTCTTATCGTTTGACTTTGGTGATTGAATAAATAAATTACAGTTTCACTGAGGTTGATCATGGGTAATGTCCATCCTTCTCTGCAGCTCCACTAATAGACATAAACTCTTGTTCCTGAAGATCCTGCATCAAATATGGCACCATAACATTGCGGTGTACTTTGGAGATTGTCATCTGTAGCCAAAAATCTGTATGAATAAACAGCACTAATCAGAGTTGCCACTAATAACATGGAATCAAATAATGAATAAATATATTATGCAATGACTTAATTATGAATTTATATTATTATTGTGATCATGAACTTCTAGATTGTTCATCTCTGTTGCAAATAAGATAAATCATCGTCAAAATCCAAACCAATATTATGAAGTAGGTTACAACCAAATAGCTTAGGATGAACATTCTCAAATGGGTGCATTCTTCATGTTGCAAATAGGCATACTAGGAGTAACATAATGAGAAATACTGTGAGCCCAATCAAAATCAAAATGTTGAAGAATAACTCCACATAGTCGACTGCGTCAAACAGTTTATCTTTCCAAACTCCGTTGGTTTTGTGTTGAATTGGCAACTCAATTATTCTTTATAGAAAATAAAGTTCTTACAATTTGTATCCAGCCATCAAAAACAAAAAGATCTCAGCATACAATGACCACGCATTGATACTATCGCAAGACTAATCATCTCTTCTTTAAATAAATCAGTAATTACTATAATGTCTAAACAGGAAAAAGAGCAATCCCCAACAAAAATTGTATATAATGGCAAAGACCGTTGATGAGAGAGCTCTCCCATTTAGTTCTGAGTTTCTCTTAGAAGTGGGTATGTCAAATATTTCAGCATCCTCCTGATGTTAATTCATAAATAAAACGAATATATATTATTTATAATTCAATCAAATAAGGAATCTACAGTTTCAACCATCCAAATTGTATTCTGTTCTTTTCCTCCTACCAACACAACTTCCCCCTGGAAAGTGGTTTTACTGGAAGGCCTACTCAAGGCAGCCAAATACTAGGAGGTTTTGACATGTTTGAGTCTAAAGGGATACTCAAGAATCAGAGTATTCAATTCAGGGATGCCCATGTCGACTCCTGAAAATGGATTGTCATTTTAATACCTTCGATTTGGAATTCAGCCTCTTCTTAGACTCCACAATTGACTTCAAGATAATCTTTCTTTTTATTTCTAGCCCCATTGATATGCATCAATCTCTTTCCTGTTCCAGTGTGAGTCAAAAACAAAAGAGATTTATCCTGAATTTGACTGGTGATGTCTGAATTTCCATTGGCCAATTCAACCACCCACCAATCGTTTTGATCTCTCCTAATTGAGTACCTCCAAGTTATTTCTTGTTGTTTATTTCCATGAGTGTATGTACTAGTATGAGAATGTAAAGATCCTCCAGTGAAACAATTTCTAATAACCAACTTATCCATATTGTGAATGTATTTATAACACCTTGGTCTAACTGGTTTATCGACGTCTTGTTGTTCCTTTATGAAAATGGACTATCGAACATTCCTGGATACCTATGTAAAATCATTTGATTAAATACAGGTATGATTGACCAATAGTCATTTTAGTCTACGCCAGTGTAGCCAGTGACTTCATTGACATCTTTAGGATTCTTGTATTGTCTACCATGAGAATGCAAGGCGTGATTCTCATCGAGGACATTGATAAACCTAGCTCTATTCAGATTTATTTCATCAAATTTATCGAATATCAATAGAAATTACTATTCCCCTGTCCCCTCATACTGATTGGCCACTATCATCTCTCCTTACTTCGTAACTGGCGATTTGTTTCCTATATTACTAAAGTTTGATATCTCAGATACCAAGTGATTACATTCCCGGTTTTGCCATTCCTGATAACTACCATATCACTAGGCCATATTTCCACCTTTGTATAATTGGGCTTTTTGAGACCTTGAACAGGAGGACTGTACTTTTCTATAATCCATACAGAATTTTGATCTTGTTCCTTCTTGGTGCCCAATATGTAGCTAATGATTCCTCAATAAATCATACCCATTTTAGTAGGAAACTCCAGTGTCTGTTAGATAGCCATTGGTTTCATTATGTCTCAAGTAAACGATGTCTTTGTGAATCAGGGGTTCTTATTCCATCAAATTATAATTAAATATATTATTATCAAGCATATATCGAATCAACATATTCAATGAACCAGACTGCATTCCAATCACACTTCGAAGCCAAAACCATCTCTCCTTAGAATGTACTTTGACTGGATGGTCTCTCCAAAGCTGCCAAATATTGTTACGTAGGAATATGCACTATTCTAAATGGTTTTTCCGTAGTTAAATTATTAGATTTCTCATCAAGGTCGATCACTACTCAAATCAACACTTACATTCTATTTTGAATTCCTCACTTGACTTTTTACTACAACACACTTGAAGATAATCTCCATTCTTCACTTTGCATCCTTAGGAGTGAGTCAACAGTTGTTTAGTCTGAACATGCAGAAATGAAACCAATGAATTATTCTCTATTAATTGCGATGACTCACCAGATGAATTCTTTATTTTATAAATGACCCACCAATCATTCAAATCTCTTGGCTAGATTTTCCAAGTCACCTCCTACTATTTGGTTCCATATTTGTAACAAGCAGAGTGAGAGTGGAGAGCACCTCCAGTGAATCCACTCCTAATAATCACAGAATCTGAAGAACGGATGGTCTAACACTTTCTAGGCAGAGGTTCTGACACTTCTTATTAATGGATCCCTTCTCTCATCTCCTTTGAAATCACCTCTATATTCCATGCATCATTATTGTCTCTACTCTTGTACCCTGTCACTTCATTATTATTGTTGGCCTCCTTCAATTTCGATGTGTGAGTATGCAAAGCCAATCCAGTCTCAGTATTCACCAACCTCATGTATGGGGACTCGTTAGAAATGTTCTAAAGTATGAAAACTTATTCTCCACCATTGTATTTAACGTCATTCTGCTTGGCTAGAACCATCAAACCTTGCTTCGTAATAGGAGATTGTTAATCAGGTATGCTACAGTCATGTAAACTCAATACCTCGTCACATAGTAATTTGAACAAAAACTCTTTATTCGTATTAAATCTCCTTGAATTATTGGAGTATTGTAATAGTTTGGAGTCTTAAACATTGAAAAAGGGGGACAGTATTTCTCCAAAATAAATATGGTGTTGGGTGATAAATCCGGTTAAGCACTTAAGATCAGTCTGCAATCTAATTCCAAATAACATACCCCTATTTGTTTTCTGTATTGCTGTCTGTCAGATATACCTTTTATTGCGGATGGAACAGAGTCACAAGTTCTTGATGTAAAAAAATTCTTTGCTTTTCTGCTTACTACATTTATTATTAATGATTATTAGGATATTCAAAAAAAATACATTATTCTATGGAATTCTATCTTTTTATAGAAATAATAGAGTATTGTTATTTAAATTATTTTCAACTTTATTTATTGAAGTTTTTATCATCAATACATATATTATGAAATGTCAAAACCTCATCTAGTGCTACTTGTCATTTATCTCACCAATGTGGAAGCCTCATAATGATTGGGATCCATTTGTATCACCTTTTCAAAATCCTTCAAAGCCATCTAAGGATTTTACAGATACAATAGGCACTTGCCCCTCTTGAATAGAATGTCAACTGAATTCGCCAATTTGATGGCTTTGTCAAACGATTCAAACGCTAATTAATATTGTTTTTTATTGAAGAACTCAACGCCAAATGAATGATGAATGATTGCAAGTCTTTGTGCAACAGTCTCATTCTTCTCAATCTCATAAGCCTTGTTGTAATCGCAAATGCTTTCCTTGAGTCTTCCCAAGTACTTAAATGCATCACCCCTGTTAACCAATATTCCCCAATCCTGTGGTTTGAATGTTAATCTTTAAATTATATGTTATTAAATACGCTTCATTCAATAATGTCAATGCATCCTCATAATTGCCCTTCTCAAACATCACCTAAGCCATCTCATTGTAAGTGATAGCCAATTACTTTTTGATATCCTCATTTGTTGGCTGCTAATCAAATGCTTTCTTTAGTAAATTTAAGGACACATCATATTTGATGTTAATTCTACACAGGTATGCATTCAATAACAGCAAATCGACATTATTTGGATCCAACTCAAGTCCCTTGTCCACATTTAATTTGCATCTCTCATTGTCTCTTTGTACTAAGTATAACTTGGCGTCATTGGTCAACTTCTGGATCTTGGGTGTTATATAGAGGATGAATTCCTTTATCTCTTGCAATTCTGGATTCATGGCTTTCGAGTTTAAAATCAAATTTTACAATAAACTTTCCAATAATCAGAGTTCCCTTGTGCTATTTTGGCTTGAGCCCAATACAGTTTACCTCTTAGCAATAGGGCGTTGATGTTGAGGGGATCGTTGGCAATCACCTTTTGTACTTCTTGGAGAGTATAATTGAGGTAATTGGTCAGGAGATAACTGTAGGCTTTTTGAAGAGAAGGAACAGTGAAATCAATTAGGTATCCGAATTGTTCAAATTCAGTTCCTTCTAAGAAATTAGTTACATCTCCTTGTTCCAAGAGGGATTATCCTTTTAATAAAATCAAGGACTGCAATTCATCTTCCACCAAAATATCTTGCTTGACTGAGTAGGAGTATTGCAAGCAAGCGATGGCAGGACTGTAATCACCAATTTTCACATATAATTGAGCCAGGTCTTAATAACTTTAGAGATGATCTAACTACCAATCATAAATACTTTTGTTCAGAAATAATATTTTATAGTACTCCTTGATTGCCTCGTGGACATCTGTTTTGACCAGTTGTTTAGCGTTTTGTAAATGTTTATCTATCTAATTAATATTTATTTATATATTACTTTTTCCTATAAAATTTTTTTCATTTATTTTAATAATTATTTAACTCCACATGGACACACATAAATATGTCAAGGCAGGTTGATAATTTCATTCTATTTTAGGTGAGGTTTTTGTGAAGCATCACAAATTCGGCGTCGAGAAAATCCGATTGGTTTATATCATAGATGACATTCTCTATTGGACCAAGCCTGAGGACTTTAATAAACAGAAGCCAAAAGGAAAGATCAAATTAGAAGTTTGAGTTAGTAAATTAATTTAAGGATATATTGTAAATAGAAAATGGATTGAAAAAAGCAAAGAAAATTAAAGATTTAGAGAGAGCATCAAATTGTTTTTCAATTATAACTAAAGAGAGAACTCTTGAACTCGAAGCATCGAACATTTAAATCAAGAATTTGTGGACCAACATCATAAATAATATTTTAAAAAAATATTCGACTCCTCAACAGTGAAAAACAAATTTATTTCATTTATTTTATTTAATGTGTTAACATCTCTAGGGATTTGGCCAGAAGTGAGGAAAAACAATTGATATCCTTCAACAAAAACCCACAATTCTTATTATTGGAAACTTACATTAATGATTAAGGGGAATTCTTGATTGACCCATCATTTTTTCCTGCCTTTTTGTTAAAGTTAGTAAGTTGATAGCATATTTTTAAATTGAATTATTAATTTATATTCGATGCAATAAACTATTTCCAATAAAATACAGGGAAGAACATCAAGAAAGGATTTGGGAATCAATAAATAAATTGATGTCGTACTGCAAAGTCCATTGCTCAAGAATTCCATAAAATTGAATCTAGAAAATATTCAAAGGTCGACATCCGAATAGTTTGTTACACCTTTGAATAATAAACAATCATATAAATTGACCTAAAATCTCTCACATTTGAGCAAGGAGGGATTATCCTTTGGGTTAACAGAGAGAGAAATGAATTTATGCGCAAACGAGATGTAAATAATGCAGTCTCATTCTAAAAACCTATTGGGTGCTACACTGTCAGTTCGAACATCCCAATCAAACTAACTCTAGTCGCTTAAATTTATTGAGTTGAGTAATATTGAATATGACAGTCCCAAATTAAGGAAAGATTTTAAATTCAAAGACAAAGAGAATTAAACTAATTAGGAAATTCAGTAGAAAGTCGAAGAAATGAAAGTTAACTATATTAAATCAAGTGTGACACTCAATCAATAACTTAATGATAATACTAGATTGTTGTAAAAAATTGATGAGTTAAAGAGATTCCAATAAAATTTGTCTCTTAATTATTAATTTAAAAATAAAGAATTGAGTAACAGAAGGAATAAGAAAGTTACGATGAATTTGAAAATAAACAATACTAATAAATAATTGACAGGCTTAAAATAATAGAGTCTTGTTGATTTAATAGCCAAATAGTAGCTCATGATTCAAGATTTAGAAAGGAAACTCTAAATTGAGAAAACTGAGAAGGAGTGCTTAAAAGTGTTCTGCTAATCACCTAAATCACAATAACAACAGGAATTAGATCTAAAATAAGTGGATATTCAGAAAAGCAAGACTAAATTTCATTTTAATACTTGAATTATCTTCGTTTGATTTCAATTTAATTTATATATATATATATAATGTTAGGATTCAACTCGATAAAATGAGTCAGAATAGGGAGTGTGGATTATTATTTAATTTGAGAAATAAAATGATAAATTTCAATAAATAAAATATATTTATGAAGTTTCATTTAATTTCACCAACAACTACATCTTTTACACCCATATGGACATCGTAATAACAGAAGCGTCCGTAGATTAAGTTGAGTGAGTTGGCAAAGTTTACTCAATTGCAATTACCAAAATAGGAAGATAGTCAAAAAGCCCTAGAATATAAATAGAGATAACAATAATTGTTAAGATAATCGAAGAATAAGCCACTGTTAAAAGTGTTGACGAAATCCTAATTGCTTTAAGGTTACTTGTCTATGAGACCGTAATAATAATAGAAGAAATAAATTAAATCTAGATCATCATCCTTAATTAGTAAATTAAATTCTTCAAGTCCTGTTGTTTCTATTAATGAATCTCCAAAAATTGTCAAAGAGTAAAGCTAAATTATGAATTAACCAATGTAATAAATTCAACTTATTGAAGAGCAACAATTAAGTCCAAAAGTCTTAAAACCATTAAAATAAGAGGCCTTTGCTAAGGCTTTGGATTTCATTAGACCAGAAACCCCTCTAAACTTTCGATGCTTGGTTCAGGATGTCTCATACAAAAAACATAAAATAAATACTAAAGCAATAATAAGAGATATAATAAACAAATTATCAATATTAAAAAAACTGGATATCAAATACATCGATAGAAGAATATGGTCAAATCAGCCATTTTAAAAGAGAAATCAATATAGTTTCATCAAAGCTTGTAAGGCAGGTGATTTAAATTTAGCGAAGGAATTGCTTGAATAAGATAGGTTTTTGAATTTTGGTTTTGATTATGTAAATTAAAGTAACATTCTATTAGATTCATTAAACAGGATTGCATTGGGCAGTCAAACGATCTCATTTATAGTTGGTTAAATATCTGTTAAAAATAGGATGTGATGTTGATGCATAAGATCTAATAGGTAGACCTGCTCTGTATTTTGCAATAGAATAAAAAGAGACGAATATCGTTAAAGTAAACTTATACGAGATCCTTAATTTAGTTACTATTGGAGAACAATGCAATTCCTTGGAGTACTTAAAAAATCACTTACTCGAAACTTTGCAATGACGATCTCTAAATAATGTTACTTTTAAATAAGGCTCGCAAGGTGCATGTTATTTATCGGATGGTGGATCCAAAGAAAAGAATATAAATCAAGTAGAGGGCATTGACTGGATTATTCGATGTTTGACTATATATTTATAAATTAAATATGTATAATTAATTTATTGATGAGGAAGGTCATGAGAGATAAATATAATATTTGGTGGACTTAGGTATTTAGTAATTTAAGAAAAGGATTCCCCGAAAGCAAAGCAAGAAGGGGAGTAGAATAATTTGGTTATACAATAACCCTAGAAGATTTAATTAACAGAATCCTAGACATGAGCGATGACAATTCAAAAAAATCAAATGGAAACAAAGTCAGTCTAATTCATTTTTCCGATTCAAGCAGCGAAAAAAACTCACCTTTCAATTAACCCTTACAACAATCATAATCTTAAAAATAATGCCAGACTAAATAGAATCAATAACCTCAGAAACAGAACAGTTCCCAATTTTAACAACAATAAAAAGTATAGTAGCAATACTAGCCCCAACAATAGTTCTAACAATAGAATCAATATTAACAGTAGGTACAACAATAATCGTAGCCATGTTCATTCCAAAATATATTATAGTTCTAATAACCATGTGAACATGATGAATTTCCAAAATGTTAGGTGTGCTTTACATAACCAATATAATGGCTTCATTTTGAATGCAAACATCAGTTCTGCTAACCATGTGTAATCAAGAATATAAAAGCCTCCAGAATAAGAAAGATTGAATAGGTTACCTGTTTACAAGAGGATTGCCATTAAAAATTAGTCAAAGAAGAGATCCATCTGGTGAGTAATGAGTTACTCCCTTAAATTGATGTATCTTCCTTATCAAAATTAGATTGAACCCTATAATGAACCGATATGCACAAAATGTAAATTGCCATAAGTGGCACACAAATTTAAATTGTTTTCCAATGCCTGTGACAATGCAGAGTTCACAATCCTGAGTGCTTGTGTTAAGCATGACGAAGAAGGCAACCAACTTCAGAGATGTCCTTAATGTGGGATATGGGTGCAAAAATCTAAAGGATGTAACTCTGTCTTATGTTCGTACATTTATTATTTTATAATAAGATTAGCTATTGTAAATATAATTGGTGTTGGTTATGCAGAAGATAATGTGATAGCAATCACTACGTGTTTTTCAATCCTACTGGTTGTCCAGGTTTGGGGGCTGAAGAATTTACAATTGAATAATATCCCTGTCACAAAATATGCTGGATTAGAGTAAAGGTGATTCTCATATATTTCCTTTTGATTTTGCTCTGTATAATAGTCTATCCTTTTTTCGTTGCGTAAGTAGTTATAAGAAGAATGAAAATTGACACCCAAGGAAACATATGTTACCGCGTTTCCGTCTATATAGGCATAGCAATTTTATTTTTAGTGCTCTCGTGTCTGGCTATCTTTCCAGGTATCATCATTTTCATAGTTTCATAACAAGCAAGATTATCAGTGTTTGCTAGATGACTAATATTTTAATTTTTTATAATTTAATTAACGAATAAAAATGGGGCAGTAACAATCTACAGGATATGACTTATCATAATATTAATATGTTGATGAAGTCGTAGATCCAATTTATGGAGAAGGCAAGCTATTCCAAAAGCATGAGACAGGAGAGATCATTTGTCTTATCGAAAAAATGATCTAAGAGGAAACTAAAACCTAAGAAATGTCACTTAAGTTGGATCATCCAAATCTATTAAAGATTTATCATTAATAAGTAAGTGTGATGAAAGAATTGTGCTCCTCTATTAATAAATTAACTATTGTTTATGAATTTACGAGTCTAAATTTAATTACTAACATCAATCATAGAAGAACCAAGAACATTCCATTTACTTAATAACAATTATGGGGTCTTTTGCATCAATCTTTGAGTGCCCTAAATTACCTTAAATAATTTGACATCTACCCTATGGATTTGAAACAAATGATGATTTCTAGTTAAGGTTCTATTAAATTTCATTCAATTTAATCTAAATAATTGAGTAATTACAAAAAATTGCTTTACAATTTAACAGATGATATCCACATTTCCCCTGAGGAATTAGTCTGTTTAAAGAGAAGAGACACCATACTAAATTTAGATTATGAAAAGTGTGAATTGTTTCAAATAGGCTTAACATGTTTGTATGCTGCTTCCTTAGTCGAAACTAATGATATTTTTGATCTAAAAACATTTTCCTATTCATAGAGTAAGATTCAGTAGAGAATCCAATCACTTAAATACTCAATAGATTTCAAGAGCATATTAAATCAGTTGTTGCATCAAGATCCCTAAAATCGAGGTACATTCTACACTTGGTTAAATTAATTGGCATAAATAGATGCTGAAAATAACATGTTATTATTGTAAACTTAGGATCAATCCAATAATCTTAAGATTAATAAGTAGGTTAATTAATTTTTAGATTATCAAATAGAATATATGCCTCAAAATCTTCCTTAAAGAATTCCTGAACCTGTTCAATCGCAATACTTAATTTCATTATAGTCAAATCTACCAGCTTCAAACCTTCCTCAAAGAACTGTACCACAAAAACCTTTTCACATAGTTACTCCTGATTAATCTAGAATTTCTAAAGATATTAAGAGATCACAATTATCTCTTCAACACCCACATGACAATAATAAAAGTGAATAACAATTGTACCAGGATTCAGGACAAACAGTTTAAACTTAGAATGATGAAAACTTTGACAATGATTAATTCAAATAGCAACAACCATAACAGCAATTAGATTCAAATTATTTTTCTAACTTACCAGCAAATAATAACCTTGTTAAGAATTCACAATACCCTATTCAAATGCCAACTTTTTCCTCTAACATTTAATAGCAACAACCCCAAAATGCTTTTAATGTATTGAAATAGAATAATTAATATTCCTAATAATTATAAGCTCAGAAACAATCGTAGATGTCATAACATAGTAACAAAAGTCAGAGAGAAGAGAGGATTGAGCAGGCAGTTAAATCATCCAAAATGGCACTGCAACAATTTGAATTTGCTCTATAATCGGCATCAAAGGGACAGCCTCCTGGTAATATATGATCAGATTATGTTTATTTATTTTATCACTTATAATTTTATTAATAAAAATTGATGTGGTTGGAAAATAATGAAGCTGACATTCCTTAAGATTATGGCAAACTCAAACAATAAAACATTAAATTGAGAAATGAGTTGAAGCAAATAAACGAGTTTCTATCGAAGTAAATTGAGAAAAAATAGGATCAACAAATTAGTTAAAGACACTAATTGAATACCACCGTAGATTTAAGAGAAGGTTTGTTTCATTTCTAATTTAGACACTCTCAAAGCAGAATTGCTCAATGCTTAAAAATAAATAAAGATTTAATTGAAACAAATTTAAATTCTATAAAATAGACAAGAATTGCTATCATTGGATAAGTAAGCGTAAACAATTAATTATAGCATTGTTCAATTGTAATCGTAAGTTAAGAAATTAATGGACAAAGTAAAAGAACTTGAACAAGAAAATAAGATCTTGATTAGCATAAATGGAAAACAGGAAAAAAAGTTAGTTGAACTATCTCAAGATGATTATGTAAAGAATCGAATTGATTAATTGGAATCGGAAAATTAATTTCTAAAATAGAAAGTAATTGCTCAAAGTAAGGCTGAACGATCGTAATCTGTTTAAATAACAAAAGTTGAACCAATCTTGAAACCTATTTAATTAAGTCAGAAGTAATAAGAGTTAATGAAAGAAAAGGATCTATTTATTGTATTATCTAAATGATATATTCTGTAGTCTTAAATGCAAACAAAATTATAGGAATAGGACAAGCATATCAACATTTTGAAGAATCTAAAGAACTAATACGATAAACAAATTGGTCACATGGCTCATAGAATTAAATAACTTGAAACCCAATTGTTGATATTGGGTCAACAATTATAAGATAAAGTAATTACTGTTACCTATTCCATAGAATTCAGAATTGAACAAAAAGAACCATTTATTGCCAAATCTAAGTGCTAGAAATCAAAGAAATCAATAACAAAGGATCAACTTGAGTGTTGATAATGGTTTAGTTGATTAGCCTAAAACTCAAATTTAAATAAATTAACAATATTCAAAATTGCCCTCTGAAGTTTAATCTAAACGCTAACCAACTTTAGATCTATCATCACAAACATTACGAAGCTAAAATCACATAAATAATGAATAGAATCAAGATATGAAAATACTCAGAATTGAATAAGTAGGGTAAAAGAATTAATAGGAATTTCATTCTGATATCCCATAATATTTTAGATTACATAATCTTAAATTATGGTGGAAGGAGGATTATTTATAAGGTTTGCAGGCTTATTATCATAATGCTAATTAGATCGTAAATGGTTAAATATTCTGTTTGAGCAATTTAGAAGAATTAAATCAATAATCTTTTGAATTACATTAATCAGACTGGATTCATTAAATTGGATTTGGTTTTGAAAACGATAAAATAAGTATGAAATATATATATCATTCTCAAATAGAATTTGTTAAGATAATCTCAAATTAAAATTGTGTATTGAAATTTGGTTCCGAAATGGAGAAAATTCAAGAAATTTGTTCAGGGAAAAATGAAATAATGGGAACTATTGAAGTCTCATTTAATTAATGTACAATTATATTTAACCATATTATAGTATTTATAGCAAGTATAGGCCTTAAGGTATACGACGAGAAATTATTTGATAAAATATGATTTAATTTACTTTCTATTGCTTATATTAAATTAATCCTCTATTACATTTTATGACTAGATAAAAAGAGTAAAATTATATTGAAAAATATTAAATTCTATTATTTTGGTAATTTCAGATGATAAATCATTTTAGATTTTCTCCAATAAATCCATTGGCTGTGTTAAAAAGGTTGATTGGATTTTTGCCATCAGTAACTAAGAATCCTTTAAGTCCTAAACCTCCTAATAATTTAGCCTTAGTTTCTGGTCCAGCCTTAGCCATAGCTATGATTGTTTCTTTTCCAATAGCTTAAATTTATTGTTTGAATTTCTTGATTTCAATATCTGACAACTCTTTGGCTTTCTTGATTTCTAAATCAATAAGTTGCTAAAATATAGAATGATAAGGATACTTTTTAATAGTTGATTTCGGCCTCTTGTTCTTATCTTTGTTAGTCTAACAGAGCTTCCTATTCAATTTGTAAGGCCTTTGATCTCAATTCAGCTTGATTGACTTCTGCTTCAGCTTTGATCTTTTTTTCCATAGTTTCAGCTATGGCTCTGGCTACAGCCTCTCCCTCTGCTCTAACCTTGGCACTCTAGGCTTGTTGCTTTAATAACTCAATTTTTGTTTCTTCTGCCTTAGCTTAATCAAGAAGCTTTTATCTAGCTAATTGACCTTTAGCTTCTTATTCTAACTTTGAAGCTTAGTGTCTGGATTGCATTTCTTGACTCTTTGAACTGATTTCAATAGCCAAATTGATACTCTGACTTAATTGTCTTCTGGTTGCTTCATCTGTAATCTCCTAGCCTTAAATATCAACAGATGTAATGACTAGATTGTTGGCATCAAAGGTGAATGATGTTCTGATTTCACTTCCTTCTTTTCCAAAGACAGCCTCTCTAATTTTCATGCTGGAATTGTTATGGAAATCTTCAAATGTGATGGAAGAAACAGCTCCTCTGACTCTAGAAGCAATTGATTTGCAAGCATCTCCAACAAAGTCTTTGACTGCAAATAATTTTTATGCATCATTAGGATCATCCTTATTAACTTTAAAGTGCCAATTGTAACTGAGTGTTAATTTTAATTTGGCATGATCACTTGTCTCAACAATCAATTAATCAGTCATAAAGTCTGGGCCTAAACTTAAAGTCAAAGTTTGAATAAGATTTTCTACCTTAGGTTTGCCTCCTGATAATTTAATGACTGTGAATTATTCATCAGGTCCAAGCATCACAAGATCTGGTCCAAAAACGACTCTTGATTTTTTGAGTTTGTAATCATATAATTAAATGGCTGAATTATGAGGTGCTTTGAATGAAATAATTTTAGTTTTGTCCCTAGGCTTAAGTTTTTCTGATTCGAAATTATAGGTCATTTTTCCAGATGCTTATACTGATGGTGGAACGTATGGTTAACCACTTGCTGCTCTTTAGACAAGAATTTCAACATTTTCTGGTAAATGCTTTTCCCATAATGATTCATGGGCTTCCAATAAATAGGTTTTTCCTTTGATTCTATAAATAACTTGATTATTATTACTCTTTGACTTCTCCAGTACGATTATCTCTAACGTAAATACCTTCATTAGCATCCAATGGAATGGCTCTTCGTTTTTCTATCACTAAAATCTTAACTCCTGGAATGTATTCTCTAGGTCCTCTAACTATCCATCTCTATCCAGCCTTTTTGAATTATCCATCCTCTTCCTAATGATCATAGATGGCCTAAACCAAAAGTGCTTCCTCTTCACCTAAAATGACAATCTAAATTTAATTAACTTTTTTATTACATCTTCGATTTTTCCTCCCAATAATTCTTCTCCTGGTTATAAAAAGAAAGTCGTTTCTCCCTTGATTAGTACTTGAATTCCCCAATCGTTTTATTAAAGTTTAGGATTGTAAGGGTTTAGGATAATACAATAATTCCTTGAACCAAGTGTGATAGCCTGTTCAACAGCCACCAATTATTCATAAACATCTGTAATATGAACTTAAGCCTATTTATTAGTGATGATCCATTCAAATCCTGGTTTTCTCTTGATGCCATATACGTCTGTAAATTCATTAAGTGCTCTTAGATGAACACATACTTTATCTGTGAGAACAACTCCTTTTACTACTTCAGAGACTCTCTCAAATGTATCAGGCAAATATGAACCTGTAGTTCTGATGAGCCATTCTTGACTAGATAATATTTAAAAATATATTTTACCCAGCTCTTCTTTCTTTACCTTTTTTATCAATAAAAGTTTGGGTTGCTTTCAATTTCACAGCTTAATTTGGTTTAATGACTTCAGCCTTTACAATCTCAACAATTTATTCTTCTGCTCTAGGATAATAAGTAAAAGGTCCGTTGCGTTACCTAAGTTATGTTTAAATGAAAATATTACCATTCTTCCCCAGCTTACTTTTTCTTTCCTTCAACTTCGAAGTCTCTAATAGCGACTAGTCTCAAGGCTGTATTTTATTAGACGATAAGCAATGTTTCTACTTTGCCTTCCAACTTTTCCCCTAAATTGTTGTTATGTTTAAATTTTACCTGGAAACAAAGGGAAAGGATCTGAATAATCATCAGCAGTTCTGTATTCTATTTCTCCTCTCTGAATTTCCACTTCACCGTAAGCATTTTTCACAGGTAAATTTCTTACATCCCTCAATATTGGATTCTGAATCTTGCAATATGTCTTTGGTGGTAAGCTTATCATTTTGTTTGGACCTTCAATGATGCTTTCATGCTCTTTTCTGATGAATGTAAGGGGGCCAACTTCCAATCTAAAATTTCTTCAGATTCAACATTACCTTGCTGTGTTGGTATTTTGATCTAAAACATGGATGTATTGGTTAGGAGGAATTCTTGTGACATACTCTGCCATTGTATTTGATATTTTAATTAATGAAATAAATTATCATTCTTTTTATGGCTTTGAGTATATGATATATATTAAAGATTTAATTAATTCTTAATTTTTGGATACTAATTATAAAAAATCTATGTTTTTATACTAAATTACTTTAAATAAATATTAATGTTAATTAAAAATAAGTTATATCAATGATTCAAAAAATTTAAGGGAATATATTTTGATTTATTTGAATGCTAAAGGCTACTTATTTCGCATTTGCACTTAATTAAGAAAAGAAAAAACTTTTATCCCCTTTAATTGAATTAATTTTATAACTTCACTTTAATTATTATTAATGAAAAAGGTTGATTATGATCTTTTAGTGACTGACAACGTCAATGTCACTAAATATCGTAAAATAATCAGATGTAATGGCGATGCAACCGTACATAGTTTAAAATAAAACCTATCCCAATCCATCAAATGCAGCTTTGAAATTATATTTAATGATGAAATCTTGATCGAAGGAATGCTCCTTAAAGACATTTTATCTAAACATCTCTAGAATTGTGTCATTCTTAATCCAATCAAGGAGCCTATTCCTGATTAAATTAAGAAACACGATTTTCAAGTCAAATCCGTGGCTCGATACAAGGAGCAAGATGAATTCATAGAGCAATTAATAGATCAATCTTAATTAAAAAAAATTCTGGATAATCCAAATGAGTTTGAAACTAAAGACGATTGCAAACCACAAAAATGTTGTCAATCTTGTCAAGTAAAAAAATAAATTCTTTCTAATTATGAAGTTTCAATGGAAAGTCTTTTAAGCGAAAATGCTGAATTAAAACATTAGATATCGGAATTAGAAAAATAAATAAGAATTAGTATTTATAAGCAAAAGCTATAATAATAATAATAAAAACATAAAAAGTGAATATAAATACACTTAATAATCAATATCTTAAATAATTATATTTCTAGCAATAATACCTTTTAATTTTAAAGAAAGCAATTCATAATAATATATAAGAGCAGAAATGTTTAGAAAATCGATTAAAAATTATAATTTTCAATTAAACAACTCCCTTAATTTAATTACTGAGGCAACTACCTTATCTCTTATAGTTTTTTATGTTAAATGAAATCCAACCTTAATTCCAAAATCTGCATCAATATATCCTTTAATTGTTAGACTAGACTTATTTTTCTAGCTAATTTTTAGACCTCCTAAAGTTAGATTGCCCTCTTAAAATTCATTTTAATACTCTTCCCTAATAATAAGTTGATTCAATTACAATTTATCTTGAAATCTCACTGATTAGAATGCAATATAATGCACTTCATCTATTTTTCGAATGATTTTTAAATAAGTAAAGTATTATTGCTTAATCATCCCTTGTCTATTTAATGTGATTTCACCAATAGATACTTCTTCATTTAGTCTTTCCAAATTGTATGTGTTGATTAATTCAAAATCAAATAACTTTTTTTCATTTGACCAATTTAAGAATGTAGTAATATCAGTATTAAGATCAAAAGAAAATCTAAGATATATGCATAAATACTTGATTATTAAAAACATTTTTTTATTTCTCATTTGATGCGAAGCAAATAGGTCAATGTCAAGTCCGTTTACGAGATACTCACTATCACCATTATTCTCATCTTCAATCTTCTCAATAAATGATTTCATAGTCTCGGAGGCATAAGAATTGAATTCTGATTGATCGATATTATTGATGCTTGGTAACGTTAATAATTATCCTTGTTTAAGAGAGAGGGGATAAGGAGAGTCCAAACTTGGATTGGTTTTACACTCTTAATTAATCATGAATTATTGTGATTCATTTTGATTTTAATTTGAATTCATCTATGAAGACCTAAGAGCAGATAATTATTAATTTGAAATCGTTTCAAGTGTAATGTCATTTTCATTTTTTTCATCTATTTGAGTAATTGTTTTTTCATTTGATTATGTTCTATCTAGGGTAAAGCCTAATTGATGAAAATTGAATTCACTTATTTGTTGAGCATTTATTTTTCCTTGTGTTTCCTCCTCTGGGTTATTCGACAAATTGACCAACTAATGAGTTTATGTCTGCGAGATAGGTTTTGGTTTGAACAAATGAAAACACTCTTTACATTTCATTATTATATTTCCCATTTACAATTTGTGTGTAAAATTTTAGTTTTATATTTCTCTATTAACATTAATAAAATTACTTAAAAAATCATTTCATCTTTCATATTGAATTTAGGCTTAATCAAATGTAAAATTATGAAAGATAACAATAATCAATAAAAATAGTAATTTTCAACGAACGTTTTAGTCTATCATCGCATTAGAAATAAAATATTAATTCCATATCGAAATTTATATAACTAAATATTGAAATAATACAAGTCTCATAATTCAAATGACTATTACTTTCTTGCCTTGAATGGATTTAACCAAGTTCCGTAATCGTTCTGAGTAGTACTTTAATCACCTCCAAATTTTAATACTGTCATCGGACCTATCTAGGGAGATTCGCCGATAGTTTATTAAAATATAATGGCACTCTTTTTCGGCTTTTCACTAAAATATCATATTTTATCTACTAATAATCTTATTCTTTTTTTGCAGGGTCAGTCTTGAACTATATTCCCAAAGATCTGAGATATGCAACCACTCTCCTCTCTACTTCCAATTACTCTCTATTTTCGCAATGGAATTAAGGCAAGAAGCTATCCAATGACTCCACTGACTCGGCTACTCTTTAGTAATCTTCCATTATTTCTATCTTCGATCTTGATAAATCATCTGCAAGCCTTTTACCGTATTGCATGTATAAATATGATAATTATAAATAATTTTTCAAAACTTATCAAATCACCTTAAGTACGCAAATAGTTTGGTTGAAAATCCTTTTTCCTAGATATTAAATATTTGGTATTTCTAATCTTCTTTTTTAGACGTATATTTATTTTATTATTTAATCAATAATATATATTTCCTATATGGACGCCTATCTCACGCTTGAATTAAGAAAAAGATTCAACTCTTCTATGACTTATCAAGAATATCTAGATGCTTATGATAAACCTCCTCCAAAACCTAAGTTAAAGTATGAACCTCAATCATTTTAATTTAAGACCAAAAGAATCACCCGTCGTTGCTGAATTACTTCTATTGGAACCCCCAAAAGGGCCTAAACCTTAATCATAAAAATTAGAGATATATGAACCAGATGAAATTATCCTGGAAGAATCAGAAACAGATGAACGATCACGAGCACAATCCCCAATACAGAAACCTCCTTGTTACAAAGCTCTAAAGGCTAATGTAAATTAGATCATGTTTTAAATTACTAGAATGTCAGAGTAAGAAGCCAGAGTGAAAATTTTGTGTTTTCAGTGTATCGTTTCTTGTAAAACAAGCAACATGTCCCTAAATAATGATAAAACTAAATTCATAAAAACTAACATCTAAGCTATTTATAAGTATGTAAGCTCTTCTTAGTTATTTCCGTTTCCCAAAACCCTCCATCCTCACATCTCAATTCACTTCCTCCTCTCTCTAAACCTATAAATTTAACATTTAAAATAGTAAAGCGTATACAAACAAACTTTAAAATTAACCTTACTCTTACAAAACTAAATAAATCATACAGACTCACATTATAATAATATGATGATGACATTTTTAAAATATTTCAATTCCTTAACTAGATCAAAAATATTTATTTTTTTATCTGATTCATCCTAAATGTATGTCCTTGACGACGGAAATGGGTTCGTACAAGTCTCATTTAATTAAATTTGAGGCTTTTATTTCAAGAAACCAGAGAAATAAAAAAGAAAATTGATTTGCATATATTTTTAATCTTTTGAAGAAGTTCTATTGAATATCTTTGGACAAATCATTCAGAGAAAGATATGAGATTTAAAACATTAATAATTATGAAACTCATTTATATTCTCCAATATGTAAATTCTAAAGAGAAATTGAAAAGAAATTAAAGTTAAACAATTAATTGTTTTAAATTTCTAATTAAATTATCACTTTAATTTAATTGAATACTGACGAGAATATTATTATTATTGCATTTACAATTAAAGAATGGTTAACATAATTTATGTAATATTTTTGATCTTTATCAGAAATAGTTACCAAGGAACTTTTATTCCCTTTTGAAGACCATTTGAGCAAAGAAAACAGCGTCTGTCAAACATTATTCACTTTGAGAGAACACATGTTTCTAACCTTCGAAATTAGGATGATCAAAGATTGTCAAAGTAGTTCCAGATGGTATTTATAAAGATCTGATCTCATATTAGAAATCTCTAAAAAATAATAAAAAACCCAAAAATACTTCATTTAGCTAAGATCTCCGCATGTTTTCATTGATTCACCTTTGAAATAGCACTAGTTGTAAATGATGACACAATCATTACCATCACTATTGATATTATTGAACTTTTTACTTTACTAAAGCATCATTATTGTCTAAATTAATATCATTTGGATCAGAACTATTATTAGACTCTGGTTCTGCTGAGTTATTCTCATCAACCTAGCTATTATTTGATTCTGGTTCGGCTGAATTATTTTCTTCAGTCACTTCTTAAGCCTAATTTTCAATGACGACAACTTATTGTTCATCAACAATTTATGCCTCTGCATTATTTGATTCTTCATCAGGGATCAATTTAATTTCTTAATTGACCAAATTTTAGTTTGATGGTGAATCATAGAATTAAATTGTCTCTTCTTAGGCTGAAAGATCTTAGAGATTGTTCTCTTATTCTGAATTATCAACTTCATTTTGTTGAACATCCTCTTGTTAAGCTTATGGGACATCATCAATATAGTTTTCACTTTCTTGGTTATCTTATTAGACATCTTATTCAGTTGTTGCTTCTGCATTAGAGTCATTCTCAAATGCAACTTCAACATCTTGTGCTTCAGTATCTTGTTATTGTATTTCTTCGTTTTAAACTTCAGATTATTAGACTGAGTCTGTTTCAGGATCAGCATAAACATCTTCATTTTCAGCCTATTGAATTTCAACATCACTTGAATTGTCGACATCTTAATCATAGACATCAGCCTCCTATTGAACTTCAACTTGAGGTTCATCAGTATATTAATCAGTTTCTTATTACTCTTGAACTTCTGCAGGCTCATCAGTTTAGGATTAAAGCTAAACATCATCCTAAGCTTCAACCTAATCATAAGCAATATCTTGTTCATTTTAAGTATCGTCAGTGTACTCATTGTTTTATTCTGATTAATCATAATTGTTGTCTTCTACCTCCTACAATTATTCTGAAAAGTCTTGATCTTATGATTGAAGATCATCATAATTTTCTTACTCTTATTCTTAGACAACCTAAATTATATGTGGTAAGTACTTCAATGTTGTTTTATGGAGTCTCATCATCTGGATTTAACATTTATTGTGATTCATCAGTAGTGTTAATGTCAGTGTTCAATTGGACATCATCTAAATCCTACAATTAAGTAACAGAAGCATTGTCATCCTAAGACACTAAAGTTGTTGCCTCGACTTCAACATCCTCATTGCTTAATTCTTTTGTATTCTCAACTACATTAACAGCATCCTCTCTAACTATATTTATAATAATACTAGTTAGTTTGTAAGAAGGACAAGACAACAGTCATTTGCTATGTTGCCACCAATGCTAACAATAAAATGTAAATTTTCATAATTATATATTATTAGTTTTTATAAAACGGATCCTTAAAATTTGGAGTTCTTAATATATCTAAATTGAGTGCTTAGAATTTAGGAAATCCTTAAAATTAGAAAGAACATTAATATCAAAATAAATGAGAGTCGGTCATCTCAACATGTTATCAAAAAGTAATATTTAGTTTACTAACTATGACACATCAATAATAATTGTATCTCAAATAAGTGAATCTTCATAGGTTTCTAAATTCATCCAATATTCCTTGGGCTTCCAACAATTTGATTTCCTTATCTTCATACCATTTTATTCTGAGTCCTTCCTCCCAATATCCTATTTTTTCCACATTCTGATTTGTTATATAAATACCAACTCCATGCTATTTGTTTTATCTCCAACAACCAGCATATTTACGACCATCTTCCCATTTAAATACTCCTTTCCCATGCTTTTTATCGTTTTCATATTCCTAAATAATATTAAACTCTTGATTACTTACTCCTTTATATATTTTTCCATCCGGCAATTTCAATTCTCCAGTTCCATTCATTTTATTATTCATCCATTCTCCTACATAGATTCTTCCATCCAACCATTAATATGTGCCTTGTCCCTAAATTTCATTTTAATAAAATTCTCCTTATCAAATTGAAATCAGTGAAATACCTTAATAGTAAGAACCATCAGCAAATACAAGTTTACCATTCCCATGTTTTTTACCACATTAATAATCTCCTTCATACTTTGCTCCATCTGGCCATTCTTCTATTCCTCTCCCATGTTATCCATCGTTCAGCCACTAACCTTAATGATCATGCAGTACCTCTCCAATATACTTAGCCCCATTGTCATGAGTGTATGATCCCAAACCGTTAGCTTAATCATTTAACCAATCTCCTTCATAAATATCTCCATCAGCATGTATAAGTCTTCCCTTTATATTTAATAAACTTTAACAACTTTTCCACAAGATTTATCATTTTTCCATTCTCCTTCATAAACAGAACCATCCGGCCATTATTATTTTCCATAACCTTCTCGCTTCCCATCCAACCATTCTCCTTCATATGTAGCACCATTTTATAGTAAGATCATCTAAAGAATAATAATGAGGCAACTTTACAGGAAGTTTTATTTTTTCTTGCTTCCCTATAGTTTTCCTAACCAAAGGATGTATATTTTAATTATCGGTTTGACTATTCAAATTTTTTTCAATCTCTTTTATAGAGACCTTGCTATGTTAAGATTAAATCTGTATATCATTTTAATTTGCTTCTTCAACTTATCCTGGATTAGTATTTTTATTAGTTAAAGAATGTTTTGATTTTTTCACTGAGATTTCAATAGAACGATTGGAATTCTTTACAGTTTATATTTCCTCTTTTGCACAACAAGTGTTTATACTACATGATTAACCCATAATGGAAACTTTTAAATTTCTAAAATTAAAATCATTAACAAAAATTAGAGATCTTAGAAATCATTTTCTTTATTATTATATCGGAAGTTCTAATGAAAATAAAATAGTGTTTTTTTATTATATTATGATATTTAAATCATTAATTAATTTACCTTACTATTCTTCCTGTAAATCTAACAATACCAACTGCAATCCTTATCAAAATGTAGCCATAATATTTCGATCTGACCAACTTTTCAAAATTTGTTAGCTGAAATTATATATCTATTGTGCATGAGAATCCAAATATCATAATTACTCCGAATATCTCTCTCCTAGCAACCAAATATCACTCTGATTTTATTTATAAATTGATCCCTCAACATTTGGATATATCATTGCAACGATTCAAGTTGAAAATTATAAAGATACTGTGCTAGCTAGATAAGCTAACAAACATTTTTCCATGTTAATTTATTGCTAAATAGCAATTCTTGATAGATTTAAGGTAATTGGAATTGAAAAATCAAATCAAATTCAAATAATGCTTGGAAAAATGTAACATTGAATTGGTCTATAGATCAATCAATAATAATTTATATAGGGTTTGATAAAATATAGGTAATAACTAAAGATCAATAATGTTAAATAAATAATAAGTTCTGATACAATTCGCAACATGTTGTGAAGATTTCCGAATGAAAAATAAAACCAAAAATGTTGAGCAAATGTACTTGCCAATTCAAAATTGAAATCAAAATTCGATGTTTGATCCTTATCAAAAATTATGATGAAAAAGTACATGGTTTTTATCACTAAAATATATGTGATGATTATTAATACAAGAGTAAAATATCTTTTAAATATAAATATTTCATAATGATTTTTAGAAAGTAAAAAATCATAAAAAGATCTCATCTGAATTAACCCTAATGAGATTAATCAAATTCAATTACTATTAAGACTTTCAAAAGAATTATGTAACACTATTTAATAAAAAACAATTGTTTCTAAAGTATAATAAATCATAACCAATAATATTTTTTTACATTTTACCATCCTCAAATTTTTCTCATTTTATTTCTATGATTAATGGTATGATTTGTAAATATTGAATAAATTTAAATATCAATAATTAAATTAATACATTTGCACCTGGACGAATTAATAGACAAAGATTATAATATTTTAGATATTTTCTTTTACGTAAGAAACTTTAGTTAATATTGTAATCAATAATATTATTAGATTCATTAGTTTATACATAATTATTTTCTCATGAATAGCAGTTTATTCAGATGAGCAATTCTCTTTACTAATAGAAAATCTTAAAACAAGGGTAACAATAATATTTAATTATTAATCATAGCGATATTACTGTAATAAGAAAAGTACATTGATAATTCTCATTTATGTTCTCCACTTTTTACATTGATCATTACTTTTGAATGCAATCTTTGTGATGATTTTCTTCTGAGTTAACTTGTCAATGTAGCATCCATGTTTTCCTCTGCAATTTCTGTTTCTTTAAATAGATGTACCCTTCTCCAACAACCCTCAGGTATTAATTTAAATATAATCCCAGCTAACATTCCCAAAACACCAAATCCTGCACATATCGAATGTTCTATTATGGTTAATTGTCTAACTTTAACGTAATTAGCAGCGAATTATAACAATGCAAATTAAATTGAAACTGTTATGAGTTAAATCAACCAAAACATTCCATTATTGAATAAATTATTAAATGGATTAAGTGATTGATAATCGAGCTGCCTACAAGTTATTGAATTGAAAACCTACATAATTACAAAAGTTTAAAAAAAGATACTGAGCTTTGTCAACTAAGTTATAGTAATATAATTATATACCTCATCAGAAGGATAAAGAAATAAAATGCAATTAAGAACAGCCAATTAATAGAGACTTTGACAGCAAATAGTTCTATACATATAAGCTGAAACTATTGGTTAGGTTCTTTTGTATGGTTATCTGTCCAAGAGTGCTGAACTAGGTGGTTCTGTTGCCAAGGCTAAAGAAGCAAACGTATCCATAATAAGATTAACCCATAACATTTAGATAGTATTAAGAGGAGATTAATTTAGAATGACAGCTCCTAAAAAGGCCATAAAAAGAGCCACTATATTAACAGTCAATTGGAATTGGATGAACTTCCTAATACAATCATAAATGTTACGACCCCATTTAATTGCTTAAAATACTCATATTGTTTACCTGTTATAATGCTACTAAAATTATCGTCTACTAATATAATGTCAGCCGCATCTTTTGCGACATCAGAACCAGATTCCCCCATAGCGAATCCTACGTCTGCTTTTTTTAAAGCTGGAGCATCATTTGTTCCATCTCCTGTCACAGCAACAATATTTCCTTGATCAATTAGGCCAGTGACTAACATAAATTTATCTTCAGGAGTAGCTCTGGCTAAGACTTTTAACTATTTGCTAATCTTATTAAATATTTCCTAATTGGCAATTCTTAAGACTTTTTTACCATCTACTTGAGATGTCACAAGTCCTCCAATACTTTCTCTAAAGTCCTTTCCTTCCATGCACTCATATTCCTTAGGTTATGCCGACGATAATATTCCACTCTCCTTAGCAATTGCAATAGCAGTCAATGTATTATCACCTGTTAACATTCTGACTTAGATTCCAGCTTTATTACATGCTTTTATTGAATTAGGAACATCTTTTCTGATTGGATCTTTAATCCCAGCTATTGCGATTAAAACCAAATCTTTTTCCAACTCCTCCTCACTTAAATTAAAGGCTAATTCCTTTAATTAATGTTAAGTTCCTTTATAGTTTGTATCCTTATATGCTATTGCAATGGTTCTCAAAGATCTAGATGCGAATCTATCAATCACATCTTATTTTATTTATTTTTTTTTATTTTCATCTAAGTAATGTTCTTATCCTTTTGCGATTAACTTGGTTGATTGATTCAAAATGATTTCCGATGCTCCTTTTACAAAAACTCTTAGAAATCCTTTATAATATATGACTGTAGCCATCTTCTTTCTTCTGCTACTAAAAGGTAAGACTTTGACAATTTTATCAGTTGGTCTGTATAATGAAATGCTGTATCCGAATCTATCTGTTAATTCAAGTAACGCACATTCAGTTTTATTACCAGTCTATATAAAGTTTCCTGTTTCTGTTTTGGTGGGATAAGCAGTTGAATTGAATGTTACACTTTCAGCTAGTAATTCTTACATTTATCTAGGTACTTGAGCATCCTTCTTATCATAAATAGCTTAGTTCATAAAAATATCATTTTCAATCCATAATCCAGTGACAGTCATTTTGTTTTATGTCAAGGTTCCTGTTTTATCACTACATATTGTATTAGCTCCTCCCATAGTTTCACAAGATGCTAAATTTTTGACTAAGTTATTTTCATCCTTCATTTTATTCACAGAATATGCTAATGCTATAGTAACAGCCAATGGCAATCCTTCTGGAACTGCAACCACAATAATAGTTACTCCTATCATGAATGATTGTATAACAAATTGTAATGTTTCAATACTCAAAATTTTATTATAACCCATAAATCCCAAAATTAATTGATGAACAGTTAATGCAAAAAATGTGATAATAGCAACAAAGGTGCCAAACTTACCAATATCTTCAGCCAATCCTTCCAATTTTTATTATAATGGAGTGGGAGGAGTTTCTTGATCGAGTAATAACTTTGTTTTTCCTGCGCATGTATTTTATCCTACAGTTAATACTAACATAGTTCCTGTGCCATCCATCACTTTAGTTCCAGAGATCATAAATGGAGATGCATTTTTTAATTATTTCTTTAATTAATTGCTGTTTTTCATTTATTAAGATTGACTGGATTTCATCATCAGATATTCGGTTATCTCGTTGTATGGTAATTTGCGGATAGAATCTGATTCTCCTGTGACAGTTGACTCATCCATTTTCACTTCTGATCCAGAGACCATTAATCCATCCACTTATAATAAATCACCAATATTAAAAAATAGAATATCTCCCACAACCAATTCTTTGCTATCAATTTATTATACTTTAGAATTTCTAATAACTTGCTGCTTTGATTCATCTAATTTATGGTATAATTTTTGAAATTATCTTTCTTTAACATAATTATTCCCAACAGTAATTGAAACTATTAAAAATACTGCAAAGAATATTGTTGCTCCTTCACTCCACCCAGTCTCAATACCTTCCTTGTAGATTCCAATCCCAGTTGAGACTAATGAAGCTACCAACAATATTTATAACATGGTGTCTCCGAAACACTCAATAATCATTGAAAATATAGATGATAATTCTTTCTCCACTGGTAAATTTTCTCCATACAATTATCTCAGTCTTAAAACATTTTCATTTGAATCAACTCCATTCTGTTATAAATCAAAATTAATACATTAACATTAGATTAGAATGCTGTTAATAAACCTTGATCGCCTCCTATTTCAATTAATTTTTTCAAACTCTTCCCTTCCATAATATTATTCATCTCGAACAAGTTACTCAAAAATTCAATATCGATTTTTTCCATTTAATTACTTTATAAACTTGAATCTCAATAATAAAAATTTATCACTTTTTTATAGAAGTTCATCATAGTAATTAAACTATTTTATGTTAATATAGTTTATAAGATTCGAATTTAGATATTAAGAAAAAACAGATGATATAAATTAATGAATAATTGCTAAATAACTCAATTCTTAATTTGATCCACAATTTTTCATCCTTATTAAACAAAGGACATTTTTTAAATTATGGATTCTCTCTTTTTGTTAGAAGGTTTTCCTAATATCAATCTTTCATATGTGGTCAAACCAGAATAATAATTTCTTATCTATGTAAGAATCAAATTTAATAATGGAATCATAAACAAACATTCTATTATAGTGAGAATGATTAAAATTGTAAAGCTATTGGAGCTTAAAGTGGCATTGTTTTATGCCAGTTACAAAATTCCAAGTATTATTAGAAGAAGAAAATCAAGAAATAAAAATAAGAGAAACAACCAAAATAGGGATTAATTGTCGTTTCCAACCTGAATTTAAAATAACTATATATACGCAATTATTAATCCAAGGACAATGATGATCGTATCTAAGAACACATCTTTTACAAAATTCACAATGCTTCGAACTAATAGGAGTTTAAATAAAGCAATCATAACAAATTTCATAAGGTTCCAATTTCTGTAATATTTCCTTAAGATTTTGTCTAATTAAATGATCAAATTATACTCGTTATTTGTTTTAGCATAACCTGGATTTGAGTATGAGACCAAAAAAAAACAAATAGAAAACAATGTCACAATTATGATGAATAATATAAAACTTCCATTACTTTGGTCTTTGCTTTTTGCATTTTATACCAAGAAAATAGTCCCGAAATTTGTGATTGAAAAAAATAGTAAAAATACTAAGGCCTGCATAGCCGATCTTTTTCCTAAATATAATAATTGATACTTGGTTTCAAATTTAATTGAAGTAATAGAGATTTCCATGAAAATCGAAAAGATTTCAATGCATCAAGAGTTTAGGGATCTGTTGTCAATTCTATAGGTAACTAATTATTATTGTTCTTAAGCTTAACACTCCCTCCTCTCTAAATTAATTTTCTTATTAATTTATAATTGTTATTCTAAGCAGCAATATGCAAAGGAGTATTACCATTTGCATCTTATATATTTAAAGGATGCTTCCATCGCATTAAAACAATTGCAGCATAATCACTTTTAGTAAAACAGGCTAAATGTAAAGGTGTTACAGAATCTTTATATTTGCAGCACACCTTCTCATCTTTCAGCTTCTCCCTAATCTAAATCATAGCCAAAACATCATTTTTATATGAAGCCATTCCTAATAAATTTTTAGGCTAATAATATCTCTATATTTCATCTAACATTTCAATCTTACCTGAGTAGACAAAATAATGAATCGCTTAAAGATTATATTTATCCTCCTTTTTCAACCATACTTATGCTTGAGGCTAAAATTTTATTAAAAGCCTATTATATATAAAAGTATTAGAATTTAATGCTAAGTAATGCAAGACCGTTCGTTTATCAGCATCTTCAATGTCGTAGATGTTTGGTATGGTATCTACGGAGGCATTTAATATAGGCATTTTATTTTATTTTGCTGCTTCAATGAGATCATTGCCACTCTGAACTTGAGTTATATCCATAAAGTTGTAAATAGATTTGCTCTCTTATTCTTAATATTAACCTATTGTTACTACTGCTATGAAAAACATCTTACATTAAATTAGAGGTTCTGCTGTTGCTGGTGATTCTTCCATATTATATTTACTAATGTTATAAAATAATTTCATTTAATATATAATCAATCATCTAAGTAGTCAGATCATTTGGTTTATTCTTCATCACTCGTTTTCGCATCACTAAGTTTCGATTTCGACATAAAGTTTGAATGAGGATTTCCATTGTTTTGATTGTTTCTATTTTATTTCCTCACAATAATTTTTTTTTTTAAAGCACTCATCTAATTATCAATATCGTGTTGAATCAATTCAGCCTAATCTCTCTACTGCATTTCATAATCCTGAAATTATACAGATTTATACTTCCTGCATTGTTTTTATCTTTTCAAAACTATTGTTAAGATCTGACTGAACTTGTGCTTGTTTTTCTAATTTTAATACTGGCAAAGAAAAATTATGCTAATGTCTATGTACTATAGGGGTTTTATTCGATTTTTAAACGTATTATTCTTTCAAATTCAATAGTGTAAATGGTCTAGAGAGGATGAATTACATTTTTTCTAAGAAATATTGTTTAATTGGGTCCTTTTTTAAATCATAAAACATCACAAGCTCTCCAATACTTAAGATGAGTTGCTCCAAATCTTGTTTATCAGCCTCTTCCTAATAGAATCTTTATTCTAAATTATTTAATTTTGCGTAAAAGTTAGTATCAAATTTTTGTTGATTAATTGACATTCAATATTTTAATTACTACGCTTGTAAATATCAATAATTAACTTTAATCGAAGAATTTTATCTGTTATATAAACCAAGAATATTATAAAATTAATTAACGAATTATGAAAAACATTAATCCATAAAGTCCCTCGCCATACAAATTAAAGGATTCCAATTTAAACTATGATACTTAGCAATATCAAGAATTGATGAAGAATTTTGAAAATTTAATCAAAGTCACTCAAGACAAACTTTACTCCAATTAAAAAAAAATAGAAGAAACTTGTAAGTGTTCAATAGAGGATCAATATTAAGCCTTATTAATAGAAAATGACAACCTAAAATAACTGCTCTAAGAATTACAATTGAAATTAGAACAGGATAATTCCGATGTTAGACCACTAGAATAACAATAATAATTTGAATCCTTCATGAAAGAGGCTGTATTAAAATCGGAACAACAAAATGAACTTATAGAGAGATTATAGCAGCAAACTTTGGAATTTCAGCAATAGTTGTTAATTGAAAAAGGTTAACATTGTTAAACCCAAAAATAACTTTCAGACATTTAAGAAGAATTTCATAATTATAAAAAAGAAAGGACTCTTTAATAGTGTTATGATTTCGAAGTAACTGAGAAAATCACACAAGGCTATTCAGAATTGGTTAAAGAAAATCAAAAATAGAAATAGGAATTGAAGGAACTTTAACAAGAGATAGACAAATTAAGAATTGCATTAAATTAAGCTTACATTTCATTATCAAAACAATAGCAATAATAACATAAACTGCCTTTAAGAATTACAAATCAGGATGAATTGCAAACAACAGGAACTCAGACAGAGACCATTATATATTAGTAGCATGAAATTTTAAAGGAAAGAATAAACAATTAAATGTACAATTTAGAAAAATTCATTTCATAATATTTGGATAAAAAGAAGATGAGAAATAAATCAGCGAATGAAAATAAATTTTATACTGACCTAAGTTGTTGGGTTGAACAAGCAAAATTCGAATTGATTTCATTAAAACAATAAATTACAGCTTTGGTTACTGAAAAAGAACATTAAAAAGAGCAACTGATTGCAGTAAAATAAGATTTTGAATAAGCTTAGAACTCTTTGACTTAAGAAACACAAGTATTAAAAAGTGAAATAAAGAATTAGAATGAAAAGTATTAAATTTTATTAGAGGATTTCAATAAGGCTTAAATAAAATATACTGAAATTGCAGAAGAGAAAAAATTAATTTCTAATGTCAGAATCTAATTGGAAAGCGAGCTTAATTAATTGAAATCATAATATGAGTAACTACAATTTGAGTCGAACTCTTATGATACATAGTTTAAAATAATAACTTAATCATATTAAAGTGATAAGAAACTATATGAAGATTAATTAGAGAAATAATAATAAAAAAATTTATCCCTAGAATCAGAGCTTTCTTAAAGTTTGTTGTAAAAGGAACAAATAATTAACTAACTAGGCTTAGCAAATAATAATATTTAACAACTATAATAATAATTAAAAGAAGCGTAAGAAAAAGCCAATCATTCATCAGAACATTTTGAATAAACTTAAGAGAAAATCACTTTTATAATAAAGGAAAAAGAGCAGCTTATGAAATCAAATCTGGAACTTGAATAGAATCAATAGATTTTGAAAGAGAATATTAATAAGCTGAAAGAATAACAGTCCAAACTCGAGAAAGAAAGATAAAACAATCAGAACTTAGTTTATGAAATGGAAAAGGAGAAGGAAGATTTAAAAATCTATTGCTAAAAACTTTAATAGGATTTAACTGAGCGAAATGTTCAATTAACATCTTTAAAGGAGCAATTGTCAAACATGGAATATTAATTATACCTAACTCCATCTGATGATAAGTCAAGAATTGAAAATACCTATATGTCCTCAAAGATAGAAGATTTAGAAAGTATTTTGAAAGAGAAAGATCAAAAAATCGAGGATCTAGAAAGATTGTACCATTTAACTAACTATGAATTGAGAATCTTATAAGACTATTCATCAACTTTTGAGAGAGACTTGGAATTTTATAAAACCAAAGTTTAAAAATTAGAATAAGAACTTATAGAATAACAAAATGTATTATCCATTTCTAAAGCTTCAGTAAATTCTAATATACGTAAATTATTAATTTAAAATTTAGCAACGAACAAATTTGATGAATAAGCTAGAATGAATTCTTCACCCATTTCTTCTTTAAAAATAGACTCCTAGACTACTAACGGATCCCCTTAGATCTAAGTTAAAATATTATCTGGCGAGATTTAAAGACTAAGTCAAATTGTCAAAATACAATAGAAGAAATTATTGGATTTATAATATTTTATTGAAAAGATGATTACATCTAACGAATAAAATAGATTATTAGCAAAGCAAATTCTCCTCTAGGCTAGTTAATGTGGAGAAATTAATGGATATAATTTATTTGAAAAGGTAAATCTTAATACTCAAATCGGCGTTAATTCATGTGAAACTTTTGGTATTAATGTTCAAAGTATTGAAAAGCATGAATTTTGATTTATATTTTCTATTTATATAAACACTTATATTAATTTATCTAGAGAACAGTATGGGGATGACAGAGTGCAAAGAATGCAATTAGGCTTCTGTAGAAGATCAATTACCATAACCTTTTTAATTATCAATAAGAGGAAGATCTCATTTAATTTCTATTACTTCCTACTAAGGAGAAGTTAAAACAGTAATTCTAAATTATGAATTAATCTAGTTATCTATAGAACCAAACTTAGAGATTGCTTTTCCACTTACATAAGAAGAATTAGTTGAATATGAAGAATAATTGAAAACGCCAATTAAGTAAAGATTATAAGAACTTGAACCTTTACAAATCAGACCACTAAAATCAGTAAACAAAAAAGTTTGTATGATAGTATGAATATTCTGAAAGAGCATATAAATTAAAAAAAACATAATCAATATATTTAGGATAATGGAGCAATGGCATACCTCAAGGTTTTGGTATTTTAATAAATCCGATTGAAAATTCATATTATGAAGGATCTATTTTGGGAGGAAAACCTCATGGATTTGGAAGAAAAATTTATTCACAAGGAAACTATTATTAAGGTAGACTTATCGTATCATTTTATAAGGCGAATTTGAATATGGAAAAATATCAAATCAAGGTTTGGTTGTTATAAGAAAGGAAAAAGATGATACAAAAGAATAAATTTAAATCGATAATTAACAATCAATTAATCAAAACATGAAAATTGATTCTATATAAACAGAAAGATCATAAGTAATGAGTTCAATAAAAAAATGAAATTGTATATAATTAAAATTTCAATAAACTAGATATTTAGTTATACTTAATTTATTCCTAAACCCCTAAATTCTTTACGAAATGTTATTTAAATTATTGTTTTTAGTAATAATAGACAAACTTTAATCTATTTGGATTAGATAATGAAATTGGGGAAGAATAATTAATGTCATATTCATCATGTCATAGCAAGATGTTCAATCATTTTAAACAATTACCCTTTTACTTCTTGCTGATGATTAACTTTTCATTTTCTCTTTCTATTAAATTTAGATACTAAATAAAAGAAATTATTTGAATCGTTAGACTTATTATAAATAAAATTTATATTAAATGCAACAAAAGCATAGAAATATTTAGCAGCAAAATCTTTAATATAGAAAAATTATATATTATAAGAATTCATGTAACAAGGCAATCATTTCTAAGCAAAGAATAAGTGTTTCGAACATAATGAAAATGCAGTTTTTATTAGGACATCATTTACAAATAATAAAAATATCAAATTATGCTATAAGTGCATACTAAATTAGAATAAAAATCTTATGCTCATAGAAGATGTAGAAAAATAGTTTGAACATTCAAAGATTCATATAATGAAAGAAATAAAAAGTAAGAGAGAAATAAATTCTAATATTCTTAAGAATCTAAAAGAAAACCTTCTAAAATTTGAGATCTCCTTTTAAGAAAAAATAAAATAGATCTAGCAGAGTATTGATGAACAATTGAAAATAATCTCAAATTCTAATTTGGAACCCTTGGATAAAATAACTATTTTTAATTTTGATGAAATAGAAAAACCATTGATCTCAAATGCAGTTAATTTTGAAAAAATTAAAAATATGCTTACCCATCAATATGAGTCATTATCTACAAGTTACTTTTTAAAATTTAGTGGACAACTCTTAGCAAAAATAGAATTAGAAGAAGAAAATTATCATTTTAGATTAAAGTAAGAACTTACTAATTGTAAGATTTAAAATACTATTTCGCTGCCTAATAATAATTTGATTTGTGAAAAACATTAAAGTCAATTGATAATGGTTGATATAAGTGTATAATCAAATGTACCAAATAGAATCGCATGTTATTATTGTATTCCAGAATATGCAGCAAAGTACACTTCTTTTGAACAGTTCCAGTAGCTGTGGATGAAAAATAAATCTAAATTTCAAGAATAATTTATTATTCATTAGAAATACGTAAACACTCAGATAGAGAATGCTATTGATTTAATAAATAATTTTAAGGAAAATCTAATTAAGTTTTTAGATGTCCATTAAACTTCATTAAACTAGATCAAGAATAAACCCAATACAGAATCAGTTTATAATATTTACAAGTTGGTAGCAAAAGAATGGATTGATTTAACTAAATCAGAAATCATAGAGATAGTCTAAACATTAAGTTAAATAAAAAATGAATAAATGGTATGTAATGATATAAAGGAAGAATTCGAGTAAAAATTATGGAAATTTTAGGAATCTTCAAAAGTTTTAATTTATTAATTTGAATTAATTTAAAAATAATTTGTTATGGACATTCAGAATCTTTTGGATGCAGAAGAAGAATAAAAGGTTTCTGATTGCAGGTTTTAGGTTGATTTTTATAAAAATACAATTACAACTGGTACTAAAAACCTAATTAATTACGATATTATTGAACAAGATCTAATGTTAGATTAAAATGTTAATTCTATTTTATTCAGTCCTGACTCCTCAACTTTAATTGCAGGATGCTCTAATGGAAGAGTAAAAGTGTTTGATTTTAAGTCAGAAAAATTAATATTATTAGAAGTATTAGATGAGCATAAAAAATAAGTAGATTTTTTATTATTTATGAAATAAACAAATAATTTTATATCTGGGAGTAAAGATGAGAAAATCATTATTTGGTCTGAGCCTGATTTAAATGAAAAACGGAAAGTTATTATACAATTAAAAGGAAGTAATGGATTGTTAAATTGCATGGCACTCAATATCAATGAAGATTTACTTGCAGCAGGTTGTGGAAGCACCTTGATATTCTGGTCCAAAGAAAAAGTTTGGTAGCCTTTATGCTCTGTTTCGGAAGAGAAGACAGATATCTCAAGTATTTCTTTTAGTAATTCTAAAAACATACTAGTTTCTTCATCTTATAATAGTAAATAAATTTCTATATATCAATCAAGTAAGTCTAATATATGGGCAAGATCCTAAACCATAATGACTAATGATTGGGGTTCCAATTTTAATATTTTTAAATAGCACATCCTTCTTATTTTAATCTTTTAATTAGGATATATTGGAAATATATGATTGTAATTCATAAAACTAAAAAATTTTAGAAATCAAAAGAATTTAGAATTGAATTAGGAAATCAGACTAATGCCTAATCTTTTAGACAGATTGTTAAATCTTAAGACTTTCTCCTTTATAAAGCTGGATGTAAACTTTATTTAATAAGATGCTAAAATAATGGAGAATTAAATATTGAATGGTCACTAAAACTTTAGGATGAAAGATCATTTTGTACAATCAGTGAAAATACGAAATATCTAGTAACATGGAATTACAATACTAAAGAATTTGTAATTAGAAAACAGAAGCAATGACATATATTAAAATTATTATAAAATTATAAAGCAATTCTGCTGCTTAATCAAATTATATTAAAATTTTAATTTTTTTAAGAAAGTTAGAAGAGTTTAATTAGGAAAGATTTGAAAATACTAGATACCAAAAATGTTAATAAAAATTTATGCTAACACTTTAAGAATACCCTAAGCAGTAGCTATTGCATGTAATAATAAGATACAAAAATCAGAATTAAAACTAATTATTGTTAATCCTTTCATAGAAATAGACAAATATAATTACAATTTTCCTTTTTATAAATTGTAAAACTTGATCTATGAAATTTTATTTTTCTTTACTTTTCTTGTACTTTAGTTATTATTATAATTATTTTTTTATTATAGTTTTTGTTTTGTTAAGGAATTAAACAAAGATTAAATTATTCATTCTCTTTTATTTTGATTGATCCCAGTTATCGCTTGTTCTATTAATTCTTCATCTTTATACATCTGCTTTCTTCATTTTCCCCTCAATGATTTCTGGAACTTCTTATAAAACAATATGTCCAAAAATCTTTTACGAAAATCAGCTAATCGTTTATCGCACACTTATAAATGTTGCATATTTTGACTTTTTAGCTGCATAATTCATTGAAGTTAAGGAACCTTAAAGTTCCTGTTAATTTAATTAATCTAATCAATAATACTTTCTGGGGTCAATTTTGGTACTCTGATTATGCCATCAAGTATTGTCTTTATAGTTTTATAGGTTGCTTTTTCAAGTTTAAAGTAAGCTGTTTAGATCGCTAAATTCGAATATATCAAATAATACTCCTCTATGAGCTTAATATTATGATTGGTCTGAATCGCTATTTTGAAAGAGTCTCTGGATATTAATTATTTAATGGAACTATTAACCTTAGTTATTTGTCTCTTTGCAGCTAGTTTAATTAATTCTAAGGCTGTTCAAACTTGGTTACTCTATTATGAGGTAAATAATAATGATATTGATATATGTATCATTTTGAACTTCCACTTGGTATCTCGAGGTCCAAACTCGTTGTGTATGAATGTTTAAATATCTCATTTGATTGGAAGCATTGGCAGCACAAAGGGCAGACCATTGTCTTGTCAAAAGATAACAGTGCCATCCCCTCCTCAGAGATGAGATGGTTTAAATGTTATATTACCTTATGCAAATCCTCTTTTTCGTCTGTCAATTTACATACAAAGTCGGTTTTTAATCCACATTAGGATTCCTTAGCAGAATCATTTTCATTCCTGAGTTTTCCATGCGGTTAACTTAAGAGTGCGGGTAAACATAGGCGTCGCAAGCTCGCCCTGGG